TCACCATGGGGATTATTGTTCTTATTATTATAGTAATGTTAAACACTTTAGAAATTAACTATATTAATCTGTTAAGTCTTGAAATAATGAATGTTATTACTTGAAAATGGGAATTTATTATCTTCATTTTTGCCAGATTTTTTTCATTTTACATTGAAGTAGAATCATTAGTGAAGAAAGTATACACAATTCAATTTATCAGAAGGGGTTTTATAGAGATTTTAGTAATTTCAATGATTGAAATCATGAGTCAATTGAAGCTAGACCGCCATGGATGCTGAGGAATCCCATACCAGGACATTAGGCTGTCCAGTGCTTTTAGGTTTACCATGATTGTCTAGCTTCAACTGACTCATGATTTCAACTATTGACAATTCAATTTATTTATTTATTGGAGCTGATCAATTTCAATTTGGTTTTATTTAAATAAAAAATGATACATAAAATGAATTATTGTCTACCATTAAAATACTGAAATAATGTGATTCATAAAATAATTTAAGTTAAGTTGAAGTTAGACAATAACACCGTTGAATGCCGGCCGACTCAGTGGTCTAGAGGTTAAGCACTCGCGCGCGCGCGAGACTGATAGGTTCTCGATTCGAATCTCGCGAGGCGGGGTTGTAAATGTGCACTGCTGAGGAGTCCGACAACAGGACAAAATGACCGTCCAGTACTTCTATGGTGGTCTAGCTTCATTTGATTCATGATCTCAACTATTGAAATTAGTGCAATCTCCACAAAACCCCTTTTGATTTGGGGTAGGAATGAGAATATTTTCTATTGCTTTAATCATGAGATTTATTTATACACTATTTGAATATATAGTTTGGTGAGTGTTAATTTGCTTGCTACTATGTTTTGAATTAAAATGAAACAGTTTTCTGGTATTTAATAATTTCCAGAGGTTCTCTGATTAACTGGGAATCAACACATTTACATGAGATCTTGGAAAATCTTTCTAAAGACATTTACTGTTCATCAATAATGAGTATTTAAAATCTCTATTTATTTGTTTAAACTTCATTTCCATTTGTTGAACCTGAAAGCCTGTTTTAAGATTGTTTTTCCTTATTAATATATACCATTGATTTTCCGTTTCATTGACGTTGATGTTGAACCAAGCGCTACAACTTTCTTTTGTAGTACGTATCCCGATTTTCTAGTATTCCCTAAATGTATTTTGTGTTTTATTAGTCGACAGGTCCATAAATTTAAAGAGATTGATTTCGAAACGTTGGTTGAGCCTAGAATTAAGGTTAGATATCAACCAACTGGAAGGTGCAACTGAGCTTCGACATTCAAACTAATGGCTTTCGTTATACCTCATAGATTGTGTGAATTTAGTGGATGCTTGACTTAGAAGGTGCAGGCCAGTAAGAATTCAGTTAGTGTTGTGGCTGTTATGTACCGGTTTCTTTGGGAAGGAAATAGTTACATATATCATCTCAATAGCTTCCATATCACGCACTACTCAACAATCGAACTGAATGGCAAAATCGTAGAGGATGTCAGATCACGAAAAGAGGTTGTGGTGTAACTGATAGCAACTCCATGATCTGAAACTTTATCAGATATGGATTAAAATAAAAGCCAAGTGTCAAGTCTCTCGTCAACTTACATCACATGATAATAATTATGTACATATTTGTCGCCAATGGCCAGATGAATTTCCGGTAATTTGGGATGAAAACCTGTTGAGTGTGAAATCGAAAGAATTATAAAAGACGATAACTTCATATCGTCACTTGACTGAGTTCCGAAATATACGGTGCATGTATTCCGAATCTTACTCACCGTGAAACTAAGGGGTTCTGGATAGGATCCTATGTGATTGTGCGTGATTCTATGATTATAATTTATTGGGGATAACTTTTAAAATTTGTAAACTAAACAACAATGATCTAGATATATCTTTTAATCATCTAATACCGTAATTGGATCATTTAGATTTTTTTTTTAAAAATCAAGATAATGTTGTCTGGTCGTCAGTAATCAGTCAATAATTTCTAGTCTCTGTTAGACGACACTGTCTTTCGATGTATCTGACTTCAAATGAATAACACAGATTTACATATTTCATAAAATTTGTTCCCATTATCAATTTAAACAAAACAGTAACAATAAGTGACACTGAATAATCTGAATTCATTTGTACTTCATATTTTCTCATCAAGTGTTTACAACCATATTCATCTTTCATCCACTTCAAAACTACTTATTTTTCACTCACCTAAGAAATTCTTCTACTCAATTGGTTGTTTATCAGTACTATACAGTAATAGATAGATTCTTCAAATGAGTAGAAAGTCGATACCAATTAGATGATGGTGAGTCAGTTGAACAATATAATAATCAGTTAGTTACATAGTGTTTAGAAAGTTAAAATTAAAGGTAAGTTGAATTCTCATAGTCAATTAATTATTATAAGTAGTTACATAAAATTAAGAATAAAATTTTAAATTGGATGTAAATATAAATGTCTAGTATTTGAACGAAGAATGTTTTTTTCGATAAATTCTCTTCAGGTTCTACAATTCATATATATCCAAATTAATAAACCGAAAACAATGGGTTGGTTAAGGGCAAAGTACATCGTTTAAAATAAGTGAATTTAGGATTGTTAAACAAAATACAATAAAGCGGTCGTCCAGTGCTTCCAGGTTTTCCATGTTGGTCTAGCTTCAACTGACTCATGATCTCAACTATTGGAAATAAAATTGTTAATGTTGATATGACTCAGATAGAATGTTAACTTGAATCCATGTTCATGTTAAGTGAAATTTAAGATCCATGATCCGAATAAATATGAGTCAGATAGAGTGAGAGAAATAATAGTGCAATTACAATTCGATCAAATGTTTAGTGGAAGGCTATATTGTGTGAAAAATAAGTAAAACGTAATAAGGAGGGATGAATGCGAAGTGAATGAATCATGTATGGGGGAGATTAGTAATGGTGTTTAACCAATAATAATAATAATAAATAATAATAATAAATTAATAATAATAAAGATTTGTTAATAAAGATAACAGAGACAATTACAATTGCCTACGAAAAGTCGTACTCAAATTAGGTCATTCAATAGCTAAGATAACTACCGATTAATTGGCCTTGATGTTGGCCAGAGGAGTGGTTGAAAACATTTCTTCTGTATGCACAGCTCTAGTTTCTTTATCCGGATGGCTACTGCTTCAGCCGTTTGAAGGACTTTAAGTCTGACAAGTTTTTGCAAAAAATTACTGACCTTATAAGTAATTGAAAAAGATTGGTTCATACTGGCACTATGACCAGTTTGTACTAAATGGGCAAATATCGAGCTGTTCACTTTGTTTAGCCATGCTGGGAGGTGTTCACGAGCACGAAATTGTAAATTCCTAGAACTTCGACCAATATAACTCGCTCCACAGGAGCAGTAGAATTGATAAATACAAAATGAGGTAGTCATTCTAAGTAATTCATCTTTTAGCCTCGGTGTCCCCATTAGGCGGGTAGAAAACACTAATCGCAGTTGTCCGGCATTAAAAGATTTTTGTATTGTCCTGCGTGATCTTTGAGTTAATATTTAACTAGCCGCATTCCCTCTGAATTGTAGACGAATAAACAGCGATTTCTTCTTTACCGTTTACATTTCACCTATTTTCACCTTTTAATATGATGGGGATATTTAAACGATTAAAATATAAATGTCTTTTGTTATTTGTGAAATTAATGATTGACAAATAATTCCCCTTCTGATCATTAAAAACAAGAAGTTCAGTGAAGGGATCTCTTTTCAACGGGTTTATGATCATATATGTGTCTAACTATTAGTTCTGTGAGGGCATATGAACGATGAATGAACATGATGATGTAATAGAAATATTATTACACTAGATTGCGTAATACAATGAAAAATTACTTGTAGGACAGGTGTGATGGAAACTAGATACAAAGATAATCGAACATATTAAGTAAGATTAAAATTAAAAATTAAGATGTTAACAAAATCAAAGTTTTGAAAATTTAGAAGGAAAAGAAAAAATATTTTTTAGTAAACCCAATAGTATCCAAGTGGAACGCCAAGTAAAATTCTGAGGCTGTATAAACTTCTATAAACATAAATTAGGTTAGTGGATATAGATTTCTATAGTTTATGGTGCAAGGAAACATTATTCATCTTACAGATAACACAAGACGTTCATATTTTAATAGTTGAGTTCATGAGTCGATATAAGCTAGACCACCTTTGAAAAACTGGAAGCACTGGACGGCCATTTCGTCCTAGTATGAGACTCCTGAGCAGTGCTCATCCACGATACCGCACTCGGGACTCAAACCCAGGATCTTCGATCTCGCGCGCAAACGCTCAACCTCAAGACCATTGAACCTGCATCCAACGGGGTTAATGTCTAATTTTAATCGTTTCATGATTTTGTTCAACCATTCATCTGATAAATAACTAATTGAGTAGAAGTATTTCTTAGCTTAACATGTATTTTCAAATATTCACTAATTATTACTCAGTTGGTCTTATAAATTTCTGAATTTTGGATAATTTCTGATTCATTCCATTTATATTTCCTGTAGTTGTCCTTAGATAGCACTACATATTACTAATAGTACATGTTTCTATAGTATTGATCGTGATAACTTCAATTTCTCGAGTTACCGATGTAATATCATATTGTTTTCCAGTACGAATATGGTTCTAAGCAGCTGATGACAAATTATAAAATAAAGATGAATTCAAATTATTCATTGTCAGTCGTTGTTATCACTTTATTCAAATCTGTTCATGTTACTTTTGTGTTCATCCAACATTCATGCTGAATGATAATGATCCATGCCAAAAGATAGTAAAGCTACACAATTGTTGTTATGCAAGAGCATTTAGTCACTTACAAGCACACATATTTATTGACAGATACTATGGTTTTGAGGGGGATAAAATACTAAAAAAGGTTTTCTTTTTAAGTCGTTTTCGTGTGAAATTCAAAGTACATTGATTTTATTCAGAGCAAAACTTAGTCTTATTCAATTTTTAGGATATTTAGAATTGTTAAATATATCAGCTGCGTGATCATACAAAGAATATTAAATCATATGAAAGATGAATTACACGAGATTCTTACTCTTGATGCAGACTGTATCTGAAATGTAAATTACAATTTGAGCGTTGGTAGTTGGTAGGAATTTTTTGGATGGATGTTATAATGGTATAGATAAAAGAAATAGAGAAATTTCCTCACTCTTAGCAGGAACTGGGGATTTGAAGGTATTACGATTACTTACCAATTATTTTCAATTTAGTTTATGTGCACGAACTGATATTAACTGAAGACTCATTAAAAACCAAGGAGAGCTCAACAGTTATTTTTTTACAAACTTTGAACTCTTCAGGATTCGAGAAAATCAAAATGAAAACAACAATATATAATGATGACATTCGACAAGAGCAACTCTATCTCATGAATGAACAGAATTTCCCAATTTTGATCCTTTGACTTCTGTAGTATGTTTACCTGACTAATGATCGTTAAACTAGAACTAAAAACTTGTCTACTGATCATCTATTTTTAGTGGTTTCACAGTCTATATCATTTTTTGTGTGCTGAAATCTATTAACAACTTAGATCAAGTTGTTTTATCATACAAGCTTGAGTTAATAAGTAAAACTAAGAAACGAGTAATTTAAGCTTAAGTATGATCATAATGTTTATGCACCATGCTACACAATATTGTTTTATAATACATCACTAGAATGTTTAACAAAACGAATATATGTCTGCACATTTATAATGAAATAGAAGAGACTTAAGTGGAGTTTATTCATTTAGCTAATTAGTGCTCATGTACAGGTTATTAATTTAGTGTAACAGACATATAATGGTTAAATTTATATTGATCTACTTATATATTGTGTGATATAATGATTTTAATTGGTTGATTAGTGTATGTGCCCCATTTATAAATTCATTCACTACTAGAATTAAGAAATACATTAATCATTTTAGTTTCTTTTAGAGTAAAGTGTAATTCAGTGATTCTAATTCAATTCATATTTGTATTTTTATGTTAATCTTTTAAATTCTTTCACAATATAATGAATATGTCATCGGGAACTTTTCATTTATCACCTTCTGCACCAATTACGAAGTTTTTCAAGGATAGATCTGTTAAAGAGGTTCGTGAAAACATATCACATATTACAGCACATTTGACCAGTATAAAAAGATGGTTACGTTCAATGCCACACCTTACTTGTGCAGATGGTAAGTCAAAAGGATAATATTTTACTGTAATGATTTTTATCTAATTTAAGTACGGGTAGCAGATATTAACTGTTTACTTAAATGTTGTTATAATCATTCAAGATAATCTAAGTATTTTGAGCAGGTTAAATTGTTGAACAAGATTTCCAAATGAAGGAAAATTTAATCGAAATTTTGTTTGAACCAAGAGTTTATCATGCTCAATTTTTTAATTGTTGAATTCATGAGTAAATTTAAGCTGGATCATTATTAAAAATCTGGAAACACTGAACGGCCTCTTCCTGAGCAGTGCTCATTCGAGTGAAGTTCAACTTCAGTGTTCCCTCATTTTTTTAATAATTACAATTACACTATGCAATTGCAAGATATATGTTTTTAATGTTAAACAGTGTGAGATAGATTTTTAGAATTTTAATTTATAACAGTCTGTAATAGTAGATAAGATTTATGATTCACAAGAATGATTTAATCTTATCTTTTAAGACTTCACCAACAGTAGCCAATAAAAAATACCGATCAAATGAAGAAATTTTAACAATTTCAATGTTCGAATTAGCCATGATGATGATGTCTGAAAATATAATGACAACCCCATATTTAGATCATATAGTTCCAAGAATTCAACACTGTTAATAATGAAATATCACCCAAGAAATCAATCTTGATAAATTAGTTATATTTTTTCCAGTCTGGAGATTGGGTAATAAGGATCGAAAGAATCCAAACTACAATTTATATATTAAAACAGAATTATTTCTTATTTTTACAGTGTGTCTTACGTCTTATTTAGATGATAATAATAAAACGTAAAATGAATAAATTGGTGACCAGATTGATCTTAACAAAACATTTTCAAAAATAGTTTGAATAATCTACATCGTTTTTATCGATTAATGGATGTTCTATATTTTAACTTTTACCAATGTAGTAACTTATGTTATAATTTAAGCAAGTCAACATTAAACCTTGCAAAAATCATGCCGCTTAAGTTATGTTGGTAGCTTTAAGGAACCATGAGATTTTGGATGGTTTCAAAGATCATTTTCCTTTGACAACCAGTGAACATGAAACACGAGTGTTATAGTAATAATAGATTGATTGATTAATATGTCTATGGTTGTGACACAGGAAATGGTATCGACTAAAAAAAATCATTGAATATCGAAAACCACTGAATATTGACTTTCTCTTAGTTTGAGAGTTTTTGGTATTGTTTATCTGGATGAGATCAAACGCAGGGGCTTTTTTTAAAATCAACCGATGAGTTATAATTCATTAGTTTAAAAAATTTCAACATTGATCAATTCAAGTAGTTCAATACGATGATGATTCTATATTGCGATATATCTGACGAAATGACAGAAAACTATCTCAAAGTTAATTAATGATATTCAAAAGATAATTTATCATTTGGATGGTTCACGGTTAAAGTTAGGTTTCGTCATGGACTGCAATTAGTCAAGGTGGATTCTAGGGAGTTCGGAAAATTCATGAAATTTATTTGAGGTGATTTTGGAGAAAATCCGTTGAATGAAGCAGTACTTTTTTTACTTGGATTAAGGATTTCAGGGAAGATCATGAAGACTGCATGGATGATAAAAGGCCAGAATGACTATTGACCTGATGTGTTGATGAAAGCATTAAATGTGTACGGTGCATTGTGCTTTTTGACTACTGATTTGATTTTTAGTTAGTCGCTAATGAATTGTATTGTCACCTAACATGACGGTGTTAAGAGAATCTCTTGAAATGATCAAACTAATCAAAAGTCTAATTTCTGAAGGCTTTTGGTAATGTTTTGAACTTTAAAAAAAACAGAGATAAGACAAGTGTAATCCCGAAGATGGGAAGTATTTTGGAAGGTTAAAGATTGATTTGCCTTAAATTCCAGTACTGTAAAGTTTCTATGACGTCATTTTATAAACTTATTCGAGTACTATAACAAAATATTTTGCCAATACATTTCGATTAATGCATACATCAAGTACTGAAAGCTATCGGGAATTAAATCACTGAGTTATTATTGTTTTAATGGAATTAGGATAGAATATGACTTTGTGCACAAATTCTGTGAATGTTTAAAATAAACGTTTTCCAACTAAACTGTGAGTATGTATGTAATATTAATTGTCATTGTTCATTAGGAATTTATTTATCATAGGATATACTGGAAACAATTAATGGTAAATATGTAATTAGAGTACTTACTTACTTACTCCCAATAGAACATAGGCCGCCGACCAACATTCTCCTCGGCCTTCCTTTCAAGTTCTATCCAATTGTTGTTCATTATTCTCATGTCTGTCTACATTTCTCGACGTAATGTGTTCTTTGGTCTTCCTTTTTTCCTTAGGCTTTGAGGATTCCATGTAAGGGCTTGTCTTGTAACGCAATTGTGTGCTTTCCTCAATGTGTATCCTATTCACATGTACTTAGAATAACTATATGACAAAAAATGCTTTCACCGTTGAAAAAATGTGGACTTTCTGACTAGAGACAACATTTCTTTATCTTTGTTATCTTACGATTCTTCAGATTACTTTAGATTTTCAAAATCGATTTAGCCCTGTATTTAGTAATTTCTCTTAAAAATGATTTAAACTACACTCCAGTATTTTGTATTATTTAAGTATACTGATTGATTTGTAAATAGCAAACATATTCATGCGTGAATATATACTTGTTTGAAACATAGGAAGCATTAATTATTGATCCCTGCTAAGATTATGGGTCAGTACTTGTGAAAAGGTTTCATGCTAGAACGAATCAAACGTTCAAAAGTTCTCAGTTTTTTATTGGTTATCTCATCAAAAATTAGTTTGTAATGTAAAAAATTAAATCCTAAAAATGTCTTCATAACCCCATCATAAATATCTACTTATTACTTCAATAATTGAGATCATGAGTCAATTGAAGCTAGACCATCATGGAGAAACTGGAAGCACTGGACGGCCGTTCCGTCCTATTGTGGGACTCCTCAGCAGTGCGCATCCACGACTCATGATCTGAATTATTGGAATTACTACAATCTCCACAAAACCCCTTCTGAATCTACTTATTAGCTTGTTCAGTGAGTATTTCTTTAAATTTTATGTTGAGCGGTCAAGAAACTAAAAATAATCCCGTTTTTCAATCATTTCAATAATATAAAACTGATATATCTTATGAGACATTAATTAATTGATTGAATTAATACAGGTAAGTATTGTATATACAACCGATTTCATTAACAATATCAAGTAATTATTACTATCATAATAATGAATAAACACTCAGATGGGGATAACCAATCTGTTACTTTATACAAAATTACAGAATATCTTCATGAACTAAGAGAACCATACACTGATACTTCACTTGCAAATTTTCTATCATTTGTCCTTCACTTTCTGTATGATTCTTCAAGTTCACAATTCCTTTTTTATTTTCCCTTCTATTCTGTTTAACTCGACCTTTTTAACCTTCTACTTCCCGATTTTCCACTTCGGATTGGTGTTACATACTACCTACGTCGTAAGACATAAGTAAGATAGACCATACTACTAATACCACATACGTATTACTTTAAAAGTAATAAAAAAATCTATTTTTTCACAGTTTGAATGTTTATAATAGGTTTTAAAGTAATTATGTAAATATATTTAATTTATTTTTCAATTGAGATCATGAATTGATAAATGGTAGACCACCATTGAAAACCTAGAAGAACTGGACAGTAGTTTTGTCCTTGTATGGGACTCTGAAGCAGTGAGTATTTACAATCCCGTATGTGGGATTCGAACCCAAGACCTACGGTATTGCGTAAAAATGCTTAACACTCATTCATTTATGATCTCAATCAAAAAACGTAACAATTTTAACAATTCCACACTGATAATTTAATTTATTTCCTAATATTAAGTAAGTAATTATTGAATCAACTAAAGATACTAATCGCATAAAATTTATTGATTTTCATTGTATTTATAAAATTAAATATCTACTCATCTTTAATTATTTAAATGGTGGTACGTTTTTTAATCACTTAATTGATCAGTGAAAATAACTTGAAATAATAATAACTTGGTTTTATTGACTTCTTGGAAGCAGAATTGATAGATGTATATTTTTAAAATTTAAATCATGAAATGACACTAGCTAGATCATTGTTACTAACTAGGAAGCAATAGAAGGACGTTTCGTCTTAGTGTAACACTTAACAACAGTGTACATTCACAACCCGAAATCCGGGAATCGAACCTAAGAGCTTTGGTTTTGTACGCAGTCACTTGAACTTTAAACCACTGAGCCGGTATTCATTAGTATCAATGTCTAACTTTAGTCAATTCATGATCTTGTGAAACACTCATCCATTACCTACGTTGGTAATTACCTTACATTAGACATCGTTGAACTCCACGGGTCACAGCTTCTCACTACAAATATGAGCTGCGTCTTGAAGACATTTACTAGTGAGTACATGTTTGTTATTCATATTGAGAAATTTTTGGACATTGTAGGATTTTCATAAGTTTAAATGACTAATTGATCTTATCTAGACTACTTTTGAAAGTATGGAAGCCAACTCAGTGGTCTATAGGTTATGTGTTTGTGTACAAGACAGAAGGCCCTGGGCTCGATTCCCAGATGTGGTATACCGGATGAGTGCTGCTGAAGAGTTCAACATTAGGGCGAAACGGTTATTTAGTCCCTCCAGGTTATCAATATTGATCCAGATAAGGTCATTTTATAGTTTAAAATATGAAAATTCTATGACCATCACAAACTCCCTGAACTTATATTTGTTGAAATATATTTGATAATTTTGTTGTGAGTATTAGAAAAAATGAAAGATCCGACCCCTTTTTATGACAAGTTTACGTTTCATCGCTGAATCTGATGCTCATACAGTATTAGAATCTCTATTATCAATTATCTGAATTTTTTAAACATTTACACAAAACTGAACCATAACTCTAACATGACCTAAAATGTTCAGTAAGAACTAGATTATTTGAATTTATGAATGAGGCAAATGAAAATAATTAAGTTTGAACTTGAACTTGAACTGAACTTACTCCTGTTACTCCCAATAGAGCATAGTCCGCCTACCAGCATTCTCCAACTCACTCTGTCCTGGAGCTTCCTTTCCAGTTCTATCCAACTTTTGTTCATTTTTCTCATGTCTGTCTCCATTTCTCGACGTACTGTGTTCTTTGGTCGATACTGTTCCAAAGCACACGTCAAAAGAGAAAATAAAGTTTATGACTTGTATAAATTGGAACAATTGAAATATAGTCATTAATCGATATCATTATGACAAAGGATTTTAATTATACCAATGCTGATAATCTTGACTGGATTTTGATTCGTCTTTGTTGATATATGTGCATCTAGTGTGGATTGTCTCAAAAAGGCCATTTTGTACAAGTTTTTTTATTGAATAAGTAGTTATGTGAGTAGGAATGGTTTCAAGGACATACCAACATCAACACTAGGATGGATATACATTAGGCTGATTCCATCCTTAGTCGTAAATCCATTTATTCTATATTGTTTAACATGATGAAAGACTTAACGGAGTAGCTTAGTGATTAAGGCACTCGATGCCAATTAGTGAGTTGTAAGTTTACTCAGTTCTTGTTCTGTTCAGCACAACTAAACATCATAAAAACATTTTGACTCAAAGCTTATATTTGGTGGTTATTATTATCATTCCTGTCGAAATAAATAAATAAAACGTCATCAGCTGTGAATTTATGCAAATACATACTTCATACTTATGTATAGTAATAAATTAACGATTAGAAAGCATTCTGGTTTTGAACTAACAGACCATATATTCAGTCTGTATCAATCATGTGGTATTGTTAACAAGTGTTACATAACATGGGACATTAATTCAAGACTTGATGCTGATTACCTGTCAATCAGGTCTCATTCCAACATAGTGCACGTAATATCGAGTCATTTAGACTATTAGATACACTTTCAAATTGATCAGTAGAATTCTAATGGATGCTATGTAGAGTTAGAAAAACAATGACATCGGATAACATTCAGTAATTAAATGAGGTTGTACATCTTAGTGGTTTTTCAAAAGATAAATGGGAATAACACTAATTAACCAAGTCATATGATAATTTACAATACAGACTATATGAAGAATATTTCATAAAATATTGATTACATTTTGATGGAGTCGACCAAACCATTCAGCTCAGAAAATAAAACTCCATCGAAACCATCCATCTGAGCTACAAATCTTCTACATTATTGTTTATATTTTCATTTTAAAAATATAATCAATATATTGTTGTTTTTTTTAGATGATCGAATATTTTTGGCCTTTCTACGTCAATCAAAATATAATCATTCAGAAGCTCAAATGCGTTTAGATAATTTTATTACATTGCGTACATCACCAGAAAGTCCTGTAGTTAATTGGTATGACCGTTCAACTATAAGTAATACAATACTTGATGAATATTTAAACATGGGGTAAGTAATTGGTTGAGTAAATGTGGTTAATTAATTAGTTAATACTGTGGTGTGTGCTACTTATATCGACATAAGTAGTATATAACGCTAGTCAGGAATAGAATGTCTGGCAGCAGAAGGTTGAGAAGATCGAAAAGGGAAGAATGGGAACAGAAGGCAATTGGTATGAAAATGCAGGACAATTAATGAACATTTTGCAAACAAAGTATTTACTTTATGGTTCTCAGATTTTACTAAGATATTCTGTTATGATTTATTAAAATACATTCGTTTTTCCCCATTTGTCTTCTCGTTCACTTCCGTTACTATCAGATGCGTCAATTCAGGTAGACGGCATACTCGGTTTTTTTGTGGAGTTTCGTCTAATGAACTGGTTGGTTTAGTTGTTGAGCCTTCGTTCTTTTTGAACGACGTCAGCATAAACTTCAGGTAGAATAAAAACCGAACATCGTCTTCATCATTTCAATAGTATGCACGATTTTTATACGCTTGCTCAACTAAATATACTAGTGAGAAGACTAAGAAATGACTTGAAAGATTTCATTGACAAGACAGAATGATAAAATACAAACATCACCGGTATATATATTTCTGAATCAGACTATGTCATTAAGGCTGGGACCTTGACCACGTGCAGAATCGATTGCTTCCCAAAAAGTGACTTGTTTATTGTTTCTCAATTACCAGTTGAAATTGAGATGGCATGTGAACACAAGTACATGATATGTATAGATTTGTTCAACCTATTAGTGTCATAAATTGACTTTAGTTGATGAACTACTAGAAATGAGGGAACACTGAATTGTTTTTGCTTAGTTCTGAATTTCTCATAAGTGTACAGTCACTATCTCCAACGATGGATTCAAACTCAAAATGTTCATGTTATACTATGAACTTGTTCCATTTAAATTATTAAACTGTAATCGAGTGGCCAGTAATTTTTATTTTACTGTTAAACAGACGTAACATCATATTTAAATGTAGATAATAAGAATGAAAATATTTTTATAACTGATCGATCACTGAGTAGTGACCAATATCATGTATCTGGATAGCTCAGTGGTCACGTTTCTGACAATGAAGCTGAGTAACACGAGATTGGATCTGGTAGAGATTATCAGTTCCCTCAAGATACAGGTGCACTTTGTGATAAGTGTTAAACAGCATAAAACTTAGTTCCAGAGTTTCCTGTTGACTATCTCCAACCACTGTCTAACATGAAAGATCATTCTTTGCAATAAATTCTCATCATGCTTTATGTCACAATGTATTTTTTTTGGATTTTGTTGATATCGTAAACCGATTAATTGTAAGATCACCATTGAAAACCTGGAAGTACTGTGTTATATTCTCTGAGCTAGCTGGTTTAATTTCAAAGCTTTTATCGCTGTTCTGGACAACATCAGAGTTCGCTTCGCATAGAAGTGAGCTGCTTATTTAATCCCCAATTGCTAGATAAGCCTGTCCCGATGCCCTTATCTATGATTGGTTTTTTTCAGATTTTCTTTGTTTTCCTACTGGGATTTTTGTTTTGTTGACCTCCGGCCACGTGACTGACTGACGGAATAGTCAAGTTTAGGGGAAACACGCATTTGAAAAAATGGAATATAAATTCACAATTGCCAGTGAATATAAGTATTTTTCTTAAGAAAATGTAGGGTAGGGAGTATTTACATTATAAGTTTATAAAAATCTGATCAAGCTAATATCATAAATTGGACATGTCCCTTTTGATAATGGGGCTCCAATTTTGTTTAAATTATGAATAGCTATTTAGAGTATTAACTACACCGTTGAAGCATCACACACACACACGTTTAAAGTTGTTTATCAACTTAGAAATGTGGATTTTTCATAACCTTAATCAATGTAACTCTTTTCAAAAGAGTCAATTGAATAAAGTCAAAAGAAACAAAATACAACTGTATCTTCAATTATGTTGCTGTGATATGCAGTTGTTGAATCAGTCAGTATTCAACAACTGCTTCCGTAAATTAAATCGAATAAATGAACAGGATGAAAAATTGATAATGATCATTGTAGAATATTTCATGATTGTTCGACAAATGCTAACAGTGATTTAAATAGAATGTGATTGTTGGTCAATGTTAGTAAATATTTGGATAATACATTTTAAAATGAAATAATTTCTAATATAAATAACGTTAAGCGTTCGAGTCCGAGACTGATAGGTCCTGGATTCAAATCTCGCGGGGCGGGATCGTGGATGAGAACTGCTAAGAAATCCCATACTAGGATGAAACGGCCGTCCAGTGCTTTCAGGTTTTTCATGGTTATCTAGCTTCAATTGACTCACGAATTTAACTATTAAGTTACTATAATATCCACAAAACCTCTGTTTGATTATAAATAATTATTTTTTCATTATTTCAATGTTTGTTTATTCTTCTAATCAGCTTTCATTGTCCAATTGGATTCCTTCATGATGGGACATTTTTATTTATGGTTCGAATTGGTAAGTTATTATAATCTTTTGCAGATAAACACACATATATACAGTTAAATCAAACGAATAACCATATGAACAGGGGAAGGAAATACTGAACAGTGGAAATGAGTGTAACGTTATGATAACAATTCAAGAATTTTATCATCAGTTTGGATGTTATGTAACATCACAGTACAAACTTTACAGAAGGAGATAATGTAAATGGTCATGAATGGACATATATACTTTTATAAATAATTTTAAATGGATCCGAATTTAGCACAGTTGGCTCAAATGATTACCAAGTTAATCCTTATTTAAGTGATATCACACACTGATATGGATTACTGTAGGTGTTCAACATTCAGTCTTACATGACTAATGACTATGAACATGGGACATAGTGATAGAAGCATAAATCTCTGGGTTTGAGTACACATCCTGTTGAAAAAGTGCTATTGGTTCACTTGTATTAGTTGTTTAAATCTTTCCATTGACCTTTAGGACTGCGATGGATTAGTCTCTCTTTGAGTAGTGCAAAGTTTTAAAGTGGTGAGAAATCTTTGTTAATCAGACGGATGATTTCGGTTTTGTTGCATTCTGTAGGTTAGATGATCTAAATACGAATCTCCTGTTGTTATTTTGAATAACATCACCAGAAGCGAGATTTCTGATTATTCCGCAAGGATTATTTCAGTTCGTTCTGATAACGATGTTTTCGACTGGTTATATTTACTGGTTTATTGTCTTTATGTGTCCATTTTGTTCCCTTTTGGCTGTTTGAGCAGTTGGTGTCTGACGATGGTGATTGTTCAACTTTTTGTACATCGATTTATAACTTTGATCTATATCGATATGTCTGTCAGTTGATTTTAATTTAATGATTCTAGAAATTTTCGTGATCCAGAATTTTGACATTTCCTTAATCAAGTTTGTGGCTGTATGCGTCAATATGATTAAATAACCAAGTTAGAAAAATGAGTTCATACCATTCATCCAAAATAATTGTTCTTGGCATTTTTAAAATGACCTTAATCAATCCATATTTTTCATCTTTCCTCATCTCTGTCCTGAATTCGAAACATATGTATTACTAAATGGTCCCTTTATCTGGGGAAGCTGCATGTGGTAAGAAATTGTATTTGAATAACAAAATCTTTTAATGATCAGAATGAAGATTTGTGGAGATTGAAGTAATGTTAAGAGCTGAATTAATGAGCCGATCTGAGCTAGACTTCTTTTAAAAACCTGGGAGCACTGGACAGCCATTTCGCCCTACTGTAGAACTCCTCAACAGTGAGCATCCACGATCCCATGTTCGCGCACGAAACCGAAGGTCCTGGGTTTGCGTCCTGCATGCGGGATCGTGGATACACACTACTCAGAAGTTCCATACTAGGATGAGATGGTGGTCAAGTGATTCCGGGTTTTCAATAGTAGTCTAGATTAAATCGACTCATGAGTTCAACTCTTCAAATAACGTTTTTACTCCAAACAATACAATATTTAATTATTAGTTAGTTTGAAATTTTCAGAGTATGCGTTAAGTACTTTGTTTTTAGGTTACTGGAACAATAATCGTGTATCTACCGAGACTGTACTCAAATTACTCATGATTCAGTTGGATCGTATGTTGGAAGATCCAAGAGTTCAAATTTGTGGTTTGCGAGTATTTATTGATTTCACCGGTGTCTCACCATCTCTATTGGATACAATTAATCCGAAAAAGACCATTAAAGATTTAAGTAAAGTATTACAGGTAAGATTTTATATGTACACACATACATTTTTTTCGGCCCACTAGGAACATTCTTATATAATTTTGCTTTCATATTAACAAAATATTTAATGTCATAATAAACAAGATTGTACGTACATAATTCAAATGACAATCGCGTAGAGTGAGGCAAATGCATAATATATGAAAGGATCGATCAGCGTCTCAATAGCGATTTCAAAGTTACGAACCGTCTTTGAACTGAAAATGCTTATCGTTGACAAGCGATATTGTGTGATTTTGATGAAAGCGTGATTGTACAATACTTTCGAACTGTAGGTTTGTTGTAAAGTAATATAGATGTTTGCGAAATAAAGCATGAAGGCTGTTTTCAAATGTAACTGTTGCTACAAAAAATGTTCATCAGAGAAAATTGCATCAAGGCTGATTTTAAAATAAATGGTGTTACTGGTAATATAATGACTGTTAGGTCAGCTTTGATGAATTTAACTAAAGTGACTGCAGTCTAGTGGTATTTTTTTTATTTTACAGACAGAAATCCATATAAGCAACTTCAATAAATCCATTAACCATCCATACCTTTTATCGATATTCAATAAAAGTGTCATGTTTAATATTTTCGAGCGTTTTATCCTTTGTCTAGTGGATGAGTGCTTTATATGAGGATATAAATTATCCCGGAGATTTCTCTTCAATTACCTAGCGCTATCTACATATGCCTTCCACGATCATAGTAATATAGGGAATTCCAAATTATAGGATGAAAATAGGCGAAGATAAGTGAAAGTTAAAACTTGCAATGAAAACCCCGGTGAAATTTATGATCACCCCCTAAATGAACGGAAAAGCCGTTCGAAAATAATTTCTACCTTACACATGCTGAACAATCAAAAAAGAGGATGTGGAATAAATTCACAGACGTGTATCTGATCTCCGTGGTCAGTTTTACAATTGAATTAAAATTTTGAAAGTACTTTTAAAAAAACTAACTTTAATTGTAACTAATTATTTTCCGTTAGGAAGCTTATCCATTTCGTATGAAAGGAATAATCTATTATAATGAACCGCAAATTATGGAAGTTTTGTTCAAATTACTATCATTATGGTTGAGACCAAAAGTTAGAGAACGGGTAGGTTTTTTATTTAATATTTTTGGTATTCATATAAAATGCACAGAGAAGTTGGAATGTGGCTAGCAGTTGAATCGAGGACGCGCTTTTCATTTGATTTAGGACTCATTGGTAGGATACATCGTTGCACTCTAGAGTTGATTTTCACTCCGGTATTAGAACATAGTAACGCTAGCTCGAAACTTCGACGCGTTTTCCATTTAGCCACTCACTTGTGCAACTAGTATGAATTTCAGTTTAATTCATGATGTTCTGAATTATATAAAGTGTGTATGTAGCATTAATTTAGGTGGGAGTGTGTTGATGTACATTTGTACTTTTAGGTTACAGTCAAAGTGAACTTTTTATCCTGACTTGTCGTTTACTTACTTTTTTATATGAACAGAAGAGAAAACGTGTATGTCGAAAGCCACAAATCATGAAGTATAATGTTAACTCGTAAACAGATTTACTTAACAAAAAATATGATGTTTTTATAGTTAGTATCAAATACTGTGAATATATCTAGTTGAGTTTCAGGCCTGTATTACGGTATGCCGGATCGATTTGGTCCTTATCACAAGTAGCTTAACTGCTAATCCTATTAACCATGGGAGATTACAAGACTAAGAAAGAGTAGAGAGCTTTAATGACAAAACCGAATAAAAGTATGCGAGACTTCTAGGAATTTCTATCATTCTCTCATTATTACAGATAAAGGCATGTAGGTTGTGACCTTGGTAAGATGAATAACGTATTTACTTAAAATAGTCCGTGCCTTTCTAGATTTTTAAGTTAGTTTTGCGACAGCATATACTTTGTTTGGACTTACAAAAACCTTTGGCCTTCAAAAGTCTTACTTAAATACTTCATAAAGATACACTAGAAGTCTGTAAAACGTTTCTGATAAATCTTTAGACGAAATGTTCTTGTTTCCAAAAACATCAAGGAATACTAAAGGAGGGTCATAAAAGACTTGTGTAAATTTGTCCGGCCTATGAACTCGCTAAAACCTGAACTCATTTGAGTAACTTACAGAAAGCCTTTAGTTGTGTGTGAACTAAGATGTGTTGAGAATTCATAGAAAGTTGAACTGCCAACATTCATATCTCACCATGAATAACCTATCTTATAATCATCTAAACTACATTTATTGGTCTATATTCTTAATCTTATCCGATTCATTATATTCATCTAGTATCACTACCATTCAAGTTTAACAGTCAGTCAGTCGTAAAGAAAATGGAACTTACGACATAAATGCACCATATCTACTACTTTGATGTAGTAGTTCAGCTTACATATCATGATGATCCTGTAGGGTCATATCGATTGTAACACATGTTTGTTGAGGCTCTACCATGCTAGACAAATCAATTGAAAGACGGTAAGTTTAGAAGCATAAAACTAATGGTCCAAGGGTAAAGTCATATTATCGTCAATAAGATTAATTCTTTAGACAATTGGCATCTGTCGTGATGCTATCTTCTTATAGTGGAGAGATTTATAAATGACTGGGCCTAAAAGTAACACACCTCAATCTACCCCCACGGATTTCCGCCGCATATGATAAAGTCTATAAAAAATACATAGCTAATTCATAACAACTACTAGCAAAAATGTCATACATGACCTGTCGTTGAGCTTTATAATCACTATCAAGATCAATCGTAACTCAGTTTGATTTACAAGTATCATAAGAAGAAGTATCCTTTGGTAGTATGGTCAACCTGAAAACAACAATCACCTACACATTTCTGACGGCATTTGACAACGCTTTATTCATTTGGTTTCATTTCATAGATTATAATGAAAACTAAATCTAAATAAATTAACTATCATAACTAGTTATGTATTCTGTAAACTAGATAATTTAATTATAAAGTTTACATTATCATTTAAAAAGGGTATTATCAACTATGATGTTTCTTTGTTATGACACTGAAAGCTTTATAATTAAACCATGTACAATAAACAATATTAAGCATAAAATGAATCTACATTTTAAAATGTAAAACAAAATATATAAAGAGAAAAATGTAAACAAATAAAAAAATTAAAAAAAAATACATAATTGATTATTATTTGAAAACTAGTTCCTGTTGCTATAATTGCATAAATGAATAAAGGCTACTGTTGGAACTGAGTTAGTTAGAGAGAGGTAATTGTTGACTATCACTACAATTTCGACTTGTTGGTTATAGTACAATACATATTAATACTCATGTTAGCTACTTTTTCATAATCATCATATGACTAGGTATCGATCATTTTATTGACTAATAAACTGGATCTATAATGACGTATCTTCTTAAATGTTCTAATTTCAAGTATCAAATTTCATATGATTCAGAGACATTTCTACATTGTTTTTAATCAAACCTTAAATTTAAAACTTTTAGCTATTCAATAGGTTGTTTAATTATTTATACATAATCTTGAATGAGAAAGTATCAAGTGTGTGTATTTATTTGCATCAACTTGATCCAATATGACATTATTATTATTATTATTGTTGAAGTCGTCCTCTCTTGTAAATGACATAGAAGTTATTGTTTTGTTTATCACTATTGCATATTATAATTGATGTGATACAACTGTGTGACATTGTTTCTTAATACTAGAAGTTTATTGAAATCATGGAAATGATCACTATTTCAAAAACAATAGTTTTAGTTCGTTTGAGAATAGTTTCGTGATTATAGAATGAGATAATCAATAAATTTGTCAGTGTTATAATTCTGGCAAATGGTTATGGTTGCGTGAAAAAACAAAACAAATTACTGTCATTAGCTGATTGTGTCACTTAAATATCATTATATATGAGTTGTTTACTTGATTTAGTACAGTTTTTCTATCCCAATGTCGTGGACGCTACTCACAAGATCTCTTGTAAATAGTATATGGTGGAACGTGGCTTCGAAGTTGTCACAGTCGTCAGGTGGAGTGAAGAGTTTCAGTACGCCGAAAGCATGGCGTAGGGAAAACACTTGATGGCCAGACGACAAGACAGTTTAGTTTGCAAAACACATCGTGAGATACAAATAGATGATCGAAGGTTATATATAAGTATAATCTAAATACTACCGTAATTTCTCTTAACTGTTGGTCATTGTCCTATTGTATACCGGCCGAAACGTGTTTACGGATATGTAGGAATAAATTAGTTGTAAAATGAGGAATTATTTCAACGTGAAAAATAGATTCAATTACTCTGATATTCATGGATCTTATTCGTACTGATCAATATTTAGATTTTGAACAATACTTGACTTGGCATCACTCCTTACTAAATAATCAACAGCTAATTATACATACACAATTTGTAGATATTTTAAGATTAATACGTTACAATCCAAAAGTGTAGCTGAATTATATACTTGCTCCTTCTTGAGAATCACCCATTTCCTAGTATTCCGTTGGGGATCAACTATAAAAGCCGTTTCCCTTCCTTCATACTAGTCAAGATATTTTCTTCTTTAAAACTTAGAAATTAATCTGGTCTCAGATTTTTTATTTATCAGGAGTTCTACCACATGTATAGTAAGCTATTTTGTTTCAAAACCACACAGATATTACTTATAATATTTCTTTTTGTAAGTTGAGCACATGATCGGAACATACGCGTTCATTTGATTTCCTTAATCCTTGATTTGATGATCAAGACATGAAAAGAAGTCTTGTTATTTTACTTCTTTACTCTTGTTAATCAAACATAATTTAAAATGGTATTGACACATTTCTAATGTTATTCTTTTTGAAAGATGATGAATGGTTAAATCATAGCGTTATATTTGGTTAAATTGTAGGCAATAAATAACGGGCAAACAGGCTGCATGACGAGAGGTAATGAGTTATTCATTTGGTTAAGGTCAGCGTTCATATGTTGCTATCATTATTGTAACTCATAGGTATTCTTCAGCCAAGAATATTTTTGTTAGGCTTTTCGAAATAACTCTTTTCATGGAGACTTAGTTTACTCAACGTAACTGATTGGTAAAAGGTTAAGAATTCGGAAGCGATTGGATCGGACAGCAGAACGTAACAAACTATGAATTTTGAAAAGAGCAAGAACAAAGATTCTAGCTATTCTGCTGGAATCTTTGTTCTTGCTCTTTTTTAAAATGATAAAGGGAACTATGTGTATGAAACTATGAATTATTCTAGGGTAGATTTTACCATAAATTTAGTTATTGACATTGCGGTTGACATAAATGTTCGCTTGTATGCACGTGTACAGAAGATTTAAAATAAAGATATATTGTTAGGTTTAAACTCGATCAACTCATTACATGTTCCAAGTTTTTTGATGAAAAAAAAAGACATTTCAAAAGATAATCACAAAAGACAATGAAAGATGGTCACGCACTATTGTGGACGAATTAAAGTTAAATCTGCGGGTCCTCGTTTCGATCCTCGATGGGGTCAAGGTGCACGCAGATTGAGTTTCGTACTAGTACAAAAAATTGTTCAGTACGTCCTGGTTTCAAATGGTTTTCATAATGAAGACTAGAAAGGTAAGTTTAATGGAATTGAATAACTTCGTAACATGTTAACACTCATATCGAACACAACATTAAGATTTCCTGACCAGTACCAACGATTCACGTGATGATATTTAGTCAATGTTTAATACATTGGAATCCTCATTTAGTGACATTAATGAACAATCATCTCACAACTGGATATGATTTTATCTTTATTACATAATTACTCACTTGTTGCATAAACTGACAGAATCGCATACAAACGGTTATCATGCTTTTGACGTAAAACAAGTTTTTTTTCTTTACTTTTTTTCCAACAGTTTATAAGAGTAAAAGGTAATATAAAGAAAGCCTATGAAAAAGTACCCGGTCTTGAAAGTGTACTACCTAGAGAATATGGTGGTCAGAATAGAAGTATTAGAGACATTTTAAGTGAGTTATTTAATAGGGAAAATGAATAAATTACTATAACTATGATTATTATTATTTCATATGTCTGATAAACTTAATGCTAGAGGGGTTGATTTTCTGGTAGATTTTTGTATTCCTGTAACCGGTGTCACTTGAGTTCTGAACGAAATCAAACAGGTGGAAATATATCGAAGAAACTTTATTCTCAAGGCTAATTCGTGGACTAAGAAGAAAGATATTTATTAAACGATTACAAGTGCCCTTAGTAAAAATATGAGAATATGTATGGTTCTCATACAACCTACCTTTAATTTACATGATAATATGAAGGTACCATCGAGATGAGTATTACATCATTTTTCGAAGATGACTAATTGTTCAACTGACTATATCACTATGAAGTTATGCCTTATAATCATGGAACATTATTAGTTAATGATGATATACATGTGATTTTAAAGTGGTAAGCTGTTACATTTTATCCCAGGGTATGGGAAAAATTGAATCGAATGAAGTTAGCTTATTCATAGTTCGCGGCTGGTTGAAGAATTATTAAGAACTTGTAACATTGTCTCGGATTAGAAAGACAGTGAACATAGTGAACTAATTACAAGACATTGCTGTTTTGTATTGAACACGTTAAAATTAAGGAATTAATTTAGAATCTGCTATTCAATTTAGTAGAAATCTTAACATCAATGCAACGTTGATAAAATAATTAGATAGGTGATAATGGCATATTTACACATTTTAATAGATTCCAAATCAATGTGATATGAGTAAAAGTAAATTCGAGGATCTTAATTCGTATGCAACAACTATTAACGGGGTCCTGTCACGTTATATTGATAAAAGCCTACACTTGCTTGAAATGTTGACTAATCTGAACTGGATAGTTGAATTGCGTAAATTTAGTTGTCCTTCTGAAAGATTTTTTTAGTGCCTACTTCAATCTGAAGTAAACATTTCGATCATTTTACAATCACTAGACCAGTCTTCCATAATGACCATGTTCCCGACCGGTTGTCTTTATAGGATTTATCAATCTCATGCATCCTACGGATGTTTTTCCCAGTGTAATTATGTGATATATAGAACTTTTCCTTTTAGATTGATATATTAAATCTACTATCAATAGGTTTGTTGATTACAGACTTCTTCAATGACAAGCTCCTAATAATTCTCGGAATTCGTCAAGTCCAGCCCCTATTTACGAACTTAATTCAAGTTTTTATTTTGTTTCACTTTATACTACTAACTAGGATTAAGTAGCACGAATAGCTATGACAAAGTAAATTCCAGCCTAAGTATCTGTTACAAATGTCTTGTTCGTGGTTACATTTCTGTTATTGCCCGAACAAGATAACCAATCTTACTGAATCTCCAAACATTTCATTTATGACCTGCGCACATTCTTGTTTGATGAAATCATACAATCTGTTCATCTTGATATATATATATATATATATATATATATATATATATATATATATATATATATATATATATATATATATATATATATATATATACCTCCATTTGATTGCGCTTCTAAATATGACTGGGACAAAGATGATTGATTTACAAGTTCCCTACTTTAAATATATGATTAATTATAATAATGAAGTATTGAAGTAACGTAAAAATCAGTCTACGTATTTCTTAAGGCATAATGATGAAGGTACCTAATGATCATAGTTTATACACAGAGCTTATCTTGGAGACCTATTGAAAACCAAGTACTAGACAGTTGTTTTTTCACAATTATAGGACTCCTCAGTAATCTACAAAGTGGTTTTGCAATATCACTAATTGATTGAAGTTAGAAATAAAAATCATATCAACACAATAGTCGAAAGACTAAGTGTTTGCCGGGAAACCTTAGTCTTGGCTTTCATACTCGGTGAAATAATGGACACAACTGTCCAGTACTTTCTGGTTTACATTGTTTATATAACTGGGGTCAGTCCATGATATAAAATATGGAAGTATAAACTCTCCACAGATTTTCTATACTAAACAATTATCAATATGAACATCCCAGTACTAATTAATGTACCATAGGTGATTTGTACCAACTAAAAGACTCATTCAGTATTAAACGATTGTGTCATAACCTCCAAGAATAATTGAATTGCAACACATATAATTGATATTTGTAATATTAGTTTTGCTCAGTTTAATCCCGAGTTAGTTATCTTAGTAAATATTATTACGCAATCGAAAGTTATTTCAAGGAAAGTATATAAGCATGTATAGAAAAGCAACTTTTTTCGCTAAAAATTATAATACTCACGTTTGTCAAATTTAATCTATTATTTCCCTTCTTTTCATACATGATATATCTGACAAACAGAAGAACAAAACGCTGATTTTAAAGAATACTTTTTAAGAAATGAAACATTATGGAAAAATATGGCAGTCAATGAAAGAAAACGACCAGAATCATCGAAACGATTAATAGGTGAATATAAAGAAGCTGATGATAGATCAATGGGTACAACTGGAACATTTATTCCTTTACCTGTGAATGACTGATTTCTGAATTCATGTTGGATTACATTTAGACGATATATACTTTTTTTTAAATATCAAAACCAACAGCAATCAAAATAGATGTAAATTTGTATAATTTAATAGAATGAAAGCAATTAGTGATTATTTATTATTATTATGGTGAAATAGAAAATACAAAAGTTCCGATTTTTTTTATTATTTCTTTCTTTCGCACGCTTGAATGTAAATTAATATCTTCAAAAGATACACTGATATACAATGCAATCAATTTAATTGATTAAGTGAAGAAGATTAAACGATAAGTGTAAGCTTGAATCAAATAGATATAGAAAGATTAAACAAAAAATAAACACAACTGAATTTACGAAATTACACAATTTTTCTATACTTTAAAATTAATAATCCACTTACTGGTGTAAGTTCTTCGTTACAGAACTATGCGTTTTTATCAATCTATCTTTTATATTTATTACCAACATGGTTTTATTTAGAAATTTACCTTAAAATTAGTGATTAGTGACTAGGTAATGGAATGTGAAATTGTTTCATATTTGCCCAGACTTCATACAGTCAATATTGATATAACGATTAATACAGATTATATGAAAAGATTAGTTGGAATATTTTCAGTATAACAGAACATGTAAGATATAAATTATTATTGAATACAATGGAAATTATTAATGTAAACTTGTAGTAAAGCCATTCAACTGTTGTATTATTTATCTGCTCACAGTAATTTAGACACTTAATTCATTATGCAAATTTCTGTGTGAGTATGATTGAGCACATGTCTACACATCAATTTTTAATTTATTCTCCCATTGGTTGTAATACATAGATAATCAATAATTTATCCATACTTGATTAACACTCAGAAATATATATGGATTTTTAGCACTTACACACACACACACTTGGTTTCCCTATGTGCTTGCTTCCTATACGCTTGCAGATTTTACCAATCTTTAACAATAAACTATCTCTATAACTAGTGTTCAGGCTTTTGAATAATCTCGAGTAAATCTATAATTCTACTAGGAGATTTGGCCTGCATTAAATACTCAGTTAACGGGATACTATTTATTGGAGTTAGATATAGGGGAAAATAGTCTCTAAAAGCTTCTGAAATCTATTTATTTGGTAACAACTAAAAGGATAGTGCCAAAATTAACAATTAAATGTTTCCTAAAGATAAACTGACCTGGAACAAAGAAATAATTGAATTTGTCAACAAACAACTTAATTAGTAGATTAGGGATGATGATGATGCTGTGATCATCGAAGTGAAGCGATTCTAACATTACTTGGTTTCATGCAGCCACTTTCGTAAAAATAGCAAAATCTCTTTACCGAACATTTTATTTTTGAAGTTTAAATAATGGATTGACTTAAATTAGACAATTCCTGAAAATCAAGAAGAACTGGATAACTGTTCCATCAACAGTGCGCGTCTACGATCTCCTCGGTAATCGATTGAGAAATTTCACTTCTCGTTAGTATTTAAGATTGGAATCAATGAATTTAGATTTGACGGTCCATAATTTTAATTTTTGTCGATTTGTAATATAGCGGAACTATCACCCACTGCCAGTGGTGGTACTTGACCTACACCCGACATAGTTGTACTCCACTGGTTACGAGAATTATTTTCGAAGTTAGTTACTAAAGAATATATGATTACTACTAACAATTTCATAGTTGGTTAATCCTTAGTGCCAGTCGAATTTAGGTTGCATTCGTACCACTAGTTGGTGTAATAAGATGTACCTAGACTCTCCGGAGAACTGACGCTTTCCGTGAGACTGAGTCTAATGTCATTATAATATTACAGTCACTATTATTATATTATACTGTACAACGATTAAGTTGATATTAGTATACCTGGTATCACTAGCTATTAAGCACAAAATGTTATATAAAAAACCTGTGCTTGATATAAATATGCATCGTTAATTATTTATCACAGAACGAAAACATTTACCAATAATAATATTATTATTAATAATTATTATCACAAATTATTTATGGTCAACTGAAATACCGATGATTAAACCGTACACAGAAGAGATAGAAACAATGTAACCAAACTCTCTAGAAGCTGAGAAAAAGGAGAGCAAAATGTGAAAACAGTTTCTGTACATACACATTTATCCATACAACATAAAACAGTGGAAACAGTAGTCAGTATAAAAACACAATCTCCCGTGCACACACAGTCTACTCTTATTGCTCGAAGAAAACACAACAACATATAGCGGCGCATACATGGATGAATGTAGTGGTCTAAAAAAGCGTGCTTTATATCACTAATACTCTCTGTCTCTCTCTCAGAGTACAAACAACAAAAATAATAACATCACAATACTTTTCTCATCTTTCCCTTTATAATCACTTACACGATAAGCAAGAGAAAAAAAACTCTTTGACATATACATACATCCAATATAAGCATTAAACCATGGCATCCAGTAGAATACACACAACAAATGGGCAAAAAGAAAAAAAAACTAGACGAATGTCAGAAAAAGTGGAGGGTAGGGGGTAGCAAGAGAGAGAGCCTTTAAACAAAAAAATACATACATACACAAAATGATAAATCTATTTCGTTTACTTTCGTTATAGACAAAACGAAACAATAGAAAAATTAAATGAAATAGAAACGATGTGTGTATGTTAGTTAAAGGATGAAGTACCGCAAAGTTTTTTTTTGTGACCTCGAATAGTATGTTTTTTTTTTCTTTAAGGAAAAAAGTTAAGTTTTTAGAATATTTGTGTTTTAGATACGAATCAAATAAGAGGTAACTGATAACCTGAAAGTTAAAATTGTTCAATCATCCAAAATGAAGAAGAGTAAAGAAAGAGCAAAGATAATGAAGGTGTTGGTTCAAAGTAGAACTATTGGATTATTTTATTGTAATAGAAAAAGTGATGATGATAATCATAAGGGGAAAGGAAGTAAAAGTTAGTAATTTATATATTACTATTCACAAAATAAAATATTTATTTTAGAAAAAACAAACAGAAAATGTTTATGTGATATATGCGAGGTACTAGTCGTAGTCGTACTCGTAGTGGAGAATAGTGTGTATGTATACGCAGAGTTAGATCAAAATAGAAATATGAAAATTTTGTAAAAAGAGAAGGCTCAATTTATATATGGCAAAGAGAAATAATGAAAATAATCAAATGAACATGTTTACACGTGTTAGAGGAAATAAATTACACACTTGACTATTATTTTTCTGGAGAAAAGAGGCACATGAAGGATATGAGGGAGAGAGAGAGTAACAAGTGTACACTTTTAAAGTATCTAATTACGTTTAGATAGATTGTGTATTTACTTAAAGCAGAATAAAAACCGAGACGTTAAGCTACAGTAAATTAGTTATTTCATATTTCAATGCTAAAAATTTGATTTTTATTGTTCGGTTAACTAGAATAGTCAGTCTATTGATGCATTGAAGATTAGTATGCCAGTCGTAATCTTTCGAAACATATACTCTCTCTCATTGTTATGTGTATGTGCGTGTTGATGGAGCAGTAGTAAGAAGTAAAATTAGTTAGCTTCTTACATTCGATCATTTTGCAGTTATATAAATAATTTGATGACCATTAATCGATTCGACCGGGTTGTAAGAATAGTGTGGTAGACAAAAAGAAATCATATATCGGTAGTAGTAACAACAACAACAACAACAACAACAACAACAAAAACGGAACACAACATTTCGATGAAGTTGTTCATGGAATTAAAACAAAAACAGAGAAAAACCGCCCAACAAGACAAGTAAAAATGAAAATCTGACTAAAATGATGTGAGAAAAAGAAACATGACAAAAATTAATTCACTAATTAACTTAATTTAACAACAGTGAATTAGATGGGAAACAAATAGCGTAAGTATTATGTAATCTCCAAATAAAATGCCACTCTCTATATTTCATCTGCATGCATTTCTGACTATGGGAGGAAGAAGTTTATTAGAAAATGGTTTTCTTTTGTTATTTGTAAATGTGTAGAAGGAAATAGACAGATTCTTATGATATTGATTAGTAGAAACGTCTGACATCATCACCACTAATAGTGATAATCACGACGACAGTAGATGGTCATGACGGAAAATAAGAGAGGCAGAAAGAGACAAACAGTTGGTTTCATACAGATGATTGGTATACACACATATATATGATTTATAACTGGGATTATTTTTTAACAAACAGTAATGGATGATGATTGGATCAACTTCTGGTTGTAATTGAATCTTCAGATGTGGCTGAACTTTGTTGACGGTCAATATAGAGCTTCAAGAGGCGTTTCTGTTGAGCAAGGATACAGGAGAGGGAGGTAAAGAAGAGAGCTAAATGAAGTAATAGGAACTATTATAAAGACAAATTATTCAACAAAAATTGATCGACAGAATTTAACTGGTTCTGGCAACATCGCAAACATGAGAATGGTCACTTATTATTTAGTGATCAACTAGTATAAGCATGAAAGTCGTACATATTAGTGTTGATTTTCACGACTATGACACTTGGAGAAATCGACTTCTATACAATATAATCAATAACATCTTTATTCTCTGCATGATTTTAGAGCGGGAAAGAACATCTGAACCAATGATAATAATACTTTTGATGACAGTACAAAGAAAGTATATACTACATCATGATGAAGGCTATATACAATGGTTTTTCCTGGTGAATAGTTTGCGGAGTTAGTGTTGTCTTTTATTAAGATCATGAACTGATATAAGTTAAACCACCATTTTAAATCTGAAAGCACTGGACTCCTCAGCAGTGATCCCGCAGGCGGAAAATCGAACTCAAGACCTCCGGTCTGGTGCATGGACGCTTAATCTCTAAACCACTTTGCCGGCATCCAACCGTGTTTATGGTTCAAATGAAAGACAACAATCCCCGCAATACCTATACTGAAAATAATCATGCCACTAGCTTCAAGAGGAAATTCCCAGAGTTCTAGTGAGAAGACGTGACTAGTGGAGCTAAGCCATGTCGAATGTGAGACAGTTATCAACCGAAGACAGTGAAAGATGGTCGTGCAATGCTGCAGATTGATTGACATTAAAACGGCTAAATGTCAGCATAGCGATTTGGAAGTTAGGCGTTCATGAGCGAGATCGGAAATCCTGGATTTGATTCCCATATGCGTAGTCATGGATGTGCATTGCTGGGGAGTTATATACTATGATTAAACGGCCGTCCAGTGCTTCCCGGTTTTCAATAGTAGTTTAATTTGTATCAGTTCATGATCTCAATGAAAGTCAACAAACTTCACAACCCCTTACTGACAGCTAGTATTGTATTGATGAAAGTAAACGAATTATCTCTCAGAATATCCCAGATTCAAAGTTAATCTTAGACGACCTAATAATAACTTTCGCGTTTTCGACTTTATTATTTTATTAGATCTTTAAGAAACAAAATCATACCACTCTATGGTTGATTAACAAATGTCCATTCTGTAAGTTGTAATAGATGTCCTGAATGAAGACAAAGATAAGTTAGTGTTACGAAACCTGGATTCAACCTATGGACAAGTTGTTGAAGACGTAGACATAAAAGTACGTAAAATGACTAGTCTTATAAACTGCATAACTTATTCCTAACAAAGCTGACTTATTCATAAGATGCGTAACTGTGTGTTCCTACGGTTAATCAAGTGTAATTGTAATTACATAACATAAGTTTATTCGTAAATGATTTTAAAACATAGACGGATAGTCGGCAATAAATAGTATGCATAAACAGGGCGGATTAATTATTCACCTAAAAAGATCATAACTGTGAGATAATATATATTACGTACACAAATAAAATTCTGTGTTAAATGTGATAATTTACTACGTAATAATAATAATAATAATAATAATAATAATAATAATAATAATAATAATAATAATAATGCATAATTCGGATAACTTACTTTGCCAGCGTTTAATTCAGTTAAATAACTCCAGATATCATCACCAAGTTTCATAGCTATTGCAACTAGACAAAATACACTGGCCTTACGAATGGCACTCTCTTCATGATTACAAGCCTATAATAATAATGTTAATAATAATTAGTGTGCACAAGTATGAATGGGCTGTATTTTGTCTCAAATATACACAACAGAATGCACAAATGTTCAGGTCAAAAGTCACACAGTTACAGATAACTAACCACCCCAAAAGAGCGGGAAATAGTCGAAGAAAAAATTGAAAGAGTTCAGTTTATGATAAATTCTTTTGGAGAGCGAGAAGGTGGGTAGGAAGATTGTAGTCAAATATTACAGACTTGATTAGAGACGAACTTATTAAACTAGGTGCGGGGGATATTTTTTATTGATTTAAAAAGTATGAAGTGATATTTAAATATTTCCACTAGTATCGTGGCGAAACAATAATTTGTGGACGAACTGATTAGGCACAAGATAACAGGTCTCGGAATTTGGCGCGAAATTTACTCATCAATTTGGCTAAATAGAGTTTTGGCATCATAACTAATGTAATTTCGTGATGAAAACCCTAAATTTAATTTCTAACTTTAAACATCAACTGTAAATCACAATTCTCATTTCTCATACAGGTTTATAACCCTCATTTGGTCCTAGTTACTAGGTGGACACTCTTGAGATCAGTCTAGCGTCCCTCAATGGTTGTCGATAAATTATAGTTCAACCAGTATCGCTTGTTGACTGGTAATATTAACAAAGCTCATTTAATACATTGTTTGATCATGTATGGATGAATTTGTAAAAAAATTGTATTTTAAAGAACATTGATGGAATATGAGCCCTATGAATGAAGCTGTAGTTTAGTAGTTAATGAGGATTTGAACACAGTTTCATCGGTTTCGAGTAGTGGTTTTACTAGTCTTCATGTTTGAGGTGTGGAAGTTGAGTTCCGAACCTATTAATAGCTACCTGTTAAATATGTAACAAAAATATCACTCATCAAGGAAATGTAACATAATTCAACAGTTCCGATAAAAGATGGAAAAAATTGACATCTGGACAAAGGACTCCTTAAAAAGGTTGGAAAGACGATTGGTTTATCAGGAGAAAAGCTCATGTTTGCAAAGCAGAATTACCATGGTGCAAGATTCCCTTTAGAGCATAACTATGATTAGGAAATGAATGAGAATTAACTTCTCACAGTAGGACGCATTGTCTCGCCGTCTGAAATCCCGCTTCGACGCTCGCTTTGTAATATGATGGAGTCCCCCATTGGCGGCATATTATCCTTACGGTCATACTGTAGTGAAATAAAACACCAGTGGGGACAATCCAATGTATTTAACAACAATTTACAGAACTAGTTAGTAAAATCAAACGACCATATATTGAATCGGTAATTTGCAAATTGTTCATCAATTATCTCAAATCACTCAGAATCCCCTTGTTCTTGTATTTTCATACAAATTGCATTCTTCTTTCATTCTTTATTGTTCGATCTTCTCGTCTCTCTGCTGCCAGACATTCTGTTCAGTACTCACGTCATATACTACTTATGTCCACATAAGTAGCACACACCACACTCGTCCCCCCTTTAAAGCAGTCGTTCTTGCGGTGGTTCCTGCTCGCCGTGCAACATTCTTCCATTTGCAGTCTGTGCTACGCCCTCCGTCAAAATGTCGAGTCTGCGGCGCGCTGACCTCCATAGCTACGTCGACCTGCCGGGGAACCAACATCCGACCTCCACTCGGCACCTGGGACGTCTACTCCTGTGCTCCACCGGCCTGCTGAGCCATCTACATCCGATTTCCGCCAAGCAGCCGCACGTCCCACCGCTCCTCTCTGTCGACAGCACCCGCTACGGCCAACGCCGCCCCGCCAGATCACTCCACCAGACGCCACCTCTCCGCACCAGACTGCCCCAACCTGCGCCTCAGCTCCAGGCCCGCAACGGCGTCCGCAGAACAGCACCCTCCTCCTCTCCTGGTTGGCAGCGACACCAAATGTAGTGAAATAAAACACCAGTGGGGACAATCCAATGTATTTAACAACAATTTACAGAACTAGTTAGTAAAATCAAACGACCATATATTGAATCGGTAATTTGCAAATTGTTCATCAATTATCTCAAATCACTCAGAATCCCCTTGTTCTTGTATTTTCATACAAATTGCATTCTTCCTTCATTCTTTATTGTTCGATCTTCTTATCTCTCTGCCGCCAGACATTCTGTTCAGTGCTCACGTCATATCCTACTTATGTCTACATAAGTAGCACACACCACAATACCACAATGGCTATCGTGTCAACCTTATTCCCCAGATTACATAGTACGGTTTGTGGTCATCACTCCACACCTAACGGGGCTTGAAGACTTACGAGTCAAGAGGAATATATAAGCTCTCGTTAGCCATGTTTCCGATACAGAGTTTTCAGACTCAAATGACGATACGAATTAGTCTTATCCATTCGGCTGATATGTGTCACATGTATATATGAAACAAGCATTTTATAGACCTTTCATCGCGGCAAGTACTTACTACACAGATACATAGAATACATAAGTCAAAGACCCATGTACTCCATTGTATACACAAAGATATAGATGCAGCTTCTATTGTTATCGCCCTAGAATTAACTCTTCACAACCTGAAGTATTAAATCACGCAGTGCGTTTTAGCCAATCCAGTCTATGATATAATGGTAGATTAGTCCAATCTCCATTGACTACTCACATCGGTGTTTATAAGACAATTCATGATAACAAAGAGAATTATAGTCAAATGATGAAGTGAGATCAATTCAGAAGATAATGAAGTAACACAAGTGAAAGCATAAACTTACAATTACAAGTCCAGGAATTAATGCATTAATAAATTCATGTACTAATTCCGGTGAAGAATTTTGTATAACTTGCATTTGCATTTTTATTGCTGGTAAATTAATGTGTAGTTGTGAATCATTTATTAGCGGTGTCAATACATTGAGACATAGTTCTTGTGGAAGATTTTGTGCTACTGTATTGGCGCAATCTTCTGCAGCTCGAATAACCTAGTTTGATCGAGGGAAAGGAAGAATACAAAAATGATGAACATAGTAACATTATTTACTTAACTTACCAAGATTTCAAACAGTTTGTTTTAATTTCGAAAAAAAAACTGCCACTCACAAATTGCTTATAACTGTATTCTTATTCAGTCTATTAGCAAACTGAGCAAAAAACATAAAATTATGGTTACTAAATTGAGGACAATTACAATCAGTGAGATTTAAAGCAGTCACCTACGATGTGTTAGCAATCAGATATTTGAAATGAAGTCGGACTTTTATTTTTCTCTTTTCTCCTTCTCTTCAAATTATCATTGTTTTGTGTGGCGCATATATATTTGGTGCCCCCCTGTACCAATATTTATGTGTTCAAATAAATAAATAAATAAAGACGGACTGAATGCATCATTGAGTGATAACCTTAGGTACTGGGATTGTTAACAAAATGAAAACTGACTCTCTGTACACTCGACTGTACCAGGGCAGCTGGGGGCGAATTTAAGAACGAACCACTATTAGTTTGAAAGTAAACACTAAAACTGTCTACGAAGATGAATATAAAGTAAATGACATAGACTTCTACTATGTTGCAAAGAATTAACGTTGATTGAGTTTTTCGAACGACTCTTAACAAAAAAAGCAGATGACAGACAATAAGTGAACAATAATAATAATATTTATCAATGAAATGTGAATGAATACACGTAATCAAAAATAGAACTTACAGATTTTTCACTATCTCGACAGGCTTCAAGTACTTTAATAACAAATAAATAAGCAAAATCATGAAATAATTCCGGTTTAGCTCGTACTAATTCTTGAAGTACACGAAGTGCAAGTGCTCTTGTTTCATGCTAGCAGAAAGTAAATGAAAAAAAACAAAACAAACAACATATATTTTAGGAAATAAAAACTTGATTGAAAGTGAAGAAATTTCTCAAAAGCTAAAACAGTTCAGTAGCCAAAGGTCCATATTTCCGTTTATATTACGTTTTTTCAGGTAAATGATTTATAATTATGAATCTTTTAGTTGTAATTTTGGGAGAAATATCATCAGCAAAAGAAGAGACCTTTCTGATTAGTTTGCAAGCATCAAACCAGTCAATTCCGATGGTCCAACTCTTTATCTTCTGAAGTTTTATTATATTCACGTGTTCTATTGACTGTTATGTTCGGGAATACAGGTGCATCTGAATAACATAAAGCCAGTTGAACAGAAAGTCATCAGAGTGGACCGGTTTTCAATGCATATGGAATAATCAGAAAGCTCTCTTTTTCTACTTGAAGTAGGCGGCTGATGATAATATACAGAGCGATGAAATCTTTGGAATCAAACCTTAAACGTCAGAGAATACGCTACTAACCAGAACAATTATTTGTGATACCACAATCAAAACCGAACAGCATTTCCTTGAGGATTGCAAATTAAAAAGATATGTATTCCGATCAATAATTTTTGACAGAATGAAAGATACACAAAGAAATCGATATTGTTGTTTCATCATTTACATGAAACTCCCTGGTTAGCATGGAATTATTTGGATAGTGTGCCTGCACAACTTTGACGTCCCAGCAGTTCTGATGATTAAGTGTTCACAGAACGACATGAAGAACTTTACATTCGATCCCTGGCAGGATCATAGGTAAGCACTGTCCAGAATTCTTACATACGGACGAAACCAATGTTCAATACTGTTCGCTTTTCGATAGCACCCTACGTAAAATTAATCTATGAGTACAACCTAATAACATGGAACTAGATTGCAAAACATTCTACTTTTGTATCATCATATTAGACCAGTAGCCATAAATAAGGTCCTAAAGATAGCATAATTGGTTACAAGAAATGTGCAAATCAAGGTGACACTATATGAAACTTCGGTTTAGCCACATCTTTTAACACTAATCATATTCAAAAATCCGTCATTTTTAAGTTGAAAAATCTGTTAACTATGACCTTTACAGCACACCATGGCTAAAATTATTTGTAGTTGCTAAGATACATAAATAATTTTCAAGAACTTTACAATAACATATGCATTGATTAGTAATGGTGTTTGTCAGTCAATATATATATATATATATATATATATATATATATATATATATATATATATATATATATATATATATATATATATATATATATATATATATATATATAACATGCAAGATTTGTGGTCGAATTCATTACAGAAAACAACAATCACAACAAATTAAATAATCAAGTGTCCGAATTCTGTTGTGGTGTGAAAATTAAGCGTGTTAAAACAGTGATTTACATGGAGGTTAACCGTTTACTAGCAGTTGATTTTTTTTTTTTAGATAATTACAAAGATCTTACAGAATTCAGATGTTTTATACACAATTAGAGAACACAAGATTAATTCATTTCATTAGGTGCTCCACCAACTATTTATTACCTGAGATAAAGCTTAACATATATTATTACGATTAGAAAGTGTTTGAATAATCCCAGTGTTGATAATCTTGATTGAATTGGTCTTTATTGTTAGATGTGTGTCTTGTAACATTTGCCATGATATAGTCATTTTGTCACTCAATTCTTATGCAGAACAGATCGATTATCGCTAGTGGTGAAACAATAACACTAAGATGAAGGTAAGTACCTTCAGTTGATGAATTATAAATAAAATAAAAGGCGCTTTTTGTATTTCAGTGCTAGTCATAACCCATCCATTATATATAGAACTTAACACATTTATAAGATTATTGTTGATTAGATTCTTAGTGTGAAAATATATCAGCAAAGTTGATAATAAAATAGTGACATATTTATAATAATAATCTCAATGAATAAGCATTAGAAACTTTGACATTTGACGACTTAAGTCACTTCTTCAGAGTAAATTAATAACTGAATTCGGTTTGCACCATTAAACGTTTATGTAGTGTTTGGGTTGATGGATGTGCATACACAACTACAGTTGAAGTGATAAAATGAAATGAGCATTGAAAATATATACTCTGTTGACTGGAAAAAGAGCTCATAAATGGTTTTTGTGTTTTGCAGTACTTTTGATCACCCACAAGTACTATTAAGATGATTTATTCATATAAAATTCCACCAAATAGTATTTAACATATGTGAAATATATCATCACCGAAAAATATACCATATTCAAACGAACTGTAAAGAAAAATCTATATACAAGGTGAAAATTTAACTCACTCCATCATCACCTAATGTTTCTAGGAGAATTAACAAAGTTGGCTTGAAATATTCATCCCAATTACTGATAACACCATCACGTAATAATTTGATAAGTTTTAACATACATGTCTTTCTTTGTTCATAGCTTGAATTAATGTGAAACAGATAGAATGAAAATAAGGAAAAAACTTTATAATGAAGAACCATAGTGTAGAAAAACTTTCAAAAACAAACTGAGAAGTAGAGAACACCGTTGAAAAAAGGCAATTGAACAAAGTATAAGCACAAATAAAACTGTTGTTAGTGAAAAGTTTAGCAGGATGTACACAGATTTGTGAAATAGGCTACAAGCTATATATATATATATATACATATATATATATATATATATATATATATATATATATATATATATATATATATATATATATATATATATATATTCGTAACAGTCTGGCAGCATCTGATCTACATCAAAGCGACTGATTAGGCTGTGGAATGTATTTCCATAATTTGTCAGCTTCAGAAATAGATCTATTAAACTATTTTAAGTACGAATTATAAGACAGAGTAATTATACTTTAGTAGAGAGATGTTTATACATCATTTACAGGTGATTTTCTTCACAAACCTTTATCATGTCAAGTGGTATTTAACACTAAAGAGTACTGAGTCGGCGGTTCAAACGCTGTTCGAAACTCAATTATGTTAAGTGAGACGTTAGTCCATCAGTGACATTATTTAATGACGAGCATATGAAGGGTTAAAATAGTGGGTTGTTGGATTACTTAAGTTCTGGGAGATATTTTAATTAGTAAGAAATTATTTAGCTTTTCTCTCCTCAAATAAGACAGATGAATGCTTCTAGATATATAGTGAGTGATATTTTAAGCCATTTACATGATCCGACTGTTCAGAAATCAACAAGATCGTTTGAAAGACATTCGAGTATTTATGCTTTAGTTTTTCGAATACGTGCCATTTAAAAATGAGAATATTGCAAAAAGAAATAGTAAACACAATTGAACAAACTATTCACTAATTTCACTTATCTAACAATCTTAATCAACTACCATTACTTCTACTTATCTATGAATGTATTAAAAAGAACAGCCGAGTGAATTTTATTCATTTAAACACATAAACATTGGTACAAGGAAGCCCCAAATACATGTGCCACACTTTATCATTCCATTTGTGTGAGGGCTGGAGTACTACCAAGGTGGCCAAACCGAAGGAATATTCATTTCTTATAGGTTCAACTTGTAATAAAATACAAAAAGGGAAATAACGTAAAACATTTTCTCGGAATACGTAAGCTTTTAATGTGAATGACTTTACAAGTGTGATTGATTGTTCTTCGTATGTATTTATTTCAATCATGTTGATATGTATTTCTTTCATAGTAGTTCCAGAAATGGACTGTATTGTTTAGTTATTAATTTATATTAGCAAGTTTAGTGATTATAGTTTGAGGTTTAGAAGAATACTTTGACATATTACTTCAATATATGTACCTTGATTGCCATGTGCATATTCACAATGCTACAAATTACAATAATATAGTGTTCAAACGGAGATTTTTTTAGCACTGATATTCGATTTGATGCTAATTTGTTACATTGGGAACAACAACAACAAATGTAAACAATTTTTCAAAATCCAGTTAAAAACTTTCAGTTTGTGTATAGTGTAGCATGATGAAATGGACAAAAGTACAGTTTTCCACTGCTAATTGATGAGCTTTATTCATACTGTCATATGAATATTTTTTATATTGCAGAACACATTTGAAACGAATAAACTTATTTGCCACGCATATATATATATATATATATATATATATATATATATATATATATATATACATATATATATAAATTTGGCTTCGAGTCATACGTTTATTTGGGTTTGAGAGCTAATATTACTAAATTGAATTGGAGTGAGTGATATAACCACTACTCCATGGAGAAATCGTTTTAGTTATTTGACTGGAACTATTTGTAAATAAGTTTTATTTTCTACTAGTTGGTCAGTGCTATCATGGCTTTTAATAAGTCTGTCGGTTTCAGATTTGAAGCAATAAGAATGCTGAGATTGTATACAGCGTATCGAGGAAAATAACAAGTTGTTTGCGGATCATGGTTGGAATACATATTACACATACTACAACCACTTCCTACCTCGACAAAGATGGGAGAGGCCAAATGAAAATGTGGTATCAAACGATGAGGTTGCTGATTGTTGTTCTGAACCAGGTTGGTAAGTGCAGACTACTTGGTTGAGGTCTACACAATTAACAGATTTAAACGTTAGATGATATTGATCAGTGGCGAAAATGCAATTATTTTTTATCTTCCTCTAGATCGTGAGTTTCAACTAATTTTTGGAATAAAATACATGAAGTAATTTTCCTTCTTCTAGAATTATATCTTATTTGTCTAATTCTTTTAATTTAAAGTAATACCAATTTCACTACTCTGAGATCGTCTTGAAGATTTTATTTTGATATGTGCATATGGTATGGTAAGTTGACATGATGCACATATGTGCCAAGTTCTACATTGCATATGGAATGACATTCTGACTAACCGAATGCTCACATAACTAGTGTGATTTGAAAATGACTATGCAGGACTCGTGTTCGATATCCTAATCAAACTACGAGAATGAATAAACTGATCCATGTACCAGGAGGGAGCGAGTATAAAAAAACACACGAATTATATACTTGTTTATAAACTAACAGGGAAAGGTGACAAGATTTTAAGAAAAAAGAGATATTTTCCTCGCTTGTATAACGTCATCAAAGTAAGGAAAATGATTTGATAGTTAAGGAAAGCTCTTCCAATAATATATGGAGTAACCGAATTATTACTACTTCAGCAAACATGATGGAAAATTAAAAAGAAAAAAGACTTGTGTGCAGAACCGAGTATGCAGCATTAATACATGAATTAACTGACTGCTTGGTTTTAGTTATGTATGAAAATATGGGCTTTTTATAAAGGAAAATTCAGGATGAATCATTATCGACTGTCAAAGTATTTATACTGTTACATGTACCTAACAATCGATTAACTCGACGAGATATATCTACTGTTGGAGTAACTTGGAAGAAAGTTAAGAAGTGTAGGACCAAAGCAAAATGTGCCATCAATCCATGAAGTCACTTTACTGCAGGTAGGTGGGTGAAAATTGTTGGCGTATGAACAACGATCGGTGGTTCTAAGCTTCGAGTGAAATGGCTCGGAATAGTTCACAATTGTGCAAAGGCATCCAATTTTTTTTGCCAATCTTGAATTCCAGTATTTTTCCATACACACTTTCTCACCCTATCTATTGAAATTATATTCCCAGGATTTAGTCTTTCTTTCTATCATTATTACTACAATACTTCGATCACTTTTGCTATTTTCATCTAGTCGTGTTAATCAGGTATGGTGATCCAGATCAACGCATATATATGCCAGGCTCTATGTTCATTTTTCAATTCACATTTGTACAGTTCATAAAATAATTTTATTTCAGAAAAAAAGAAAAAGTCAATATTGACTACTTTAAATAGTGTCTGTTTTAAAGAAGAATAACCGTATTGATTCAGAGTCTATTTAATGTCATTATTGTCTGTTTCCAAAAAGTTCTTTTTATTTTATTATTAATTATTTATGACTATTTTTCCTCTTGGCATTTTTGTATTGAACTATTTGTTCGATCAGAAGAGTAGGTTGGTAACTAAAATACGGATTTAACACAATGATATTTACCAGATTGATGTGAATGGTAAATCAGTAAGATATACAGATACCCAGGGCCTGCTAAATCTATGAGACAGTATTTACCACTGTGAATTCCTTTCTATTATTGATTTCTACTCTGAGTTTCACTGTGTGTAGACTTCTGGTATTTTGTGCTGAATCATGTATCTTAAGTATAACGTGATCGAGTCTAATAATTTCATGCATAACGATTAATGATACCAGTTGAAAATAAGTTTTGAACCCGAAAACTCAATGATTGTATGGAATACTTACTAAGTCCTTCACTTCAAAACCGTACAAAAGGAAGACTGATAGTAACAATAGCGAGAATAAAACTTAAATATTAACAGTAAAAATGTTATAAAGTTTGCGAACTAATTAGTCACTACATATCAGAAAAATAGAAAAGTGCATAACAAATAAAACTATCATTTTGCTCAAAAGCAAAACACAGACGATTTCCGTAAATGAGATTAAGCTACTGTGAAAAGAAAAGTACAAAATCTATACTATGGGAATATTGAGAAAACTTTATAAAAACTATTGATGAAAATTTGTTGAAGTTGTAAGTAATTATGACTGTATAGACATAGAAAGCACTACAACTACAAGCAAGAAATGTCTAGACAGTAGGTTACATTAATCAACCATTTAATCACTGAAACATATATACTTCCATTATGAAACAAGGGTATAATATAGGTGTCAAGATATCGAAATGAATGACAATTAACGCAGTACAATATAGAGTAACTCAACTAACCCACGACATGTCGGTTATTATGCTGACAATTATGTTTCAAGAACCTAATCTGGAGTACACAGCTGCTATGGGAAACAGACTGAGTTATTCTGCGACTAACTCTTAGAGAAGTACATTTCGGAAAAAACCGATTAGGATTTTATCGTAATCTTTTGAGAACTAATTTTAACCTAGTCGATAAAGTTAAGAAAAATTTTATTTTACATCAATTCTCAGAAAAATGATTGTCACAAATCGATATTAAGGATTGTGAAGAAACTGTGTGAAGTATAAATTTTGTTAGCAGTCCTTTTTAAAAGTGAGAGCGTTAAGATTAATTTACTTTAAAAAAAACGAAAAGAAACAACCTCGATAATCAACAAAATTTCTAGTCAAATTAAAAAAATATATTGATAGTAATGAAACAAAAAGTGTTCACAAACACCAAAGAAAAATAAAAGGAGGCGGGAGCGTGAGAAACTAGAGAGAATGGTGACACCAACACTCACGTGACATTATCTCTAGATGGGAATTGATTTCATTAATTCATTTAGTAAATGTTACAAAACATTCACAGAAACACACAATAATGATGATAATGTATTGTTTATCATTTTCTTTATAGGAAAAATTAACAGGAAAAAGTTATGCAAACATATGAGTGCATGTGCATAACTATGTATTTAATCGAAATAATTTATGATGAAATAATGAAATAAACAGTAACCGCCTAATCAACAATGTATACACACGCAAATAAAAATTAAAAAACAAACAAACAACGGTAGTAATACTTTATTGATCATAGTAATTTTGTTGAAGCAAATTAGGCTATGATAAATCACCTCTTTAACATGTATACATGTATGTAATACACACGTATGCACAAATAAATAAAGTGTCTATGTTTGTGATCATTATTAATAGTGGTTTATGATTCGATTAGTGATCAGTAGTATTATTAAATGATAGAAATTGGAAAATCATGTGTATGTTTGTCACAAATAGAAAAGTTTACGAGAAAAAAGTTCTAACGAATGTTTTTTTTTTCAATTTTTCCAAATTATATAATTGAACAATAAACCTAATTTGAAGCAAATTTAAACTTATAAAATACATGACATTATTGTCAAAAAACTGATATTCCATTTTCGAAATTTAACCTTACAAGAGAAATTGGAACTAAAGAGAATAATAGTTTCTCAATTACATGATTTTTCTTATAAAAAAAACTGCTGGGGACATGGGGAAAGAGAAGTTCATATGGATTTTGTTCTGATTTGTTAAACCCGTATTTATAATCGTATCGAAAAAAAATCTTGTAGTATGAGATTTTCTGAAGTAGAACCTTCCTTGACAGAGACATAAATTCCAGCATAGAATGCAAGATGGTTGCAAGTGAAATTACTAAATGTTTTGGGTATACGCCTAAAGTCAGGTTCTGTACGAGGGAAAAACAAATTTTCCGTCACACAAATACTACTAGTCAGGGAAATAAGTTATAAACAAGCAATTTGTTTTACTAATCAAAAAATAAAATGAATGATCTCTGTTAATACATGCTGAATGCAGTATAGATCGGGAAGCACTACATAGAACTTTTTCTCTATTGAATATCAAACATAATTATTGGAAAAAACAAATATGCAAAAATATTAAATCAATAAACCAATCAATACTGGTGTTTTTGAGAAAGCCAAAGACGACGAAGAAAAGGGGGCGTAACGAGAAATCAATTAGGTAATCTGAAGAGAGGAAAACCATTCAGAGCAAATTAATTGACAAACATAAAGATAACGTTGTAATTTTTTCTCAATTAAAGGGAAAGGAAATCAATTTGTCACTTTTTGTACTTAGCGTAAACAATAACCAATTTAGGGTGAAACGACAAAAAAGGCAATTAACGATGTAATTTATGTGGAAAAGAGAGAAAGTGAGAATAAGTAAACTAGCCCATAAAAGACGTTGAACGCTAATTAGAAAATGGGAGAAATATCATGTGATCTGTTGATTACAATAGACTATTATTACACAACAGTTGTAGTTTGGTAATTATCACTGGTTCATAAAACAAAAGGAATAATCTAAATGGCTGTATTAAACCACTTGAATAAATATAAACTAAGAAATTTATATAAATGATAAATTCTTTAAGTAATCAATTAACTGGTTTTCGTATACTCATTGATGTGAACAGAGAAACAAGAAGCCCTGTCAAAATACGAAAGCTACTTTTCGGGACGTAATTTCATTTTATACAAAGCTTGTAAAACATTAACATTTATTTTTGTTCTTAGTTTATTCTACAGAACATAAGCTTTCGTTTGATGGATGATTCATTGCCATAACCCTTTTTGTTCCAAAGCTATTGCAATTTGAATGCAGCAGGTACGATAACTCCGTCTCATAATAGATAGAGATAGACAACGACCAGATTCAAAGAATATGGAAGTTGTAAAAACCATGCCCAGAACAACGGATATTTCTACTATACGATCTTTTTTGGGAACGATTAGTTATTACGGGAATTTTCTTCTTGAACTACACCGCCTACATGCTCCACTGAACTACCTACTTGTAAAAAGGCGAAATGGAGTTGATCCGCAGCTTGCCAAGTGCTTTAGGAAGGATAAAGTTTTTGATAGCGCAATTATTGAATTGATATGTATTAAAGCTTACACAATTGTTGTACATTGTCAGCTACAACAAACAATTATTGGGTACATTTTTGAAAATAAAACGTATTGCCTAATACTCGACCAATATCTGTTAGCAGAATATGAAGAAATCTTTGTAAAATAACTAGACAAACCAATGAAACAAGTAAACGTTAAAAGTTGACAACAACTCAGAACTAAGGGAAATTCACTCGATGGGCGAATACAGGTAAGTCAGTTTCACGCTCGATGAACACATGGACAGGCACAATCAATATAAGAGGACAGTCAAGAAAAAGAGAACAAGAAAGATAGTTTTGAGAATGGAAAGAAAAAATATTATCCCAAACAAAATTATCCAGAGCATGAGGAGAGGATAAATTTCCTTACCATAATGTCTATCAACAAATCAAGTCAGAAAACTGATCAAATAAAAAGCGAAAAACAGTAAAAAAAAAGGTTAGTCAAATTGCAACTGTATTGAGAAGTACTCAATTTGATATTGGGCCAGTTGAAGATAATCAATACATAGCTTTCAAAATCTAAGTTTTAAAATTGGTTGCATTATTGTCACAGTATAGTGCATCTTAAAAAGAATGGATGTGTTTATGATAAGTTTCGAGAAAAACAATACTAATACACAAATCAAAATCACAAACAGCGTATTTAAAAGAAAACATATTTGTGGACTGAAAAGGAGAGGAAAAATCTACGAAAAATCTTAATCTGTCTTACCGTTCATTGTGATTCGATAATTCCTGGAGTATTTCAGACATGATATCTTCTGGGGGCATTTCTAAACAACAACAAAGAAAAAGATTGGAAACTATAAATTAATATGTAGACTGTTTGCTTATAAAAGAATTGAACATTGACGTAAACATTGATATGCCACATGCGCATATAACAGATAATACATGCTTCAACACAGAAATTATTTTATTGTGTGATTATCACATAATTAACATCATCAAATTGTAGGGTCCGTGAATAACGGACAAACAAACAAACAATTAAAAGAGAGACAATGTAATTAAAAAAAAGGATGTGCTACACTTTATGCATAAATAAATAATAATAACAAATACACAACATGATTGCATAAAATATACACAGAAATCACCATAAAAGTGTTAAATAATAATAATAACAATAAATATTATTAAGGTGGAAAGCAATAATATTTACAGAGATAATTAACTCTAAGTAGCCATAGAGAGAAAAATGTGCAAGATAGGAGAGTTTACAAACTAAGTAAATAAACAAACACTATAGCATACATTGAACAATTAATCATTCTTACTGTTCTAACAACAACAACAATAACAACGAACACAAATATCAATACACTCACTACAGAGCTAGCTAACATACATGTAACAACATCTAAGTGCTTTCACTTATATAGTGATAAACAAACAAATATGATGAAAATGTTTTGTTTTGCTCTCGTTTTTCTTTTCCGGTGAACAAAACAAAAGCTTACCGCGTATTTTTTTTAACGTCTGATAACCAATTACAGGTTTTTTTAATTTTGGCCCTATTTATTGTAAAATATGTATTATGATGATAATGATAGTAGTGAATGAAAAATAATTTCATTCATTATAGAAAAAATATAACAACAAATCAAATTAAGTACATAGGTAAGTACACAAAATGAAAAGAAGTTACATATATATACATTTTCAACACGGCAAACTGACATTTGCATATTTTTAGTTTCAGATATCCGTGTTGGTAAGTTCAGACAGTCTTAAATGGTTGGAATTCACATGATTGATATTACATTATACGAGACAACTCAGAATGGGTTGTGATGAAGTAGATACATTTACTTTTTGTCTCCCCCCCACTGCCTATATACTGAATTTGAACATGATTTTACACCTTTTATTCCTCAAGATAAATTTTTCTTCTCGAGTTATATTCCTTATACCATAATATTTTTATTACCATCGATACCACCACTACTGTAAAACAAGACAATACGCAGAAAGGAATTCATACTTATTGTAAGTTACAAAGCGTTTATATAGTACATATATATAGCCTTCAACCATTTATTCGTATCTTTCGATGTGTTCTACAATTTGAACTGTCTTTTCGTTTAGTCTCCAAATGTTCTGCCTACGCAGTAGTTTCGCTTTACTGAAACTCTTCACTTCGTCCGACAACTTCGAGGTCACATAACACTACTAATTTGATATTTATGTTATTTTTCTCCTGTTTATTTATTTATTTAAGCACATAAACATTAGTACAAGGAGGCATCAAATATATATGCGTCACACCAATCATTCGATCTGTGTAAGGGCTGGGATACTGCCCGGGAGTGGCAGCTAGGATCAATGTATAGTAGTATAAGATTGTAACTAAGTGACTAGTTCAAGTTGGAATTAGTTGAGATAAAGTGTAGTGTTCTATGTGGACACAATAAATCGATCAATAGAGTTGTAGTCTGAACGAACTAGACATAAAACAGGTTAGGTAATTTAAGTGTAAGCTTCCAAAACAAATAGGTATTTACTTAAATAAAAATATGATAGTAGGGTATACAACGTTTTTGATTATTTGTTAACAGAAATGAGAATTATGATTGAGTTACATTTAAAATATATTGATTATTATAACGGTGGTTTTAGGCGAGAAGCAATTAGAAAACATGATATAGAAAGTAGATGCCCATATGCGTTGAAATTATAAAAAAAATTAGACGAAATAAAAGAAATTCCCACAGTTCAGATAGCAATTGAATAATAAAATTACATGTATTAAAGAATTGTGGCTTAAATTCAATGCATATCAGATGATACTTAAAGAGGAAGCAATTTTGAATCGGAGAGCAGATAGTATATATATGTAGTGTCTGGTGGTATGTTAGGCTCACAAGGATTATTCTAGCTTTCGGAAAAAACCAATTTATCCATTCCTCTTGAGTCACATTTTGACCAAGTTAATTATCCGCCTATTAACCCTGACTGTTTTTATATGGGTGCAGTACCTATCCTACTCATCACATGTCTGTAGCTTATTTTTGTTTGACTATAAAAATTGAGTCACGGTTGATCAAATCAAGTTGGCTCCCTCGTCTTCGCTGTCCTGATTCTTATTCTGATTGTCCGTCTGAATAAACGAGTATTTGAAGTAAAAATTCTCCAACGTAATCCATATTTGTTTTCATATTACCGCCATCACACAAGCAGGGTTAGCCTAAGTAATATACAGAGTTAAATGAAACATTTATGTTTATATCATCTTCGTACGATCGAACCGGAGTCAGATACTGGGCTACACACGTAAAATGACAAACTGATTTTATAATCAACTTTTGTATAGAATAATTAACATAACTGATTTTTTCTTTCTCGTATTTGACATAGTCAAAGTTTATTTTAATAAATTAAAAAAACCTATTTTCCATAAATTAACAACACAGAAAAATAACATTAAATATATACATAGAGGAACAAGTGAAAGGAAAGAGAGGAATAAACCAAATTGACTTCACTTACCATCACCAGGATCATAATTGATAAGTGTATTTAAAAGAGCCTGAAAAATAATAATAAAAAACAATCTTTGTGCATAATAAATAAAAGGCGATTTTGATTTAAATTCATTGAGTTTAGTGTTGAGAAGATTATGAGTGATAAGTAAACATAATCTAGCAAGAAATCAATTTGTTATCTAGTATAGAAAATTACGAAGCGGAGCATATATTAAAATTATCTATATATTTCGAGTGTCTACATCAATATTATAAAGAGATGAATAGAGAAAAGAAGGAACAAACAACATAAGGCTTAGGAATGATTTAATGGAGAAATATGATATGTAGTAACTCGATTAAGTCGAAATATTAGATTATTGGTCAGTAAGAGCAGACTTGTTGCGCAGTGTAGTCGAAATGATTTTATTAATCAATTCTTGTTTTTGGATGAATTAATATCAATCAACCCACAAACTAACTTTATTAGAGTTTCAAGGTGTTCAGAAATCTACACAAAGCAGCGTTATTTTTCATAATTATGATTCCTTAACAACGGCCATTCGACTTTAGTTGTTACTAGGTCTCACGTCAAGCTCCACCAAACTTACTTAATTTCAAGTAACCACGTATCATCATAATGGTATGCTCATATCCAAGTACTTGGATAATGAGAGAAAAAAATTTAATGTTTAACAGTAACAGGTCAGATATAGTTAATTGATAATCTGAGACTCAATAAAATAAAATAAATAAATGTGCCAATGATTAATGTATTATCAGAACACTTCCGTTTGGTTGTATCAAAACTAAATCGATGCACACTGATGAGTGGTCGGGATTTTCGACCTGTGGTAATTAGTCACAACACCAATTGAACACATCTTGTCTGAATAAGTTATAACGCAAATGAGAATAAATGCTGTATGATAAGGTACATAGATCTGTGTAACAGAGCTGATGATGCTGTTCAACCATTAAAGCTTAAATCGGTGTAGTATTTATCAGTTATTGCTGCTAAATGGGAAAAGACAAGTACGTCAATAAATTAATCACAATTTTATAATTGACAGGGTAAATTATGGTTATTACAATGTGAATCAAAGGCAGCCATTTGAATAAACAGTGCAGCTTGTAGTTTCAATAAGCTATACATTTATTCATAAGAAATGTGGATCACCGAAAATCAGACTCTGGATGTAATAATACAGTTTTATAAGTAATCACTTACTTTATTTGTACGTAATCCATATGTAGACTGAAGTGTTGGATCATTAGAAGCAGTAGTACCTTGTGGGGAAGCATAAGATTGATTTACATTAGATGGAATAATATTAGGTGGCTGTAATGATGTTGGTTGTGAATTAAGGAAATTATTTGGTTGAACAGTACGTAATACACCTGTATTACCATTTGTAGCATATGTATAATCGTTAGTTGTAAAGCTGGGATCAGCGGATACTCTACGTGTAGGACTTGTTATTGCTGAAGTTGGAATACCACCCCCACTCGCACCAACTGAAAGTGATTGAAGGCCATCGGTTGTTTCACGAATAATACGATTCATACTTTCAGGGCTTACTCGACCACTGTCACTGCCAGTAGAGTTATGAGAACGTTGTGAAGAATAATATGGTCCAGAGATTGATCCATATCGTCCACTACTTGGTGGTGAAAAAATCATATGATCTTGATCAGCAGATCTATAAAAAGATATCATAAAACTTAATAGACAATCCTATAGACAAAGTATACGTATGAATTTATGCATAGTGGTAAAATCTAGAATAGATTAAAAATGAGCACACACAATCGCTGAAAGCAGATCAATCAAAACATGCTAAGATTTCATTTTGGTGAAAAAAAGGAAAGATAACGAATACACATTTGAATAAACATAAACAAATTAACGAATATTTGTTGGTGTAAATAGAAACACATGTATATCTGTGTATAAATGAAGGTTAAAATTAGTCATATAATCAAAATACTTTTTTCAGTGATATGTTTTATGGTAGAATTATTAACACTAATGCAATTAATAGGAGGAAATGATGTCAGTAAATAGATAACACTATTTTGATTAAAATCATTTAATATAGGTGGATATACTCAAAAAACTGTTCATTTTATTAAAAAAATCTGAAACCAATCAAATTGTCGAAGTAGTGTATTACGTGAATTAGCCACTTACAAGCTAATACTAGTTTAGTAAAAAGTCTTGGTGGAACTAAGTGTCAAAAACCCATCACCACATAAAAGAGGATGACGATTTTGAGAAAAAAATGTTGATATAACTGAAGGTTAGTTATTAAAATAAAGCAAAAATAAGCATATAACAGATAGATTGAATCAGTCAGGAACAGGTCAAATGAAAAGTTGACGTGAAATTGTTTTTATTCTTAAGGGAGTAGGCATGTATCATTAGAGGGATAATTGCTAAGATAACAGACACAAACGACTGGATACACATACACGTCGATTCAATTAGTCAAAAAATTTCTTACTTATGAAGCCATTTGGGTTGGGGTGTAGAAAGCTTGCATACCATTGTCAGACTCAGATAACGTACATAAAAACAGTAACTTATAGTTACTACACTGTACAAAATACCTGAATGACGTCGATCACAGGAATACTATGTTTTGTTTGGCAGAATACATTATCATACCAAGAAAAATTCGAATCATCAACAACATATAGCAATATGCATTAATTTCGGACTATAATCTATCCAACTTACCACTATCTTCATGTGTACCATGTTACATCAGACAGAATAGACGTACAAAACATAAGAAATATAAATAAATATATATTTATATGTATTACACGTAATTTAATGTGTTGAAATATCCTTGAAGATTTTGTAACATTCATTCAATTTTATACGTTATCCCCTGATATATTTATTCTCTCAATTGATTTTTTTATCTACTCAATAAGAATTCCGTGATAAGTTCTATGAGTAAAAGATCTATTCAAGCAATTCAGATAATTAAGCAGTTGTATCAAGCTGGCTATAATAGTAACATGCATGAGATGTATCATTCTAGGAATTCATTATCAAAAATACACCTTCTCTAATAAGAACACAAGTTAAACAATTCATTAAACGGACAAATGATTATTAGTGCATACATTAACGGTTGTTTATTAATCATTCTGTGTGAAACATACACACAAACAAGAAACTACGTAGTAAGTGTGTATGTAAAATAGACAAAATTGACTTCACATGTGTAATAATAATAATAATAATAATAATAATTATTATTATTATTATTATTATTATTACTATTATTATGAAGAAATAATTAACCAGCAAGATATTCCGAAAGAAAAAAACAAGCATATTGAAACTGAGATGAAAGTGATTTTGTGTAAGAAATTGGTTTTTTTAGTTAATCAATTAGACATGTACAACGTAGGACTAGGCATACATAAGCAACGAACCAAGTTGCCATACCTCATTAGCACAACAAGATGAACACCAAATTCATAGAAGCAGATACTTCAATAGTACTAATATATAAAACAACGATTGCATATAAGGATATGACAAACGGAGAAAGAATTAGTTTGTAGAAAGAAAGGAATAAATTAATTTAAATCTAACGGTTTAAGAGAAAACAAATAGTGTATACACCTACGTAATTGTGATCGATCTGAGTCATGTCACTCAGATTCTCCAACCACTGGTTATGATAGTGTGTTAGTATACATAAGAAGGTTCATTTGTAAGCCATAAACTGATTAAAATGGATTAATTAGCAAACGAGAAGCTCATATTTCAATCAGTTTTGAAAACAATAACATCATAGTATCTGGTTGGTATTGATGTTAATTTATTCTATTTTACATCACAGTAAGAGAAACAGGCATTAATAATAAAGTGACTTAGTGAAGGGATTGATAATCTTCTGAATGTAAGTGATGTACGAATAGTTTACAACTCTGAGGATCAGAAAGTTTTCATCTTTTGACAAGGTACTATTTATTCGTTATTGAAATCTTGGCCTAGCACTAATTAGACTCTTTCAAAAGGTTATCTCCTTGATCACTGGAATTAGACATTGGACGATAAAAGAAAGCAACATAGATTTAACCTATGAATACAAATAAATAGCAGTTTTGTTTAACAAAGATAATAGGCTTAAAGTTAATAATGGGTATATTTGTTTGCGGTAGTAGATGAAGTAGTAGACGTACAACTTCAGATTACAAATATTGATTTTGTTATTACAAAAAATGGATATGAGAAACATCTTAATGAAAATAGCAATAGAATCTATCATTATAAAATTCACGTAGCTTATTTGTTAAGTACAGGTGTACGTACTCAATTTTGAGTCACAAGTGAGAGGCTAGTCATATACTATTCGGCTACCAGGATTTTACTCTATGACCTACTTGTTAAAAGCTAAGTATTATAACAAATAAACCACTATACTTCAATGAATAATGATGTGTACTTGAGATTATTAGCAGTCATGATTGAGCATTTTGATCCTGAAGCAAACAATGTCCATAGTAACCAGTCTTGCTTAAACAACAATTACGAAAACGCTAAAAAAAGTCTACAAGACATAAGTCTGATTGAGAAGGATATTGATCAGACAAGAGTGAATTACAAATTATAGACGTATTAAGAAAAAATGGACAACCATTATGATCATATTAAGCAAGTTAATTGAAAGGCAAATAATCATAAAAAAGATGGTATAAAAGACATGTGCCAAAATTTTGGCACTCTGTAAATCTAAAATGTAAGGAGTAGTGCAGTGGTGAATAGTTAATCAAAATTATAAGACACGTAAACATGCATACATCAACGATGAAATAAGGTAAGCAATCACAAGATCCCAATATTAAAACATGTAATTTTATACTACTTAATTAAAAGCAATAAAATGTATGAATAGTACACAATGTAAACATTCACACGAACGAATACAGGGAAACATGAAATGACATGACATGAATAAAGTAAGTGATTAAGTGCATAAATAAACATTAATGGGACAAACAACAAACAAATGACATAATGATGAAAACAAAACAAAGAAAAAACAATGATACAAACCTAGTCATAGGACTTCGACCTGCTGATGTTACAGGCAGAGAATATTTCCTCAATGATCCTGAACTGAAACAGCCCAATTAGTAGTGATAGTAGTAGGAGTAAAAGAAGTAGAATGAGAATGAAGACAATAAAAGCAACAAGAGATAAAACACAAAATACATAAATATATGAAATATGTGAACGAATACAAATGTAATGTAATAATGTATGCTAACAACGCTTACGTAAATAAATACACACACACGCACAAGGGGGGACAATAGACATGCATGAAGTAGCGGATTTTGCTAAATTATACCTTATAGTGATAAATATATATATATATATATATGTATATGCACGATATATATACAGGCAAAAGGAAGGTATTTGAAGGATTTATGAACAACAGACTCAATAAACAAAATGAAAGCCTTAATGAATAAATAAATAACCAATTAATGAACAACTTAGATTTCCAAAAATGTATTTTGTCCTAAGATTTATAAACAAATAATTAAGCTTATATAAAGATTAAAACAATATAACATCTATTAATACATAGCGTTTTACCCATAAATGAACTAAGTTACAAAGAGAGAGAATTTCAGTTTGAAGATGGAATGAATGAATGATAAAAATGATAGCAATTTAGCTTACGATGATTTCCATGCAGGAGAATTGTGATTAGTGTCGGTTAAATTGATTAGACCACCACCTGTAGCAGTCTTTTGATAGGTTTTTAATACTTCATGTGCACGATCTTGTACTCCACGAGGCAGTGATTGTAATAAGTTAGAAAAACTTGTCGAATTCAAATCGAACAATTTGATAACAACACGGGAAGCCATCTAGAGAATACAAGGTAGAAAAAATGATAGGACATCACATATACGAGATGAAGGATGACTAGAGCAAAATAAATTCATGTACGTTCAAGGGAACAAAAACAGATTAGATGTATATCAGTTCGAAAGTGACTCAGGCATAATGGTAAAGAGATTATTGAATAACTAGGAAAAACTAGAAGCAAAATGATGGTGGCTATTTGATATTGGGCATCACTCCTTGTTTCGAGGGTTTTATTAAGAAACGTGGTATTTTGATGACAAATGGGCTCTCAATAAACACTGTCGACTTACATTAGCTAGAATAATTGATTAAATGGTTAAACAGCGATATGTTACTTGATACAAGGATGGTATGACAATGAGTTGATTTTTTTTAATAATAGTAAACTTCTCTACATAGATAGCAAAAACACTCGGGTCTGGTAAATATATCTGCCCGTAAAATTAAGGTTTTAAATATATGAAACGTGATATCAACCTTTTTTAAATGCACTAGTAATAAGGGATGTCAAAAATACTGTGAATGGCCGATGTGAAACAGCTCCTCAGTACAAATCTTGATTTCCACAGGGTCGAAAGATAGATTCTTTAGGGAAGTGAGTAACCAGATTGTGAGAAGTTAAACCCATTGATGACTTCAATATTAAACGGACCCTCATTTCGTACTCAAAAATCCATGTTTAATTAATAACTTCAGTCTTTAGTTTTCATACATGAAAGAAGGTAGGTTAACTGATCAATGAACAAATACGAGAGCAAACTTATTAAAACGTTGAAGTGTCAATTGACTTTTTATTTTAGCAATTAACTAACATAAAAGTATGTACAGTGTATAATTTTAATCATTGTATCGCCAAATTCGTTGATACTAACATATACATATACTTTTAAGTTGAATTATTGGTTATTGGAAACGTAGAGACTGTCGGGGAAAAATAGTTCAGAGATTTTAGCGCTTTTCTAGATATATACAATTTGTGCAACCATTCACCTATGTATAGCGAACAGTCTAGTGATTTAACCTAAAGACCGTCTTAACAATTTCATTGAATTTAGACGGTCGAATTAGTGAACAACAATAAAAAAATGAAGAACATATATACAAAGAACGAAAAATATTTCAGCGACTAAAATGCAAAAAAAATCAATGAATTTATATATTTCTAGTATAGATTATCGCGACAATGCTTTCAATATGAATTTATTCTAACTGTAAACGTGCGTGAATGAACATACACAATAACAAATACTAAATAAATTTTAGTCAATGAATAAATACAATATGATCATTTAATTAGTTGTACATAGTTGAAAATTCGCGTCAATATATTTTGAAATATTGTTAAATAATGGATGACAAAAGGATGAAGGACATCATCAACATAGAACCTGGCAGAGAAGTACGTTGGCTCAAGTTGCTAAGTGTTAGGTTCCGATAAGCATAATGAACGGTAACTTTACGGACCAATAATATGAGTATATTTTTATCGTATAATTGTTAAGTAACTATTCATATTTGTGTTCCTCTTTTCATAAGCTTTATTTTGACCTATGAACTGTTATTATACGATTTACCATTCTTGAATTATTGCTTGTCTATTAATCATTGCCTCTCACATTCACAGTCACATTTAGCCAAATATTGTACGAATGTTGTTTCTTATTTTATGGTACGATGTATTCTGTTTGATTGGTATATAAACCCCGCATGTTTGAAATAAATGAGGCTGAGGTTGGTGTTCTGGACTTAACTGGTTGGGCTAAGCGTCGATAACTCACTGCTATCAGATTGGCGGTATCGTAACATTATACATTAACAGAGCACCCAGGCCACAAGTTATAACAGTATATTAATACAAATTTGAATAACTGTAATACTAGGTTCCAAGAAAATAATGATCTAAGATTATGGAATACTCTTTGCAACATATATCCCATTTGTGGTAATACAGTTTTGTTTATATTGTTTCAACCATGCTTGGAAGTCCTCAGAAGTCAGGATTTACAGCTGTTTTGTTATTTTATATATTACTGCCTTCAGCACTGTTTGACACGACACGACCATTTTGCATGTTGGGAACAAAGTAAAATTGTAAGTAACTAAGTCAGTTAAATAGGAGTGAAGATCTAACACGGTGATAAACACAACATTGGAATTTCGTGAACTCGATACACGAACTTTTGATGGATAAATTTATAAAACTAGAGACTATATCAACGAGTAACCAAATGAAGATACGTGTGACTCAAAGTAATGAGGTTTTAAACTACAAAGCGATTGATCAGAACTAAATTGTCGTTGGAGTCAAATTTAGAAATTTATTGGATAAATTATAAGAAAACAAAGCTAAAGTTAGGATAATATACGATGATGTAAAATCACAAAATAAACAAAAACCCAATAAAGTAAAGAATTCACAGTACTAACTCGTCGAACATCGGCTGATTTTGGTTCAGCAGACCAGCTGATAATTTTTCCAATTGCATTAATAACTTCATTTGATGGATTAGCAATTAAATCTGGACTCATCATTAAAATTAGATCTTTCATGTATTCTAATAGACAAGTTTTAACACGAAAATTCGGTGTATGTGCATTATCCATAATAAAATGACAGCAACTATTGAATTGCGAATTCAAAGGAAAGTGAGATCTATGAATAAAGAATGTTTTGAAAACAAAAATTGGGAGTATAGAAATAGTCAGAAGTCAACAGAGCATTCATTAAAAGTTCAATGAAAATAACGCTTTAATTAATTTCTAGCATTTTTATGTTCATTTAATGTGCTCATAGTCGATATAAAAGGGTAATTTCATTTCAATGAGCTAAATCGACCTACATATGTCTTTTATGAACATGACAATGCAGCGCATTCCAATTTGCAGAATATAAAAAAGGAAATTAAGTGGAATTTAAAATCTGAAAAAAATGCCAGTACTCGTCTGTTAAATGGACAAAAAATTGCCTGAAAGTGCTTGATACTGCAGACATATGGAGAATTGAAAAATGGATGCGCTACGAATTCAAGGGTAAATATCTTATCACTCTGTAAACATGTGTTCTGATTTAGATTTATCATATTTCCATGCCACATTGAAACTCATTTCAAAACAAATAGTCGTTATTTGATTTATTAGCATGATGATGAGTTTGGTGTAGTTTACATTATGTAGGACAATAAACACATTTTTATTTTACAGATACTACTTGACCTTCTGCTATTACACATTACCCATATTCAACACTTAGAATTTTCGATAGAATAGTTATACATGGTATCACTTCATAAAGTTATAAATTGTTGGTCTGATTCGTGTTGAGAAGAATAGGTTACCTGGTTGGGGCCGGTGTTATCACTCAGTCAGTCAATCAGCTACAACGTAGGACCAGGCACATATATGTGCAATGGTCAAAGTTGTCATACCTCATTAGCACAACAAGATGAACCACTAAATACGATAGTCACGCGGATCCCAACCAAGTAATCTGGATTTACCAACATGGCTCAGACCAGATGTTAGTGTCTTCAAGCACTGACGCCACGTTTTGGTTTGACCACCCCTAACTTTCTTACAATCATCCCCAACACTAGTCAGCATTGTGCGTCGTGGTAATCCGTGTTCAAGCATACGTAACACGTGACCCAACTATCTCAGTCGATGAAGATTCACAACCTAATCAGCTGATTTACCATCGTTCCCTAATAGCATGTGTCTAACTACACTATTACTTACACGGTGATCCCAGCAGATGCGAGTAGAGGTTGGAAGACAAAAAGGATCAGAATTGCTGACAATGAGGTCGTTGTTATATTCATTATTTTTTGTTGTCTCACGTAAGATCAAGATTTTCAGTGTTAGTTCATATATACCTTTCCAACCTAACTTTTTAAACCACGATCTCAATATCTAGTCTTTCTTATTATCATTGTTACAACATTAATTCGGTCACTTTTGTTATTCATCGTGGTGTGTTATTGTAGTACATAAACGTGGGGATAAATCACATTTTTCGGCAAGCTATACAATGATTACTGCCGACTAATTGATAAAACGGCTATAAACCTTGTTAACGAGGAAACATTTATAAATTTTATTTCCCAGAAATTCCACATATCGAAATAATACAACTGTACACAACCTTATTTAATGGCAAACTCGAGATAAAAATTGTTCTTCATCAAAATGCCATTGCTTTCCAACAAATCATATATAAAATGAGTATGAGAGTGATGTCGTCTTACCCTATAATGATACTCATACCATACAATTCGCACTTAATCTGTCTGTAGGTAAGGCATGTGCTTTTTACAACCTCATTTTTATTGTATGGAGCATATATATTTTGGTGGCCCCGTCCACCAGTGTTTATGCGTCCGTATGAAATAAATAAATGATTACATTCCACATTCTTCCTCTCAATTAATTTATTGAGTTTTTTGTATCAATGCTTTTAAGAAAAACAAAACTAACAACTAAGTGAATACAGTTCAATTTAGGACGAAACTGTCATTCAACCGTTTATGGTACAGTAGGTGATACATGTAAGGAACGAATACTCGAAAACTCATGTACATAAAATGTCACTAACCTGAGAACAAAAAGTGTTTCTTGTATAGCTTTCTGATGACTGCTCAAGGCCTCATGACTTTGACGATATAACAAACGTATTAATAGAGTGTAAAGCCAATCACGGAGTAATGGATTATATTCTTTAATAAAGAATTGTAATGTATCCATAAATAAACTAACAACCTTTTGAAGGGAACGAAATAGGAAAAACAAGGAATAGAGAAGTACATGATATTAATAATAACAAAAAACAATGTCACGCATTTACCATGTTCAAATTTATGAACATAACCTACGAATTCTTGTGTAATGAAATACTAGAACCATGACAGATGGAGTGCAGCTAGAACCTACGATCAAGTGACTGAAGATTAAGTGTTTTAACAAATAAGCCGCTGGGTTACATGCACAAAAAACGAACACGTAATATAATTTTAAAATCGATGAAAACTAAAAGAAAAGATAGAGGAGAAAATGACTTACTTTACTTTGAGAATCCGCAAACATTTTAGAAAATATTTCAGTTAAACTGTGAATATCTTCAGGACTATAAGCGAAAATTTTCATGGAAAAAAATCAAGTTAAATGTACCATAGAATTTTTAAAATTTATTTGACAAATCAATTATTTATTAAAACCTGAATTATGATGTTTTAATAATACGACTGGATATTTATTACAAACTTTCATTGAAACAATTGAAATTGAGAAGCGATTTATATATGTAGTGAACGAGAACTCAGTTGCAGAAAAACAATTTATTGTTTAATGCAAAATTACAAAGTACTTTCTTGAAAAATGAAAACCATACATTAAATACATTATTTGCACATCAAACTTCAGTTGACGTTTACATGCTTTATGATTCTTTCAATTTTGTTGTTATTACGACTGCACTGTCTACTTTCCAGTTCTCTTCAATTCATTCTTCTACTGCCAGACATTCCACTGCAAATTAGTGTTATACACTACTTATATTTATCGACATAAGTAGCATACGCCACACACTTGTATATATACAAGTACCAAGGAAAATTAGTTTTATATGATAAACTCAGTTACCCATGTGCAGGATCTGTATACTTTGCCTTCGAGGTACAGTCTAAATGTGTTACAACTACTGGCGGAAGGTATCCGACAACCCAAACTGAACAAGGCGGATTACGATTGGAATTTAAGGCTGAGTGGTTGAACATCTTAACTAGTTAGTCATCACAGAATCACTAAAAAAATGATAGCACAAAGCTAAGTAAACAAATCTCTATTTTTGACTTGACAACTTCGAATAAATTGAGCACTGGGTAGATTGTTATAAATAAATAATCTATTTATAATATTCTTGTTGTTCCGTTGTACTATTTAAACTTGGATTAATTTTGAATTGGTTATTTATTCTCTGAAGAAGTGTCTTAAACTAAGTCACAAAATGTCAGAAAATCTAGTTTTTCTACTCATTAGGATATTACAAATATATGATTTATTTATAAAAATCCCTATTAAGTTCGTATAAAATAATAGTTTGTTGTTAGGACAGTGGAAATAAACTCACAGCAGCAAGTTTCACCTAGTGATATTTATAATACCATAAAATGAACACATCCTATAGTATGTCAAAATTGAATGTCAATAACATTTATCACAGAGTCATAGAGGTTCACAAATGTTTGTACAAAGTACTGGAGTGTTTAAATTTGTCGACAATTCAAACTTTGAGATATTAATTAGTCGAAATGAGATTGGAGACGAATATCTACTCGAAAAAAACATAGCATATTCACATACTTTCTCCACGTTGATTATTATATGACAACATAAGTGTGCTTCAAATATTATTATAAAAAATTGTTCGTTGATTCTTCTTTTAAAGACTAAACAAAACTGATAAAGAGTTCTTCGAGAGTGATATCTAGATTTTACAAGATTCACATGTGGATGTAATGAAATGTGATTATTGGAACCAGCAGTTGGAGACGTTGCGTGCCATTCTTCAAAAACAATCGCAATTAACCTCATGCATGTATACTTTATTTTACATTATTATTACTGCAGGTTTTTTTCAATATTATGTTTTGGTAGGATATAAAATTTTCAGCACAAAGCATTTCAACAAGTTTCTTTTCCGTATTTTTCGATCGATCCAGACAATAAATATAGTGATCGACAATTAGATGTTAGCAGTTCAGGAAAAGACATCTAAATAGTGTTCATTCTTTTTAATGTATATTGCCAGCAACAACAATGTCTCTGAATGTACATTTTATAACTTGTACAGTGAAAGGTCGTAAACTTTTCATAAACGCGTCTGAATAGGTTATGCGATTAATAGACATAATGATGTGTTAATACAAATAAAAAACATATAACTTGTCGGAATATCTAGATGGCAGGAAAAGGTAGACCAAATATTCAAGCAGGCCGCCAGTTGCCCATGCGGAATAATTGACTCTTGGGTTTTAAAATGATCTTATACGTTTTTTATTACACGAAATAATTTTTTCTTCTACTATCATTGGTAATATTATTGATGTCTTTACTACTATGATATTTCTCATGATAATTACATCTGGTTGCGTTATATTAGTGAGGCCACTTGAATTGATGTAAATATGTGCCAAGCTTTATGTTATTATTTATAACAAACTGACTGATAAAAACTTGTCATAATGGAAGAAACTTCGTAACTCTTGATGAATGATAAGACAATAAAAAGTATAAAAGCTTAACAAACTAACCATTATGTACTGAGCAGTAGTTGAAAGTCGAGGAATTTTGATGTTGACTAAATATTATCAATTAGACAAGAAAGTGATTTGATATACTTGAGTGTAATTTATTTTTGATATTATTCAACGAAGCAAGAGGTATTATAAAAGAATTAAATAATATTGTTAAACTCACTTTAACGGATAACCGGAACGCATATAATTCTGTAAATTTGTTAAGCCGTCTTTTCTGTCAGACCATTGAACAGCTTGAAGTTGAGAAATGATTTCTTTTAAATTCTATTAAATGTTAGAAGAATTATACTATAAACACCAGTCATTATAAGCTTACAGGAATTTTATATATATATATATATATATATATATATATACTATATTAGGTAGATCGGTTTAAGAATGATAATGCTGAAAGCAGGAGTATAAGGTTCAAGGGCCAAGTCGAGCTGTTAACTGTACAAGGATGTTTCCGTTAAACAACCAGCATCTATAGTTATGTTGACTTCTCAAAATGGAAGGAAGAAGTAAAAAGTCATGACTAAAAATAGAATATCTCGCTTTACGATAAGGATTTTCGTTTCCGGTGATAAGGTTTTTAAAATATGCGGCTAACACATCAAGAACTACTCGTCAGAAGGCCGTGTGTGACAGGATTTAAGCATTTGTCTCTTGCACTCTTCTGAAACACTTCCAAGTAGCCAGAGCATCTACTAATCCAGTTTCCGTTTCATGTACCTCAGAAAGTAGCTTTCACTGTATAGACAAACGCGAAGTAGTAACTGACCGTATACCTTGAACAACATTTGGGACAATTGTGTACACGAAGACTGAGACCGGTTTAACAACGGAATGCATGATTTACGGGCGAATATGTGAGATTTACCTTTCAGCTACATTGCAGGATGTTTAACAACACTCAATTAGGTGCAGAAAACAAAAGCAAATAAAACAGGGTTCCACATCTGTGATTAGTGGTTGGGTGAAGTTAATCAGCTTTATTCGTTAAGACACCACATCTACAAATATAACGCTAAACGGAGTCGACACATTCTGATTAGAATTAAAAGAATTATAAATGTTAAATTTTCTCCGAACAAATAACAATGTTCATTCAAATACAAGTTATGGTAAAGATTATAGATCAGAAAAAAAAAATCATAAAGTAACTGAAGTGAAGGAGAGAGAAAGACAAGTACAAAATCAACAAGCACGGAGCATAAATAAGTACACACAAACATGCATAGAAGGAGGAAGATTTCGAACATTTTAAGAGGCTTTAAAAAGATTTTTACAACCGAAAACAGAGACGAACGGACCAAGATTGTACAATTTATGGTACCGATAATCAAATAATATTTATTCAAGCTATCTGATTTAACTTGATGGTGACAACAACACTAGGATTACTGATTAACTTTTTCATTATATATATAAACAGACAGACGGATTTAGATATAGAGTCTAGATTGGACAGTAGGAACAAAGTGATGCAAAAAAAAACGTTTGACAGTCGAATAGACTGAAATTAAATTACCAGAAAAATAATCCAATATGATGAACAAAACATTGAGTTAAACTAGAATGAAATTATTGAAAAGATTGAAAATGATGGATATTTAGAACAACGGACTGAGAATAAATCTGTTTCATTGATTTTATTATTTTAAGCTGTGCAATTTAAATGCTTTAGAGTTTCCAATTTATACTTTGCCAAGATAACTAGGTTGTAAATTAGAACTTGGTTTCAGAGCATAGGCAGAAAAAATGTTAATAAGACAGAACATTGGGAAGTTCGTACAAAAAGCAGACTGGGGAGTTATATATGAAGGGATGTTAGAATTTAATATCGAGGTGGAAATAAAAAGTGAATGCACTTTTGTCATTTTGAGCCATCTCATTTAAAGACCCTAACCATCGGTTGTGGTTTTCGTATGCAATTCAATAAAGTGGTCTATACTTACTAACACGACTGGGATCAACAGTTAATAACTTCCAGGAATGATTCTATGTCTTGGTTCGGCTTTCTACCTAAGCCTATACCACATAGGTAGGGGCAGTGGTTAGACATAAGCAACATTTGTCCTAACTACCTTAGTCAATGAAGATTTAAAGCCTCACCCACAAACTAGCCATCTTTTCTTAGTACCATATGCCTAACTTCAACGTTGCTCACTCGGTTGTTCCAAAAGATGCAAGACACCTACGGTCAAAAAACTGTAGACTACGTATATCTTCTACTTTCATATGCCATATTTTACGGATATCAAATAATTTAGAGCGGACTACCGAGAAATGCATTGGCTGATTGTTCGGTAGCCGGAGATCTCACTTAAGTCATAAGAGACTCAAGGATGTGCATACATTATGGTGAAATCTAAATCAGGTTCCATAAATAAGAAGTCAGTAGTATAATGAACAGACAGGTTATTATCATCGTTCTTTATTAGACAACTCAGGGAAAATAACTTTCTCCAACAATAAAGCGACCAGTTCGTAAGTAACAAGCACACAGAACTATTAAGTAAAAAAATAAAATATTAATAGTGATCATATCTTTGAGAAAAATAAACTTACACTAGTCACTTTACTTGAGGACTGGCGCCGATACCCGGGTACTGAACGACCTGAACGTTCAGAACACTGTGATGATGTTTCACTGAAGTTATCATCTGAACCATATGGACCACGATTGTTTCCAGTTGAGTAATGTCGACCATATAAAGGCTAAGGAAGATAATATAACAACAGAAACAATGTGTGAACGAACTTCCACTGGTAAGGTAGCTAATAGTCTAGTAAATAAAAAAGAAAACTAATATTTAGTAAAACAATGCTGATATTCTATTCACCTCTGTCGCACAGCTGGAAAGCAATTCGAAAATCAATGTCCAACAACTAGAACCATCACCACACGTGATGACTGAATTCAATTAGACCTTTTTCATTTTTCAAATGAAAATATATACCATATTATAAAACAATCTCTCTTGGATATGCAAAAAGAAAATACTTTAACATAGTTCTATAAAATATGTTCAAATTGGGAAAGAGGGTAACAAAGATAATTCTTGGTATCAATCAATAAATCGATTAAACTTATTTAAAGAATCTTCCTGCATACATATGTCAGTTATCTTGAAATAAGTATCTATGAGAGAAAGAATGATTCGTTTTATCAAGTTGTAATATAACAGACCTGAATTATTTAAAACAAACTGCGGAATATTTAAACACCTTGCGAATAAAAGTAAAGAGAGAAATGAACAATATTCCACTTATGTTCTAGCAGATAACGGAAGTTCAGATTTCAACAAAATCAAATTCAAAAGAACACTGTAAACTAAACTGATACTGATAATAACGGAATGTTTTTTTTACTTGTGAAAACACATTTCTGGGTACATTTCTAAAACCGACTTTAACATTAAATTTACTCGGATGCAAACACCAGCCTGAAATGCTCTTCATTTCCAACATGAGCAAAATAATTTTGTCCATTATTATTATTATTATTTTAACACATAAGTATAGGTACAGGGAGGCACCAAATACATATGCGCCACACAAATCTCAATTGATTTGTGTGACGGCTGTGATACTTACCGGGTGCCCAAACCGAAGCAAGTGGTTTTCTTAGGGGACCACACCCCGAGCCTTCGACCTGAACGTCTGATCCACAAGGCAGTGGAGCATCGTAAGGAGATGCAGTCCCATGGTAATTGGTGACCAACGATTGGTTCATACGCCATTTGTTCTCGCAGGATACTGGAGCCCATGTGCACCATTGATTTGGGATCCGGTTAAAGCGCCGGACATTCGCTTTTCGTTCTCTCATTTTCGTAAACAACACCCCCGCCACGAGAAGGCAGTGAGTGAGACTTCCTTGGCAGAGGCTATATACGCATGGCCATGTGAGAGCATTTCGAGAGGGAAATTGGACTCTCTCCACTCTCGGCCGTACCAGGGCATTTGGGGGCCCATTACTTCTCAAAAATATGTACATTTTTACCTTACAGTCAATGCCACTAGTGGAATGTATCATATTATAAAGAAATATGTTAAGTTTAATAAAAGACAATTAATTGAATTCGTTGATTAGTTTCTATTCTATCTTATTGATATTTATTTGATTAAGAAATTCACATCATTGATGTGATTTTCATGACTCGATTCTATATGTCAAATCAGTATCTACTGATCAATAGTCAACAACCTCAATTGTAGAGATATTATATCTCGTTTTTGATAGAATGCGTAGATGCTAGGTATTTTGATAAAAATTTATGTTTAATTTATATATGGTAAATTATATATATATAAACGTATAGCAAATAACTCAAAGATTTGGTATCATATGGTTACTAGCTACCTTGAAATGATTGGAAAAATGTGAGCATGAAGTTTTTTAAAACGAAAATCACATTAGTATATTGAGAAATAATAATGAGTTATCCAATCATTGTTAATAATGGCCGACTAATGTGAAAAAACAGTAGGATTAAGGTACTAATCAGTGATAATAATAATAATAACAATAATAATAATAATAATATCTCTGTACTCATTACGTACAAGGATGCATGATTAACGAATAGTAATGCATGTAGACAAAACTTGTACGCCTTAATCGATACACGACAGAAACATTTAAACATAAATGATATCTATTAATCAGATAATGTACATTTTATTAATCTCAAAATGAATAAATTATCACCAATGGTAATAATAATAATAATAATAATAATAATAATAGCAGCTTACTCCATCGCCGAGGTCCGCACAATCACTCAGAGTGCCAAGAGATGCTAGAGAAATTTCCCCCAATCCCCCAGAAAGAAGAAAAAAGAATTAGGATGAGTTATTTTATATTAACAAACTTGTTTAATCAAATATAATACATTGGTAAGTATATTGTAGCTTTAAAACTGGAAACAACGAGTATGTACTGAATGAAATGATGAGAACATGTGTGCGTTGCAGAGAGAACACATGTCTTACAACCGTGTCATATAAGGGAAAAACAAATGTTAAATAGAAAAAACAACAACTTTAGAACGTCCTGATACGATGGTTATCACATTAATCAATGAAGACACATTCCAATTTCGTATTGGATAATACAAGTAAAACGGCATCTAGTTTTATTCTATTACGTTATCTAACAACGGAACATAGTTAATTGACTAATTTATCGTATACAGGAGCGATAAGTTGCCAATGAATGAACACAAGCATTAAAAAAGAACATTGGTTTAGCTAATTAAATCATTCGGCTTTCAATAAACAGATTGCAATTTCAAAACCCAGTATACCTTATTTAATTTTATGGGAGTAAAGGCGACTATATGAACTTATATTCGGCAAATGAATCAAATCATGATTGTCATCACATAAGTAGAATTTAAAACAACAGATTTTATTTATTTATTTGAACACATAAATATTGGTACAAGAGGGTACCAAATATATATGCGCCACACAAAACAATGAGAATTTAAGAAGGGAAAAAAGTAAGGGGCTTATAAAATAAAAAAAAGAACAATAATGGGGGGGAGACGAAAAGGTACACTCAGAAGAAATCTTACATTTAAGGAGGATACAGCCACTTTTTATGAAGAAAGTAAAAGAAGATTACAGCAGGATCGTCACTGGCTTCTATTCTGAGCCATATCTGATAACGTCTCTAGCCACTGTTTATTTATTTATTTTAACACATAAGTATAGGTACAGGGAGGCACCAAATACATATGCGCCACACAAAGCTCAATTGATTTGTGTGAGTGCTGTGATACTGCCCGGGTGCCCAAACCGAAGCAGGTCTAGCCACTGTGTTACACCATTTCTCAGACCCCAGCCAGGGAGTCGTGAAGGACCAACAGAAGCTAGCCCTTTGCAGCTTTCTTTCATACCACGACACCATGTCATATAATGACCACCTGTCCGCTTTTTCCAACCAGTCCCAGGGTCGGCAAATAGTGCACGACGTGGAATTCTCTGGGACGACATTCGTAGAACATGTCCAAGCCACCGAAGCCAGTGTTTCAAGATGATGACACCAATTGGATTATCGTCTCTTTGCCCGAACACACGATGCCGAACCTTTTCATTGAATATTCCTACACTTCAGTAACTCAGTTGAGAAATCACCTAAATTATTTCAAATTTAGTCATCGATTGTCGTGCGTAAAATTGAACAAACGTACAAAATTACCAATCAATATGCATCCTGTTATTGGGATTAAATCTAACAAAACTGACTGACTAGTAAATAACCTAACAGTAATGAAGCTGCTCAAAAAAAAAACTCAACCTCATTCTTGGCAACGTATACAGAATTTCTAATAATAATAATAATAATAATAATAATAATAATAATAATAATAATAATAATAATAATAATAAAATAAATAAATAAATAACCAAGACAGAATAATTGATTACACAAAGACATAAAAAGCACTTTATTCTTTTCAACGCATAAGATTTTCACCTCATCAACCATATTGAAAACTACTATTGAGTTATATACACAAATAGCCAAATAAAGTATGACCTTTCTGTATTAAGGTACACATTACACACTTCGCTTTCTGATTTTGTAATGTATATTTTTAAAAAAAGAAAAGCTATAAATAATGAAGATTATTAGGATTAAATTAACATATAAAGTACGAAATAAATAATGAACAATTGTAAATGACAATGTGAATTATATTTTAGCCAGTTAAATACAATATAATACCTGACACATATGTAGATCGAATTCAAGTTACCACGTCATAATATTAGCACAATCAGATGAAGTTATCAAGACCAATAGTGTCACAGTAGTAGAATTAGTAACTGTGTTTATTAGCGGTAATAGAAAAGACTAAGCATAAGACAATATGATTTATTGAGAAAATATAGGGGGCGGTGCATGGAATCTAAAGATTATGATTAAGATAATTTATAAACTTTGGATTTCAGATAAAAGAGTGAATGTATCTGCCCCATGATGGATGGTTCTGAGCTATATCATCATCACCATGAGTACACCAACCGAATGGTAGTGATCATCGACCCACTTACATGGTTCAATCACTTGCATATGACTTCATGAATTGATGCCACATTTTGGTTTGACCATCACTAGCTTTTTTCCAACCTACTACTACATCGGACTTTATTAAGGAATGAAAAGAAAAAAAAATCGAATAACATGACACTGTTTTTAGAGATGATTATCGGGTATTCGAGACATGATTATTAAACATAATAAGAAGGTGAAGAAATTATTGCGGTAGTGTCGTTAAGACAGTGGATAATTCTTAGAGATAATTTTGACCTCAAGTTGACGGGGGAAACAAAAATCGAGAAACAGGATTAATGGGAAGTATTTGATGAAGGGATTCCAGACAAGAAGTAAAACGGCTATGTTCGAGGGATCGAGATGTCACCTAGGATCGGAAAACGGAACGAAAGTCAGCAACACAACAATAGGACAAACAAACAAATTCCACTGCGCGCCATCCCTGATAACTAGAGAGAGAAGACCAGATTCAGCCGGGAAAATACATAATTCTACAAGCAGCCCAGAAGAACGAACGAACAAGCACATAACTCATGCGTATATATACAATAAAAAATGTCTTTGAAAAACGTCACATAATAGCGTATTATAAGAGAAAACGAACCAAAAATGTTTAAGATCCTTCCTGGTGCGAAACACAAACTGAAGGTAAAAAAAGGGTGGTTTTGGAGCGAAAATGAGAAATTCAAATTTCCATCACGAACCTAAAAAAATGAGAAATTTACCAACAAAAACCTGTGTTTAATGCTTGCCAACTGAGTTTTAGTACTTTTCCTCTGGATGATGAACTTCATCGTTTGACATGTTTAGGTACAAAAGAAAATGGAAAACCGAGTTTGCCCAAGTTATGTATCTGATTCTTCTAGGAGGTAAGTTTCATCATGAATAGCTCAGTTTTAATTTCTTAGATTGTGAAGTTGGGTAACACGGGTTTAAATCTCACAAACAGTATTAGGTATGTTTTAGTAACAAGTAGCACTTAGTACGAAACCTAGATCAAGTAAGGTTTTCTTCCGAATACTTTCAACAACCTAAAATGATTTACGAACTTAAAATAATGGAAAGAAAGGTACTAAGGTTTCGAACAAGAAACTAGAGGGTCACCAGGTGAGATGTAGGGCGTACACCGTAAAATGAATCGAGAACCATTAGAAACGTTACTAACCAACCAGCAAGACAGACTTGTGTATTATTTTTAAAACATACACCTGGATATTATTCTTAATGTTAAAGAACAATTCGGTTTAGGAACTTGAGAGAACTGAGATCAAAAATGTTTTGGGATGAGTTCACATTAAGCAATATATAAAAATTCTGTACTCTGTGAAAAAATAGTTCATGCATCATCATCCTACTTGCTTTCAAATAAAGGGAGTTTTTTTTGTTATAGTCAAAACCGATTTTAACAAAAATGTTAGTTGAACCATAATACAAATACTAAACATAAAATGACACAGAGATAAGAATACTTAGCTTTCAATCGATAGATCATGAATTCGAACCCAATTAGTATTACCAGGAATTCACATAATCAATATATCCCAAATCCGCGTACATGAATATGAACATAATGAATAAGTTAGATTGTATTACTTAACAATTAAGCTACAGTTTTTTGAGTATGTAAGAACTAATGAACACTAATTCTGTTGCTGAAAATAGTGTTTGAACAACTTACATATTGTGATTCTAATCAACGTAAAATAAATGCTCAAAAGTTAAATAAAGATGTATAAATGATAAATACATATCAATTAAACTAACGTCTTTGCTGTTGTTGTCTCCGATAATTCATTTGTCCAATTTGATTTGTACCAGTTAATTGAAAACTATTATTATGCTGATATGAAGGCATAGTATAACCGCTTGCAGTAGATCTTGTCGGTGATGTTTCTCGACTAGCGCCTTGACTACGTGGAACACGTGAATTCATGATTAAACGTGTAGTACGTTCTGTAGTATTATTATTATTATCTACAAATCCTATTGTACCATTACGATTAGTATTATTTGTATTGAATTGTAATTTATGTCCATCATTATTATTAGATGTAGTAGTACCATAGGCAGTGAAATAGGCTAGACGTGATGGTGAAACTTCACGACTTGTAGCTAGAACGATTTATACATATAAATATATAGGTTTAGAAAGAATTTTTTAGAAAAAAGTTATTTCATTAAAAGAAAAAAAAAAACAAAATGTAAAAATTTGTGCACGAATACGCTGAGATTTAGGATGGGATAAAAATGTATAACTGGTTTTTCTCACCATAAATAAATAGCATTTAACGAGAACATTTTTTTTTCTAAAAAAACCCAGTAAAATCAATAGTATATTATCGCTCAATACTATTTTATCATTTGATATACTATTAGTACTAGTGACGTTTGTTGTTAGTGTATAATTGTTTGCTTAATTCAAGAATTATTATTCTTAAACAGAGCAAAAACAAAGATTGTTGCGGAATAATATGAATTCATTTTATTTCGTTAGGTTCTCATCAGCTATTTACATCCTGTAATATTTACAATCAAAGTTATTACAGATATTGACATACTTATAAACACGAAGTTGGTTAGAGATAAATATGTGCTTCATGATGTAGTGAAGATTCTAACAGAGTTAATAAGGACACAAAATTATTTGGTAAATATACAAGGAACGTTCCTTCTATATTTACCAAATGTCCAAATGGGAATTTTCACTATATTGAAACAAAATTATTTTCCAGATGAATAAATAAAGTGTGTAAGGGAACATTCCAGAACATTGAAATAGTGATTATAACTCATAGAGTTAACAAACATTAGATGATTGTGTAATGAAGCAAATGAAAACAGATTAATGGTAATAAATAAAGATATGAATTGAAATCAGTCAATTAGGAATTAAAGAAAAATGGCAATGACGTAATCAAAACTTGAGAAAGAGTAATGAATGAAGCAATAAATAAAAAAGGATGTAATGTTACCAGGGTAAATAAAGACTTATTACTGATTTTTTTTGGATACATAGATCTGGTTTTAGACGTTTGATCGATATCGCTTCGGCAAATTACAGAAGATTTGAGTGTTTATTATTCACCTTGGAAGACTTCAATGTATCGACTTAGTGTTCTATTTCAAGATGTCTTGAGATGGTAATGCTAAATGCTTTTAATCTGTTTGACCTTACACTTTTCTTCGCAAACTTTATTTATCCGAAAATTTTTTAATGACTATTAACTCTTTTGGAGTCTTCGCTACAGCATGATACACAAATTCATCTCCAATCACCCAAGTATTTATAATACCTGTCATTTCTAAAATATTACAGGTTGTAAACAGATGATGAGAACCTAACGAAATAAAATGAATTCATATTATTCTGCACCAATCTTCGTTCTTGCTCTCTTCAAGAGAATAAAGGGAACTATATGTATGAAATTATTGTTTTAACTTCCGGCAGGCAGTACAGATAATGATATTCGTTTCGTTAGTACAGTAGAAATTATTATGATATACTGATTATTTTTTATTATTAATCATCTGCTGTCGTAGCATAAAACACATTTTTAGATGAACTTATGACTAAATAGGAAAACGGTATTATTAATAAGAAACAGAAAATAAAAGTCTGGTTGTGTGGTAAAAAGCCTGGATAATACAATATTAAGGAAGACCTGAGAGTAGGATACCACTCTCATTATTCGTTATGATTTCAACTTTTATACGACCACTCAATTAGTGGAATTACTGAATTGTTACATCTACTAATGACACGTTCAGTTTATATCAGTGATATTAATGACTTTCGCTTGGTTAACAACATCAATGACCACAAAAAACCGCTGATTATCCTAACGCTGTTTATTAGATTACACAGATTCTTCTATTTCTAATGAAAACACGAGAATACCAAATCACTTTGTCAATTTTAATTCCACTCAAAAACTTACATGATAATGTACATTCTATTACAAGATCATAGTGGAGCATAGATAAAAAGAAAAATCAATCTGTACATTACTAGGTCATTTGCGGTACAAAACTGACTAACAGGTAAGTCATTAATTAAACGGTAATTTATCAACGGTAAAAGACATTATAGCAACTCACGTTCAATTGAGTTTGCTCTCACCTAATTCGGTAAGGCCCTTTTATTAACTTATTAAACGGACAAAGTCACCTGCACTATAATAACTTATTGTATCCTTATTACTGTTGCGAATGTGTGTACCTTTATTATTGTTATCCTTGTATGAATATGTATGCTCGGCAAGCCTTACTGCCTAAGCATTTATTCACGCTACTAGCTTTACTATTAACTGCTTAATTGACTCGATGATTCATTCATTTCACTATGTATATATATATGTCCATGGCTAGTTCTCGTGGACTGGCAGGTGTAGGCATAGCACTTAGCATGAGGGCTGAACAAGCGCTATTAGAAACGATCCCCGTTAATAGTCGTCTATGCGCTGTTCGGCTAAACGGCTCCGTAAGAACTCGGAAGGATAGGGACACACGTCGTTGCCTTTTCGTCGTTTCTGCCTACGCTCCCATTGACTGCAGTTCGGATGAAGTGAAAGATGAATTTTACAGAAAGTTGTCTGAACTTCTTCAGAAAGCTAAACGTTCAGACATAGTACTCGTAGCAGGCGACTTTAATGCCCAGGTAGGTAGCTTAAACGGAACAGAAAGACATTTAGGTGGGTATTTTAGTATTCCGGCACAGAGAACAGATAATGGTGATCGTCTGCTGCAACTTTGCTCAGACAATCGTTTATTTTTAGCAAACACAAATTTTAAGCATAAGGAGAGACATCGTCTAACCTGGCGACCCCCTGCACCAAATCAACCATGGACTAAAATAGACCATATTGCCATCAGTCATCGTTGGAGAGGGTCAATAGAAGATTGTCGCTCATTCTGGAGTACCTGCTTGGACTCCGACCATGCCCTAGTACGAGCACGCATCTGCTTGAGCCTCACTGGACGCAAAAAAGCCACACAAAAAAAGACTCATTAGAACCGAATTGAGTAATGAGAAAGCCAAAAGTAGGTTCCAGGAACAACTGAGGTCACACTTAGGTAGTTCTGAAAAAGAGACTGACCCAGATGTTGCTTGGAAAGACATACAAGTAGCTGTGGAAATAGCAGTGACATCTACTAGTGATTTAAACCACAGGGTTACAAAGAACCAATGGATTTCTTCAAGGTCTATCGCACTGATAGATTCTCGTAAACTCATCCCATCAGGTTCTGAACACGATGAAGAGCGTAAAGAAATCAGATCTAGGTTAAGCAAAAGTCTAAGGAATGATCGTGAGCAGTGGTGGGCAACGAAAGCAAAAGAGATGGAAAAGGCGGCGGCTATAGGGAACACAAGACAACTCTACAGACTAATAAAAGAAACTGGAATTAATAAATCAAATGTAAGTCAGACAATTTTGGAAAAAGACGACACTCTCATCTGCTCCCAGTTCAGACGTTTAGAATGATAGGCGGAACATTTTAAGGAGTAATTCAGTTGGCCTTCAGCTACTCTACAACTACCCTCTATTCCCAGACAGTGTGAATGGAACATTGAAGTAGGTCCCCCAACTCAAGCTGAAGTTCAAAAGGCTATAGCTAATCTGAAACGAGGAAGGACAGCTGGTCCAGATGGATTGGCCCCAGAGGTCTTTAAGGATGGTGGTCTAGTCTTAGCGATTAGGTTGACTAATATTTTAGCTAAAATCTGGGAGTTAGACGTTATTCCATCTAACTGGTCACAATCACTTATCGTCCCAATATTTAAGAAAGGGTCAAAATCATTCTGTGACAACCACAGACGGATTAGTTTGACTAATATAGTATCTAAAATACTAGCCTCGATAATTATCGGACGCCTAACTAAGACTCGTGAGCTGCAAACACGTGAAAATCAGGCTGGCTTCAGACCTGGTCGTGGATGCATAGACCACATATTCACCATTCGTCAGGTTCTAGAACACAGGCATACTTATCGGCGTCCGACAATGGTGGTCTTCCTTGACTTAAAAGCAGCGTTTGACTCTGTTGACCGAGAGGTTCTGTGGCAGTGTCTGTCATTGAAAGGCGTACCTCAGAAGTACATAAACCTTGTGAAGGCTCTTTACTCGAACACTACTAGTCGAGTGAGAGCTTATGGCGAACTGTCATCTGCTTTCGCAACCTCAAGTGGCGTCCGCCAAGGCTGTCCACTTTCTCCATTTTTGTTCAACTTCATCACAGATCTACTGATGGAAATAACGCTTTCATCGACTGAATTCTCGGGCGTCGATCTCCTACCAGGAGGTCCACTTATTGATTTAGAATACGCAGATGACATAGTCCTGTTTGGTGAAGACGCTGATGAAATGCAGAGTCTTTTGTTAGCAGTGAGCAACAATGCCAGAATGTTTGGGATGCGCTTCTCTCCTTCCAAATACAAGTTGTTGCTTCAGGACTGGTCTGCGTCAACACCTGAACTAAGGATAGGAAGTGAAGTAGTCGAACGCGTTGTCAACTTCACTTATCTTGGAAGTCTGATCAGCCCTAATGGGTTGGTGTCTGACGAAATCTCAGCACGGATTCGAAAAGCTCGCTTGGCCTTTGCCAACTTACGTCATCTATGGCGAATTCGAGATATCCGTCTATCAATTAAGGGACGAGTATACTGCCCGGCAGTTCGTTCCGTTCTGCTTTACGGCTGCGAAACATGGCCTTTAAGAGTAGAAGATGAACATTCTCGCCTTCTAATTAATATACCGTTGGAGCGTTATTTGGTGACGGTTACCGAGACGAACTGTATGCGGAGTTTAAAGAATATATCGAACACCGACCTCCACAACATATTATCAGTCAATAACCAATGCTCCTAAACAACCTGGTACGGTCGACAGTGGGGGGAGTCCGCTCTCCCCTTTAAATGCTTTCACATGACCACACGTATGCAGCTACTGTCATGGAAGTCCTACTCATTGCATTCTGGCGTAGGGGCTGTCGTTTATAAAATTGAGAGGACGAAAAGTGAATGTCTGGAGCTTTAACTGGGACGGTGGACACAGACAGACCACCTAGGGGAGTTGGAAAACCCTGGTCTCAAACCAATGGTGTGTATGGGATCAAGGATCCTGGAAGAACAAATGGTGTATGAACCTACTGTTGGTCACAAGCTACCATGGGACTGGGTCTCCTTACGTTGCTCCACTGCCTTGAGGATTAGACCTTTACATCAAAGACTCGGAGAATGGCCTCCTAAGAAAACCACCTGCTTCGGTTTGAGCACCTGGACCGTACCACAGCCCTCAACACAGATCAATAACAACTACTACTGCCCCAAAATGCCCTGGTACGGCCAAGAGTGGGGAGAGTCCGCTCTCCCTCTCGAAATGCTCTCACACGGCCACGCGTATACAGCCCCTGCCAGGGAAGTCCTACTCACTGCCTTCACGCGGTGGGGGTGTTGTTTACAAAAATGAGAGGACGAAAAGCGAATGTCTGGAGCTTTAACCGGATCCCAAATCAATGGTGCACATGGGCTCCAGTATCCTGCGGGAACAAATGGCGTATGAACCAATCGTTGGTCACCGGCTACCATGGGACTGCATCTCCTCACGATGCTCCACTGCCTTGTGGATCAGACGTTCAGGTCGAAGGCTCGGGGTGTGGCCCCCTAAGAAAACCACCTGCTTCGCTTTGGGCCCCCGGGCAGTATCACAGCCCTCACACAAATCAATTGAGATTTGTGTGGCGCATATGTATTTGGTGCTCCGTTGTACCAATGTTTGTGTTCAAATAAATAAATAAATAAGCAATAGCTTAAATAGGAGCTTAGAAATTTGGGAAGCATGAAAACCAAACTTAAACCAAATGTTTATCAAATACGTGATAAAAATATACACAATAATTTATCTGAGAATAGTTCATCAAGTTCCACCTCCTATATATATATATATATATATATATATATATATATATATATATATATATATATATATATATATATATATATATATATAGGCACTAAATCAAAATTAGAACACATTTATAACATTTTAGAGTTGAAACCTGGTAGTTTATTTGACTGAATTAAACCGAAATCGGTACAACACAGTAGTTCGGTAAAGTACATTTCATGAGCAATACAAAAAAAAATGTATTCGGTTTTGACCTACACTTCATGTCAGCGCTAAAGTGAAAACTACTAAAGCATGAGTGTTAAAACCGAAGCTGGTGAAGAACGATTCGAAAGTGAGATTTAGCATTTATTTTAGAATAGTAATTAGGCAGTTTTTTGGAGATAACTGCTACTACCACTTAATGTTATATTAATGTTTACAAATATCATTCAATATGATCAATATATTTCGATGGTTCAATAGTGTATTAATATCAAGTATGTGACTATTTGTTAAGCACTTTTACACAATTGTATATACATATATGACAAGTGATTAGCTGTTTATTTTGACATGTGTATACATACAACAATGATGAAGGTGGGGTTATTCAAGTTACGAAGGGATTCAGTACGAGTAATAGGTTATTTGTAAGACTAAATTATCCCATTGTTGATATTCAGGACTGAATTTTGACTAGTCTTTGTTAGTATATATGTATCCTCTGAATATATTATCTCAACACAGTCATCTTTAACATGTCCTACGACAGAAGGATTGTGGTTAGTAGTGAAACTCAGGACACACTACGTCCTACTTAGGACACATTAAGTAAATGTATGTGTTTTCTAGTGTTACTGTTTTCACTGAGCCTCGAACTTCATATATAATGCATCAAAATCAAACGCGTTATCCACTAAGTTGATGAGTTCACATTTTCATTAACTTGTACAACAGTTATGATTTCTAATCGTAAGAGCTGTTGATAAAATAAGCTTCTTACTGATATGAATTTAAATCACATTTTACACATCGAAAAGAATTAGGGAAAATTAATCTTTAGTAAAAAAGGTAGAATTCAACAAACATATAAAGGATAGTAAGCAGAAGAGGGATAAGGGAGGTTTCATGAGAGTTATGTTTTAGTGAGATCATTGTCTTCTGTCATGTTTTAAACAGTAATTAAATACAGTTATTTACAGTTTTAAACGAAGTCTTGAAGTTGATGATAATCAACTACACTAACTACTTAGTATAAGTAAAAGAATTAAGGTGAGTAACTGTTTAATCACAGTGAAAGTGTAATAATTGAATCAAAACTTACGCTGTGACTGTGATACAAGTTTTCTCCCAATCTGACGTGGACGACCGTCGTAATTTGAAGCAATTGATCCTTGACGGAAAGAACGACCAACTGAGAAGAAATGTGCAAAAAAATTATGTAACAGTCATCGTATAGTAATTTGAAATATTACGAAACCGAAGGTGGATTTTTTAAGAACGAGTCTAAAGTAGGTGGCTATGGAAGAAAATACACTGAAACACATGAATAAAAATACAATTATTCCAAAAACATTCTTTGTGTTAGCACTAACGAAAAGTTATGAAGGTTGTTATCCTTAAATGAGCAGTGATTAAAAATAGGCGTTGATTATAATGAATGGTAACAGTTCATGTTCAGAGATCGCCCTCGATTGCTCTAGACATTATGTCATGATGCACTTTTATTCGCATTATTTAACTTTTATTCATTTACATACGATTATTCGTAATCTTATTATGACTATAATCTTTCTCACACAACTGTTTTTGAAATGTTGAATTTTAACCAATGCAATATTGCGACAGATTACACAACGATCTTTATTGTTTCTCACTCTACCCCCCTCTTGATAATGAGTCTTAGAAATACCGACTGGTGGAATTCAAGGAAGTTTTGGTTATTGATAATTAAAGCTTATGATAGGGAGCTCACTAATAAACGAGAAAACAATCACACAATGTTTCACTTCTACCATATCAGATAAAAATCGCTAGTAACTAAAGTGGAGGTGAGGTATGAAAGTACGTGTAGATACTTCGGCAAACAATGTTGAAACACTACTTAACCGATGATATAAATCCAATCACTGTATACAAGCTAATGACATTAACTGGTTGCACGAACTTTGCATTTCAAGTACTCAGAATAATCAAGTGTAATTACCAGTTTTATTTGTGCGATTTAAATTCTGGTGAGTTAGCTAAATGAACGCTCGATTTGCTAACCGCTTCTAATAATCCTAAGCTAAATTCACACGGCAACTTCAACACAAAAGAAGAAGTGCGAAGTGTAAAAAAACGCTTTACTCTGAAGTCATTTTATGTGCAGAGAAACGAGTTTTATAGAGTTACACACGATCTTAGGCTGCTATGAGTTTATGAAACCGTATTAAATATAGTGGCAGAATAGGTAAATATCCGACCAGAAACGTGGTATGACTTAATTTTCTAGATTTTTCTGAGAAGCCTCTATTTAAGGCTGATTGGATAGTGTTTCCAAGCGTTTTTGACCCCCTATGAACTTTTCCAATGAGTACTTGGAACTCACTCTAGATTTTTATTAAGTGTACACAGAGAATGTGCATGAGAATTTAGCAACTATTAATGTAATTTAAATAAGTTTATATGAATTATTTCTTTTATCAAAAAAACAGCAAATGATAAGTAACCTTACCGGTATTATACTCATTCTGACTAGTTAATGGTGGACGACTGCGATTTGTATTATTGGCTAATGAACTGGTGCCTAATGCAGGTCGACTTGGTCGTTTAGTACTTTGATAAGTTAAATTTGACTGACTACCAGGTTGACTCCGAGATGATCCAGTTGTCGCAGTGTCACCAGCACCAATCCCTTCTGATAATCCTGCAGCGATCAAATCTTTTTCAATTAGTTTACGTTTTTGAGGATCAAGATTTTGTAAAAATAAATTCGCTTGCTCAGGAAATTTAGCAACAAATAATGGGAATGAACTAAGGTAAACGGAAAAACGAGAAGAAATATAGTAATAACTTAAAAGCTGAGTTGTTAGTCAACTGATATAAACAGCCAATAAAGAAATCATAAGATATCCGGTTGATGATGAATTATTATTGATAATCTATCGTTGTATATATGAAACACAATGATGCAAGCAATATTCCTTATACAAATAAACAATCCAAAAATTTTCCACGGTTCGATTTCATGCTAACAGTAAGGATAAATATTAGGAAAAGCGATTGATGCGGCAACAGAGTGCATATAGTTTTAAGGTATCTAAAAGAAATCTAGTGACTACACTTTTGTATGCATTGGTGGTCACCGTTTAGCAAAAGCGTTATTTGTAACTTCATTGATTATATAATCATTAACAAAGTTATCACAGTACTAAACTATCTGCTTTTAGACAGATTGCTAAATCTGATAACACTAGTCATCATTCACAAATATCTTAGCCATAAACATGGTTAAGGTATTGATTTGATGAAGTCGGAATTCAAAACGAAAAGTTACTTTGGGATTATGGTGATAATACGCACTGAATGTGTACGAACTAGTGATACTGTTCAGGTCACCAGTTTATGGGTTGTTAGAAGTGTGTGTGTGTGTGTGTATGTTAACGATACCTCTCAGTTGTTCAAAAAGAAGTTAGGCAATAATCTTTTGAAATAATTGAAAGGCATAGTTAGTGTAACCATATAGCTCAAGGAGAATCTACGTAAAATTGATTGAGCCACAGTTCTTACGTATTAGTAATTTTTATTTTAATTGAACGCATAAATATTGGTACAAGGGGGCACCAGATACATATGCGCCACACAAAACAATGAGTATGAGAAGAGAAAAAGAATGTAAGTTGTGTATAATAAAGAAAGAGGAGAACAATAACGACCACAGATTAGTGTATGGTAGTGAAATAATAATAATAATAATAATAGTAATAATAATAATAATGAGGGAAACGGAAAGGCACAACCAGAAGAATTCTTTCAATTAAGGAAGTTAAAACCACTTTTTATGAAGAAAGTAAAAGAAGGTTACAGCAGGATCGCCACTGGCTTCCATCCTGAGCCGTATCTGATAACGTCTCTAGCCACTGTGATGCACCGTTTCTCGGACCCCAGCAAGGGAGTTGAGAAGGACCAACGTATTAGTTATTATAATTTTAACCCCACTTATTCTAAGAACTTAATATCTGGTATCTAAAAGGAATAATTCACGAAAGGAAGTGTTTTTTTAAACCACTGATCATTGGATTACAATCATATTACTGCCGTTACGTACGTGTAGTCGGTACTTTTGAATCACCCTTAGATTCTATTTGAATCTAATTTTTTTTCCTCAGAAAGTGATAGCATTTCAATAACATTCTACTTTGTAACCTAGTGACTGATTATATACTACCTAACTTGCATTAAATTTATTGCATAAATATGTTCACTATGAACAAGTTCAGTCAACTTACAAAATCAACTGTGAAAGACAGAAGCATACTGAAAAAGAATGAATGTAACAAAGTTTGGAAGCACGAAACCTGTCTTTTTCATTTAACTTACCGTCTAGTAAATAATCGAGCTTCCTGATCTGCATCTGAAATACCTCGCCTTAGTGCATCTTGTAATACAGAGAGATTTTTTTCAAGAATATTTAATGGCCAAGTTCGAAAAATGATTTCTAAGAATTCACAAATGCATCTATAAAAACAAATGAAACTAAATGTTCGTTTACGAATATATCCAATGGAGATACAAAACAATATTCGAACACCGAACAGATATGAATACTATTAGAGTAATTATAGACAATGAAATCAAATATCAGAGTTTCTTTTGTGAAGGTTTGGATCTTATCGACTATATTTACTATAATGGAGCTCCTTGAACAAATGCCTTAATGCTGTCCCGGTTTAGAATTGATTTACATAGTGAACAGGGGAGAAAAATAGAATCTATGGCGCGCTTTTTTGGGACTCATCGGCCGAATGTACTTATACTCCGGTAATGATGATTACATTAAGACTGTAGATACGTACACAGTGTTATTGTAACTCAATAGTTTGGAGCATAACCTGGTATGTGAAGTGGTAGGTACTGACTTTTGGATTTACTTGTAAAAAAACACCAATATAAAACTGCAAGTATATTATCCAGCATACTAATCCCAAATAGTATAAAATGTGCATCTAAAATTAACTGCTAGATATTTTTTCGATAACAACAACAGCTTAGGACCATAGAAACGACTTAGTAGACAGATTTCTACTTTAAAATGGTAGGTCGTAAGGTTTCAACTCCGCTCCATCTGTTACCTTGGTTTGAGCAGTCGGGCAGTAGTTTCATTAGCCCTCACATCCAAAAGGTGGAGATTCAGAGCCCAGTACATAAATATTTGTTTGGTAAATGAGTTGCTTTAGAAATTTTTATTGGTTTTACATCCTTTTAAGCTTTTATAATATCAGACTGTAGTGTTATTTATCATTAGAACTATTCGAAAATGAAATAGAAACGAGAATGTTAACGGTTATTCGCCCGAGTGAGGCAAATGCTCAATGCAATTCATTAAATCAAGAACTGTTATTATCCAAGTGACCTTGGCGGAGATAGGTAAGTTCAAAATAAGTTGATTATAAAGATTTAATACTAATCATCCTTTAGTATAACTGGTATTGACCTGAAATCTCAACTAGAATTAGAAATCACCATTAATGGACCATCTTTAATAGTAATTTATTTGACAGCAACAACGAATACATATTAAATATCGATGAAAACACCGAGTATGATTAATTTATCGTTGAGCGTATAAAAATTAGTTGTAAAATATATTTACACATGGGATCAGTCTATGAAGTTAGAGACTACTGAATAGAGTCACGTATGTAGATAACCTGATTGATGTCAACGTGGTAACCACGGTCAGTTGTGGATCAACTATGATTGGTGTGAGTTAAAATGAGTCACAATCGCATAGGTGTAGTCAGTCAGAAACAACGTGGAACTTCGTACGTACGTACATCAGTTCGAGTTGCAATACCACATTAGCACAGAGATTCAGTTATCGTCTCAAATCCCGTAGTGGCAGAGTAGTGAAAGTATAAGTAGTGACAGGAAACGTTAAGGTTTGATGATGTTATTTAAGGAGTATAGTCCAGTGGAATATATTTGGAAAGAAAATAAAGGACATGGAGAATTCAGAACATTAGAGTTTAGGAGAACACAGAGAGTGGATGCACCTGCACCATCGTAAACGATTTTGAGCCATGTCATTCAAGGTCTCTAACCATCGGTTGCTATCATCTCGCGGTCCCCAATCAGGTAGCCTACACCTACCAACATGGCTCAGTCCACTTGTCAGTGACTTCATGGGTTTGTGCCATGTTTTGGTCTGGCCGCCCCTAGCTTTCTTCCAACCTACTTCTACACCATAAAACATAGCACGTCGGGGCAGTCGGTGGTCTGGCATGCGCAACACATGTCCCAGCCATCTCAACTGATTAAGTTTCACTACTTCCTCAATTGATTTGCCATCCTTACCTAGTACCCGTTTCCTAACAACTACATTACTTACTCGGTGGTCCCAGGATATATGAGCAATGTTTCGAAGACACCTATGATCAAATACTAGTAACCTACGAATATCCTCTACTCTTACTGGCCATGTTTCACTACTATAAAGTAGGACGGAACGAACTGCTGCGCAGTAAACTCGTCCTTTGGTTACTAGACGGATATCTCGCCTACGCCACAAATGACGCAGTTTGGCAAAAGCTAGTCGAGCCTTCTGTATCCGTGCTGAGATTTCGTCACACACCAGACCACAAGGGCTGATGAGACTTCCAAGATAAGTGAAGCAGTCGACATGCTCAACTACTTCGCTCCCTATCACTAGTTCGGGTGCCGATGCAACCCAATCCTGAAGCAACATTTTGCATTTTGAGGGAGAAAATCGCACGCCGAACATGCATGCATTGTTGCTTAGAGTGGTCAGCAGACTCTGCATTTTGTCAGCGTCTTCACCAAATAGAACTATGTCATCGGCATATTCTAAGTCAACAAGTGAATCTCCCGGTAAAAGTTCAACTCCTGGAAATTTAGATGAGGAAAGTGTCCTCTCTAAAAGGACGTCAACGACAAAGTTAAACAAGAATGGAGAGAGTGGACAGCCCTGACGAACACCACTTGAGGTAATCAGTTCTGATGACAGTTCGCCATAAGCTCTCACTCGACCAGTTGTGTTCGAGTAGAGAGCCTTTATAAGGTTAATGTACTTCTTTGGTACTCCTTTCAGTGACAAACACTGCCATAGAACCTCACGATCAGCCGCCTTAAGGTCGAGAAATACTACCATTGTGGGGCGTCTGAATGTGTGTCTATGTTCTAGGACCTGACGTAGTGTGAATATTTGATCTATACAACCACGTCCAGGTCGAAAACCAGCCTAGTTTTCTCTAGTCTGCATTTCACGAGCTTTGGTTAGACGTCGAAGTATTATTGAAGCTAATATTTTAGACACTATATTAGTCAAACTAATTCCTCTGTGATTGTCACAAGAAGACTTTTGTCCTTTCTCATAAACTGGCACGATCAGTGATTGAGACCAGTCAGATGGGATTACGTCCAGTTCCCAGATTCTACCTAAGACCTCAGTCAATCTCGCTGCTAATACTGGACCGCCATCCTTAAAAATCTCAGGGGTAAACCTGTCAGGGCCTGCTGCTCTCCCACGCTTCAGATTTCCTATAGCTTTTTCAACTTCGTAAAGAGTCGGAGGATTCACATTAACTTGCCATTCAGGTAGATTGGAGATCGTAGGAAACCGAAGTGTGGCTGAAGGTCAGTTGAACTGATCCCTAAAGTGTTCTGCCTATCGATCCAATCTCCTGGATTGAGAATGAATAATATGTCCATCTTTCTCTGAGATTGTTTCGCTAACAGCTGGGTTCCTAATACCGGTTTCCTTAACAAGTCTGAACAGTTGCCTGCTGTTACCTATTGCCGCTGCCTTTTCTATCTCTCTTGCTTTCGCTACCCACCACTGTTCACGATCATTGCGTAGGCTTCTAGTCAGCTTAAGCTGACTCCGCTCTTCGTTATGTTCAGAGCCAGATGGAATGAGTTTTCGGGCATCTATCAGTGCGGTAGATGCTGCTGAGATCCAGTGTTTCTCCCTAACCTTATGATTTACAGTAATTGCAGACATCACTGCTGTTTCTACAGCTTTTTGGATGTCATTCCACGCTGCCTCGGGGTGGGCATCAGTTACATAGCTGCCTAACTGTCTTTCTAGTGGTTCCTGAAATATACTCTTAGCTTGACTATCATTCAGGACCCTAAGGGGTTTTTTTGCACCATCTTTCCTACGTCCAGTAAGACGTAGACAAATACGCGCTCGCACTAGAGCATGATCTGAGTCTAAGCATGTGCTCCAGAATGAGCGACAGTCTTGAGGTGAGGTCAAATGAATGACACTACTCGGATCCTGTATGCGCGTTTCGGAGACGCAGCACACATCGATGGAGCGAGATTCTAAAGTCCTAGCTAAGGAAGCCTGTTGTCCTATTTGGCACAGTGTTCGGACGTTGAAAGCTCCTATGTGTAGTTTAGAGCGTGGTTTCAGGAGACCAGGAATAACGTTCCGCGTACTCGAATCGTTTGCACTAGTGGGGCGAGGTGATTAAGGCACGTAAGAAGGGTTAGTCGTGGAGATAAGAGAATCATTAAGAGGTGTAGGAAGGATTTGAATGTGACCAACGTGGTCTCGTGTGCTGTTACGGGTATGAGGGCTGATGTCACTTCCCGGCTGCCCACACCGTGGAACGGTATGGCTTGAGGAACCTGAAAAGAAAATCGGATTAGTGTTGGTCTTAACGACCTGGGTGTGTGACCGCAGAGCCCAAGGGACAACTGCTTGAGGCCGGTAGCGCACGGCCTTTTTGTGGGAGGTCTTTAATGTGTTAGCTCCGTTCTTCAAAGGGCCTTACCGCCGGAGACGGAAATCCGTGGGGTAAGGTGAGGTGTGACATTTTTAGGGTCGACCTTTTCTAACCCCTTCCTTCCTTGTGAGAAGGCAGCATCGCTGTAGATGCTGGTTGTCCGAGGGAAACACCTTACTGCTGTCACACCTCTGTACAGTCAGCAGTACGACTTCGCCCTCAGACCCTGAGTTGCTGCTTTTAGTCTTACCGTTCTCCAATCGACCTGCCTGGCATGGTAGAACCTGCAGGAACATGTGTTCCAGCCAATATAGCTCGGTTGGGTCATAACGATAGGCAAGCCCGACCACCACGTCAAGGTAGCAGCTACGGTCGGGATCGCATAGTTGCATTTACAATTTGTCTTTCAATATTAAATTCCAGTATCCCTTTACATATACCTTTTCATTACGGCTTCTCAAACCATATCCGCACTAAAGTTTTTTTCTTATTAACATTTCTTTTACATTGTTTTGATCTCTTTCGCTGTTTCTCTTGATATATTCATTTGCTGGTCTTAACGTGATATGATAAACTGAGACAATGAGTATATGTGCCAAGTTCTAAGTTGATGATGACTGAGACTATTCACATCACTACTAGTTCTAATAACTAACAGATAACGTCTACATAATCTCGGTAACAATATAGAATTTTGTATGTGCAAAAAAAATAGTCATTGATTAGTTGTTGTTACACGGAATTAAAAACAATAAACTCACTTTCTGGTAACATTAGACTTGGATGATAATGAAGAAATGAGAATGGGGAGAAGACGAGAAGAACATGTATTCTGTGTTGGAAGTGAAAAAAAGAAAAAAAACGTTTTCACTAAAGAAAATATAGACAATTGACGACGGTTTATTTCGTTAAAAATTTCCTTGAATTCATTCTAAAAGTTATAAAAGCGACTGTTTAACGAAAACTTGCTGATATTCTTCACTGAAATTTGATCGGCCTTGGTTGGTACGTGAGCGTTTGAGAGAAACGGTACTGGGTTCGAATCCCAGAGTGAAACCAACTATAGAACCCAAGTACATCTAGCTGACGAGTCCCGAATAGGGCAAAATGTGTGTTTTGTATCTCGCTGCTAGCCACATTACATTTATTCTATTTCAATTGTATATATTAGGACAGCTACTTTGACAATTTGAAGGTTACATACTGTTTTCCAGTATGCACTTCAATATTTACAAAAAATGTGTCATAACTCTTCATATCGGAGCATAATACATATCCTGTATTCTATTTCAGTGTCTAATCGCTTCACATTTTGATTATTTTCGGTGTTTAAGGTGTAACAAAGAAGGCTCATTCAGTCATATGCAACGTAGAACCCGAAACATGTGCATCGATTCAAGTTGCCGTACCACATTAACACAGAGAGAGAAAATTATCCCAAGAAATCCAAGAGTATTAGAAGTAGTAGCAATATCAGTAGTAGTAGAAAAGATTACTTATCGAAAAAGGAATAAGAGATATTCAGGACTCAGATTTAAAGAGAATATAAACAGTGAATTTACCTTCTGCAGTGCGAACGGTTCTGAGCCATGTCATTTAAATTCTCTAACCAATGATTAAAATATATACGGACTCTAAACATACAGCATACACCTATTAACATAGCTCGATCAAACTGTAAATAGCTTCAAAGACTGGCGCCATATCCTGGTCCAGCCGCCCCTACCTTTCTTCCAACCTACTCCTACATCGGATAACATCGCCTGTTGAGGTACGAGGTGGTTGGGTATATGTAACAAATTTGACAATCACTTCAGTTAATGAAGATCCACAACTGATTCACCATTTTAACCTAGTGAATCAGTAGTGGATCTTCATTAACTGAAGTGATTGTCCGCTCTCCCTCTCGAAATGCTCTCACACGGCCACGCGTATACAGCCTCTGCCACGGAAGTCCTACTCACTGCCTTCACGTGGCGGGGGTGTTGTTTACGAAAATGAGAGGACGAAAAGCGAACGTCCGGCGCTATAACCGGATCCCAAATCAATGGTGCACATGGGCTCCAGTATCCTGCGGGAACAAATGGCGTATGAACCAGTCGTTGGTCACCAATTACCATGGGACTCCATCTCCTTACGATGCTCCACTGCCTTGTGGATCAGACGTTCAGGTCGAAGGCTCGGGGTGTGGCCCCCTAAGAAAACCACCTGCTTCGGTTTGGGCACCCGGTAAGTATCACAGCCCTCACACAAATTAAATGAGATTTGTGTGGCGCATATGTATTTGGTGCCTCCTTGTACCAATATCTATATGTTAAAATAAGTAAAATGGTGCCTCCTTAACCTAGTGCATTATAACCTAGCTTTAGTATCAATCATACACACAAAACTAGTGTTAATATGGGGGTTTTAGTTTTTTATGGAAACGATTAATTTTTGTACGGAGTTCAATGTTTTTTAAACTTCCCTTAGCAAGTCCAACCAAGAGTCAATGTGAATAACATGCATTAGTTTCATGTTTTTGTAATCTGCAGTACAGACACATACGCATACATTTACCTACTCCTGTAACTATTTTTCAATTACTTTTCTAATAAAAAAGTTTGCGAAGTTATAACACGAACGTGTATATTAATCCCGAAATTCCACAAAAGTTAACAAACAAATCGAACCATTTCATTTCAAATACCAAATGAATAACATTTTATTGATCATTCATTTACTGTTTGACAGGATGATAATGATGATAATAGTTCTATAATTCATTCAATAACTAATGATCTGGTACATATTCATGTACAATTCAACATTGAGCCACTCGATTGATTGATAGACGGAAAAGTTTTTAACTCGGAATTCGACCATTGCAAGTGGACAATTTTCATGAATAAACACATATTACCTTTTTACGAATAACGAAAGAGAAACATAGCTCCTAACAGCGTATCAGACTAGTATATTTTATGGCATGGTACAGACATAAAACAATGCCTTTTCTGTCTACCATTCCATTCATAATCTAAGCATTGCTTATTCAGTAGTTTCAGAACACCCAAAAGAATTCCACAATTGCTGTTACAGAATACTTGCTAAATTCCTGGTATGACCTACCTTAAATAACTACATTTTAGTGGTGTAATTACATAGAGATACCCTAAAAAGAGTACTGTAAATAATAGACATTTAAATAATGAGACTACACTAGAAGTGGCGTAGTTTATCAAATGCTAGTTGGAATTTCACTCGATCACCAATTCACTAAGGTTGATGCAATTCCAGATGTAGGTAAAATGGTCAAGCAACTCAATTACATCGTTCTTAACTGTTTATTTAGATTGAATTTTGTTTAATGATGGATAACACGTTACGTCTTATCAGGGTTTTCCTTTAACTATCGCTTATTTTGCAAATACGCTATAGGGTTTCTGGTAGATATATGCAAGCAACTGGAGCACTCAACAATTAAGACCAGTGAAAGGTTATCCTTGATAGCAATACTAGAGTTGAACGATGGGTTTGAACTTACAACGATAAATAGATTTCCCTGAACTGACTGAGAAAAATTTGTCCAAAAACCAACGCCTAGAGCATTCTCGATAAAAAAGGACATAATGCGATGGTAACTTCGGAAGATTTTTACTTACCTCTAAGATAAATCGCATCGCAACCACTCCACTGGTTGCCATAACTTTAGCGCTATTCGATAATAACGCAATAATTGTTTGTAAAACACTCTCAGCGAAACGATCAAAACGATTACGAATTTCTTGAGATAAAAAGCTGTTGTTATTGAGCAAAAAGAATATAAGGAAATGAATCTAGTGAAAATAATTGAAGTACACGTTATGAAATATTTTAAAGACCTTGGTGGTTTGAAGTGAATCAATGAATGAAGATGTAAACTTTCTTCGGCTGAAATGGTTGAAACATAGATAATGCAAACCTAACCCATGTCTACCCTGACGTGCCATCCTAACTAACATATAGGAGTAGCCCAATAAAAAGGGTTAACATCAGCCAGTCTGACACACTACACCAGTCTATGAGGTCATCAACTGCTGGACTTGAAACATGAGGTTGGAGACGCTAAGTAACAGAGGATCATATACATTTATTCACTATTTCTTTATAGCTACCAAGTTAAGTACAATTTTATGCTTATTATTGCCTGATACTATTATTTCCTTTCGTGAATTCCTCATACCTTTCATTCCCTGTCAGGGTCGGTATTCTTACTTTTATGCCATCGTTTTACTTCAAGTTAATTTTTTCTGCTTTTGTTCCAAGGATGTTCAGTGTGGCAGTTTAAACTGATATACATTCTGTGATGTTTATGTTTGCCTATCTGGTTTAAGAGACACAATGAGCAAATCTAGAGGTCGTTTTAGAGCGGAATTCAAAAATGTGACTCAGTGACGGAAAACATGTTTTTTTAACTAGGACACAGGTTGTCTATTAAGTGAGATAGATAGCTGATGATGTTGTGGTTTCCTACAAATACCTAGGTAAATTGGACAGGGTTTGAGTTTACGACCCAGTGGTTGAAATTCGAATATTTAAACTAATGAACAACAAGTACATAGGAGTTTTAATTATGAGTGGATATTACGTGAGAAAAGTAGGAAATAGAGGGGTTCCAAATGTTTAGATTGAATATAACAAACTGCATAATTGACACTCATGTTTCTAACAGCTGTATAAGTTCCAAACCACCAGAATGTAGTGTTGAATGTTTTTTTGTTGAGTTACGCTTGGTAAATACTATAGGGTCATGAATACACGGATGTTGAGGAGAGCACGAAATGAGTGAGGCCGTTTTCAGGTAAATATTGTTCCAATCTAGAGACACTCACTAATCTAAGAAAGTGATATTTAATTATTCAAGATGTTAATCAGCATATCTATAAAGCATCAGGAATTGCAACCTATGATTTTGGCAATTAGTAAATAGTCTAACCACTTTTAATATCATATTCATAGAAACATTAGAACTTTTCACAATATTGATGAGATCTCACTTGAAACTTTGACCTCAATGATAATACCCCAAAGATAAATATTTTTAATAAATTGTGTATTTATGAATATTTTAACTTACGCGACTGTTATACACGCTTCTCGTACAACTGAAGATCTTAAATCACGCAGGGAAAGATCTATGGAATTTTCCAAAGTTTTTAATAAGGGAATAAATTCATCATATTGCAGAGCACCATTGGCAACTATAGCACGTAATGTTTTTAACTGAAGAGAAAGAAATGATAACAGAGTAGATTGCATGGAATTCAAAAATACAACTAGTCAATTAATTTTATTTTAAAATACGCGCTAAGAATTTTTGATGAATTTTAAAATGATTTACATTACAATCAAGCACATTATGAATTCTTATTTGGGGACTGACTGTTACTTAAAATTGTAAGAAGGAATTACAAATTCAGAGGAAATTTGTGTATATTAATAAATGAGGTACGACACTGGGGGATAAATTATACTACATAAAGAGCTGATTATAGAAAAGAGATTAATGGACTTAAACTAAAGGAGCTGCTATAAAATGTTGGGACACGACTACAAAATTTGTTTCAATGATTGTGAACTTGATATTGACTTGGAATAAAAACTGCCATTATTGAATTTTTAGAAAAAAAGCACGACTCAAAAAGAAGAATAGGAAAAAATTGAAATTACCGCATCTACACGTTTTTCCCATTCTTCAGGATTCCCAGAAAGTGCATCTTTTATACGATTTATGATCTCGGTAAGTTCTTTGGGAGAAGATGCCTACATAGGACGTAGATAAAATGCATAATCATAGTAAACTTACAGTGATTGACATCGACGGTATAAAGGACTGTCGGAATACATCTTCATCCACGGCGCCAGCACCTAAAAGAGAAATTTCCATAAAAGTATGACTTTCAAAGAGAAAAGTTTGGTTGCTTCAAAAAACAAAATAAAATAAATATTAATGGTGTTACGGAGCGGTAAACAGTGGAACAAAACAAGTAATAGAATGTACATGTAAACAAAAACCACTAAAACACTATGAGTGAAAGGAAAAACAAAACAAAACACAACACAAACCAATACCTGATAATGATAATGATGAAGATGATAATCTAGATCGAGATTTACTGATGAAATGCTGAACACTGCTATTTGCCGTATCAAACTGTTGGAAGCCACCATCATCATACTGTTTTATGCACATTAGAAGTAATGATTTTGACAAAATGACATGTAAAAGATGACAAAATATATATGAGTGAGTGGATATGTGTGCAGAGTGGTGGCAGGGGAGGGGGGCTTGATAGGAAATCATGCCAATCAAATGTTGTGCAAAAGTGAGTGATTTTCTTTAATGAAATCCAAAAAAATAGTATAGCATGCACAATACAATAAAATTAATGAGGACGTTTTTACGAAAACTACCTTGTGGATCACCGGTGGAACGTTTTCGTACAGATTTTCCACCTGGAGATGGTAGCATGTGTAAGATGGAATGATAATGATTAGCCCAAGTCAGAAATTGTTTAGATATTTAATTAAAAAAGGAAAAATCATACAAGTCAGAGTTTTTTATTCGGTAAAAATGTGAACTACTCTGAAAAGTTTCGCACGCTAAAACTGCCAAAAGCAAACTAAGCACTAGATCAACAAAAACGATATCAACAAGAGAAAAAAGAAAGATACCTGAGACTGAAGTTTTGGATAAAGTTCCAGGTTTGCGTTCGATGCCATCAGCAGCGGAGTTGGACATAGCAGTAGTCACAATAACAGATAGAAACCTGGAAACTAAATCCAAAGATAGCAATAAGACCAATGAGAATAAAGTTAGCGTGATATATCACTGACGATTTGTTTAATGGATTGGGTAGTCCAGTAAAAAAATAGCATAATGATACATCAGTTTAAACTATTAGAATTGGTAAACAAGGTAAACAAATACGGGAAATAAGATTGTATAAGTAGGGAATTCGTTGTTACATGATGCCACAAAACTTAAGAAAATGAACAGCAAGAGTAAATAGTGAATGTTCGTTCGCTTCACCTAATAACTGTAGTCATCCAAGCTCATTACATTTTACACTAAGTTCTTACAATCTCGCATAATTTGACTAAGTTTATTAATGAGCCTCGATCTAACCTTACATTTCTAATATCTTATGACTTAACTATTGAGGCATTGTTAATCCAATAACGCGCAGTTGAAAGCTCTTTACATCTATAAAATTAAACGGTGAGGAAATTTGTATTTAGAGGGTAATCTGCAATTGAGTCGAAATTTTTCAACCGTGAAGTGATCTAACGAGGACTACTGTTATTATCACTAAACATTATGTCATATGCAGCGTGGGACTTGAAACATACAAATTGAAGTCGTCACATCATATTACCACAGTGGGATGAAATTATCAAGACATTTCAGAATAGAAAAAGTAACAGTATCAGCACTAGTAGAAAAGACAAGGTATAGATAATACGATTCGAGGAGATTGAATTCATGCAATGAAATGAAGTACAGAATAATTTAAGAACTCAAGATCTAAGGGAAGATGAAAATCGAAAGGACTTGAACCATTTGGACTGATTCTGAGCCACGTCATCTAACCTCTTTTAACGACTGGTTACGATAATTGCAGAGATCTCAACCAGATAGTAATCATTTTATTTACATGGGTCAGTCCAACTGTTCAGGGCTTCGTAGACTGATAGAGCGGTAGCTTAGTGATTAAAGCTTCCGACTTCTGACCATCATGTCCGAACCCCACCGAACCTACGTCGGTTTGAAAAACCGGATAGTATCAATCGTCAGTTCATTTAGTGTGGCTCATACTCAAGTAACTGGTGAACGCGTTTATTATTTATTATAATTTTATTTTTATAGACTGATGCCACGTATTGACTTGGCCGCCTCAAGTTTTCTTTCAACCTACTCCTATATCAGACATCCTTCCCTGAACCAAGCCATCGATGAACTCAAATTGACTATATTGCCATCAGTCATCGTTGGAGCGGCTTGATAGAAGACTGCCGATTTTCCTGGTGTGCATGTTTAGACTCTGATCATGCGTTAATACGAGCACGCATTTGTTTGCGCCTCACTGGATGCAGAAAAAGCACACTAAGAAGACCCATTAGAATTGAACTCAGCAACGAGAAAGCCGAAAGTAGATTCCAGGAACTGAGATCACATTTGAGCGATTCTGAAAACGAGGCTGAACCAGATGTTGCTTGGAAAAATGTACAAACAGCAGCAACATCTCTCCGTGATTTGAAGTAACGGGTCACGAAAAACCAGTGGATTTCTACTAAGTCTATTGCGCTGATAGATTCTCGTAAACTCATCCTATCAGGCTCTGAACACGATGAAGAGTGTAAACAAATCAGATCTAGGTTAACCAAAAGTCCAAGGGACGACCGTGAGCAGTGGTGGGCAAAGAGGGCAATAGATGGAAAAGGAACCGGCTGTAAGTAACAGAAAGCAGCCATTCAGACTAATAAAAAAAACTGAAACCAGTAAGTGTAGGTGAGACGATCTCGGAAAAAGACGACATAGCCCAGACGTTTAGAACGATGGGCGGAATGATTTAGGAAGCAGTTCAGCTACTATATAACCACTCGCCATTCACAAACAGCCTGAACAGGACATTGAAGTAGGTCCCCCGACTTTAGTTAAAGTTCAAGAAGCTATAGCTAATCTGAGACGAGGAAGAGCAGCTGGTCCAGATGGATTGGCTCCAGAGGAATTTAAGGATGGTGGTTCAGGTTTAGCGATTAGGTTGATTAATATTTCAGCTGAAATCTAGGAATTGCATGTAATCCCATCTGCCTGGTCGCAATTACTGATCGTTCCGATATAAAAAAGGATCAAGATCATCCAGTGATAACCGTAGAGCGATTAGTTTAACTAATATAACACCTAAAATACTAGCCTCAATAATTATCAGATGCCTAACAACGACTCGTGAACTGCGAACACGAAAAAATCAGGCTGGCTTCAGATCTGGTCGTGGTTGCATCAAACACATATTCACCATTCGTCAGGGTTTAGAACACGGGCATGCTTAACGGCGTCCAATAATGATAGTTTTTCTAGACTTGAAAGCAGCATTTGACTCAGTAGATCGAAACGTTTTATTTCATTTTAACACATAGATATTGCTACAAGGAGGCACCAAATACATATGCGCCACACAAATCTCATTTAATTTGTGTGAGTGCTGTGATACTGCCCAGGTGCCCAAACCGAAGCAGGTGGTTTTCTTAGGGGACCACACCTCGAGCCTTCGACCTGAACGTCTGATCCACAAGGCAGTGGAGCATCGTAAGGAGATGGAGTCCCATGGTAATTGGTGACCAACGACTGGTTCATACGCCATTTGTTCCCGCAGGATACTGGAGCCCATGTGCACCATTGATTTGGGATCCGGTTAAAGCGCCGGACATTCGCTTTTCGTCCTCTCATTTTCGTAAACAACACCCCTGCTGCGTGAAGGTAGTGAGTAGGACTTCCCTGACAGAGGCTGTATACGCGTGGCCGTGTGAGAGCATTTCGAGAGGGAGAGCGGACTCTCCCCACTCCCGGCCATACCAGGGCATTTGGGGGCAGTGTCTCATTGCAAGGTGTGCCTCACAAGTATATAAACCTTGTGAAGGCTCTTGACTCGAACACTACTAGTCGAGTCAGAGCTTATGGCGAACTATCATCTGATTTTGCAACCTCAAGTGATGTCCGTCAAGGCTGTCCACTACCTTCATTTTTGTTCAACGTCATCATACTTACTGATGGAAATAACGTCCTCGTCGACTGTATTCTCGGGCATTGGTCTCCTTCCAGGACGTCCACTGATCGGCCTAGAATACGCAGATGATATAGTCCTGTTTGGTGAAGATGCTGATAAAATACAGTCTTTTGTTAGCACTGAGTAACAATGCCAAGATGTTTGGGATGCGTTTCTCCCCCCTCGAAATGCAAGTTGTTGCTCCAGGACTGACCTGCGTCAACACCTGAACTAAGGATAAGGAGTGAAGTAGTTGAACGCGTTGACAACTTCACTTAACTTGGAAGTCTGATCAGCCCTAATGGGTCAGTGTTTGAGGAAATCTCTGCACGGATTCAGAAACGCCGTTTGGTTTTTGATAACTTACACCAGTGGAGATCTTGCTGTAACCTTCTTTTACTTTCTTCATGAAAAGTGGTTGTAACTTCCTTAACTGAAAGAATTCTTCTGGTTGTGCCTTTCCGTTTCCCTCATTATTATCATTACACTACCACACACTAATCTGTGATCGTTATTGTTCTTTTCTTATATGCACCTTCTTCTCTTCCCATTCTGATCGTTTTGTGTGGCGCATATATATCTGGTGCCCCCCTTGTATCAATATTTATGTGTTCAAACAAAATAAAATAGTTGGAAGAAAGTTAGGGGCGGCCAAACCAAAACGTGGCATCAATGAATAAAGTCACTAACTTCTGGTCTGATCCATGTTGGTAGATGCAGACTACATGGTTGGGGTCTGTGCGACTATCGTAACCAGTGGTGGGAGACTGGGTGACATGGCTCAAAATCGATCATAATCGCGTAGGTGTATACACTCTCTGCCTGCCCTTAAACTGTAAAACTAAAATTACTTTATACCTTTATATGAACTAATTCTTTCTTCCTGTATTATATCCGTATACACAATCTTTCTTTTATATATGACTACCATTGAAGTAACTATTTCTATGAATTTGGTGTTCATCTTGTTGTGCTAATGTGTGGCAACTTGGACCGATGTATATATGTGCCTGGTCCTACGTTGTAGCTGACTGACCGATTGAGACATCATCCGTCAAGGTAGGAGGTAGTTAGGCATATGTAATACGTGTCCTAACCACCTCAGGTAATGAATATTCAATACCTTATCGTTAACCGATTCCCTATCTTTAACTAGAACCCTATACCTAGCCTCAAAATTGTTCACTTAGTCAATCAATCAACGTAGAACCTGGTACGTATATACATCGGTCCTAGTTGCCACACCCCATTAGCTCAGACATGAAATTGTCAGGTCAAATCCCCGAGTAGTGGGAGTGGTAACAGTATGAATGGTGATTGAAAAGATGAGGCATTAAAGATATGATAATGAAAATATAAATTGGTGGAATAAACAAAATGTTATGAGGAATTCGAGAGCTCAGAATTTGGGACAGACGAATGAGGGGCTGGTGATAGTAGCTGGGTTATTTATTATTTCTGTTTTAACATATAGATATTGGTACAAGGAGGCATCAAATACATATGCGCCACACAGATCTCATTTGATATGTGTGAGGGCTGTAATACTGCCCGGGTGCCCAAACCGAAGCTAGGTACTAAACTCTTATTACGTAAGTTTCAACCAATAACTTGCTGGTTTGGTACCACGATTATTGGAATTTAGCATAATTAGTCCTATAATGGGGATAGAGTTATTTAACTCGGAACTAGATAGATTCGCATTCGCAATACAATGACTGAACTGAGTTAGGACACAAACAAACAGATATGCTGACTAACAAACAAAACCGGATATATCATTTTTCTCTGATAAATAACTCATGAATATAGAAAGTAAACGAAAACAACCAAGTGAACTGAAATAAATCGATGCAAGAAATAATAAGCCTTTACGTAAAATTGAGCACAATTGTACTTATGTCAACAATTATTAATGTTATCCTCAATCTGAGAGTAAATACAGTAGGGTCTGAACCAGCAACCTACAAGTCAATAGGTCATACGCAACGTAGAACCAGGAATATGTGTACAGGGGTTCAAATCGTTAGTTTTAGATATTAAAAAACCACTCCACACATATTTAGTGCTGACGATCAGAACGCTGAGGAGAGTCCTTCACAAACATTTGGTAAATTATGTTTTCGCTCCAAGACATTAAGAACAGTAGCCTAACGGTCACAGCACTTGATAGGTTCAAGAATTGCATTGATTACCTTTATTAGCGCAGTTGTACCAGCCTTCAAATAGTGTGGTTCATATCCAAGTATATAAACCTGTACTTGCAGCTACATTGAGTTTAGTCGATTTAGAGGCTGTGTAATGAAGCCATAAAAACCAGTTACATTGGAAATAAGAAGAAGATATATTTATTAAAGACGCATATTTGATTTTATTAAGATGATTTCTTCCAGTTTGTTTTGAGCATTTTGATAAATCACTGGGAATCTCGTGTAAAACTGAAAAGGCTCAAGAAGATACGAGCCAAACTTTATCTCGGAAGTTTTTTGTGCGACAGTTTTTCAAGTGAGTATGTTTTCCGGACAATGTACGGTCGGAACATGTATTTCACTTTACGAAACATTTAGCGAATTCTCAGCTCCTCTCTCTTCCAGATCTGTACACACGCTGCAGTGTATAGCACCTATGCACACAACATAGATTCAGTACGAAACCCCGTTAAGGTTGGAAGTTGCAAATCTATCTGGAATTCTTCATTTAGTGAAAGGTGGGTTACATGAGCACAGCATTTTTCGAGTCAATGTCATTTTCCCTGGAAATAATTAGACCATTGAACAACTTTTACACTAGAAAACACTTATAAAAGGTACCTTTAGGATTATAAACATGGGTCCGTTATTCAAAAGTGATTTTGTGTTGCAAAAAAATTTCAATACACTAACCAAGTATGATCTATACAAGACCGGTAGTCACGGGTCAGAATATTTGATTTGACAGGTAATTCAACAAATGTGTGAAAATAAAGTTTATAAAACTACCATTTACAGACTTAACATGTAAAAAAGAAACAGTAATACTTACTTAGACTACCACACAGTTAATAACGCAAAGATACGCGGGAAAGTTAAAAATGGTCACCAGTGTGTCATTTGCTCAAATAATTGAACATTGAAATTAAAATATCTGGATATCCGGCTTATCATACTTCTTTGCAATGTTTCAAATAACCCTGGCTCTCATTACTATTCCATTATTAACTTTCTTATCTGATGCCTACGTCAAAGCATTTTGTACAAATGTTTAGTCTGAATTTGATCTAAATTTGAACCATTTGTATTTGAATGTGATGTTTCTACAAACCCCATTTGACTACTTTTCTTGTTTGTTATCGTGATATCATTCTGATTTAGATATAGGTCAATCCTGCCTTAACAAGAGTATGTTCACTGGTTAGCTTATTTTTGGCATTATAAAGCGGTTTTCGAGGTTATTTTATTCCACATTGTATTGCAATAATATTCTCTAACAGAAACCACCAATATAACATCAAATTTAATAGGTTTTATGCCTTAATTTTCTGATTAGGAAGGAGACCTTCAACAGAACCTCTGTATTCACAATCAACTCTATATCTGCCTTATTGAGATACAGTACGAACATTCATATAGTACATTAGCAGCATACTTTTCGTCCTCGATATTTTGCATATGAATACCTTTCATGCAGATGGTGCTGCAGAACATTAGCGCCCATACTTAATACTGTTATGGGTTCAGTGACAACGTAAAGCTGTGAGTTCACGTAGGGAGACAACTACTTCCTAGTTGAAAGTTTTTGCTCCTTAACACAAGTAGTTAGCCTAGCTTAGTAAGATGGAATTTAACTAATTTGTAATTCCCTTCAAGTATAACCTGATAATTTACTTTTGTGGTCACTCCAGCTGCACAATGTCATGATGTATAGTAATGGTACACAGTAATTACTCGTCGATGAAGAAACAACAATTTATATAGAGATGGCAACTAATACAGACTTACCAGTTCAGACGTTTGGTAATGTTCAACCCACTGCATTTCTCACACGAAGCTTTGTAGGACCTAGAGCTATTGTTTATATTTATTGATTTATTTATGTTACTTGACAAATAAACCTGATATATTATAGTTCAATGGGCGTGATGTGATTGTTTTATCCGAATGATCTTAAGTCATAGTTCAGTTGTAGCGGTAAATAAATCCCCAAAATAAATAGCTCTGTGAGCTTTTGACATTGGATGCTGACCGCATTAGTTTTGAAGGACTCACCTAGCTGAAGGTGCTTGGTCATGCATCCGCACCAGATCACGAGTGCAAACGCTGTGCTCAACAACCCCTGCAATCGCTAGCCAGATTAGATCAGACAATCCTCGATATATTGACAGTCTATGAAATACATCTTCAAACCTCCTCGCTTCTGTCTTTTGATTTCACTTGGTGAGTATGATTCATATTAGGTGTTACTGGTTAAAGCGTTGTGAAAATCCGAATACCTGTGGCATCTTCATTGGTGAGCCTAACGTGATCTGGTTCATCAAATTGCAAACTGTGATTCCGTTTCTTTTTGGGATTTTATATATCACTGCCTTATTTTACTTTTCTATATATCGTGATATTTTTTCCGCGGTTCGGGATATATATATTTCTTACTCGTTCATACACTTACACGTTATCTCAAATTTCGTAACAACCGTAAACGGTCAGACAACCCGCGTAGAAGCACTTTGTAGCAAGCCCATTCCATTAATGTGTTATTTGTCTACACAACTGTGTTAATTTCCATATGAGTATGATTGAGCGTGTGTCTGCACTTCAATCCCTATTCTATTCCTCATTAGTTGTGACACATAGATAATCAATAATTTATCTACACTTGATTGATACTCAAAAATATATAGGAATCTTTTAACACAGACACACACACTTTGATTTTTGACTCACTCGGTGCTTGCTTGCTGTATGCTTGCGGACTTTACCAGGCTTTCACAATAAACTATCTCTATAATTGATTTTTGGGCTTTTTAATGATCCCGAGTAAATCGATAATTCTACTAGGAGATTAAGCCTGTATTAAATACTCGGTTAATGAGATATCTTTATTTGGAGTCGAATATAGAGGAAATTTATCTCAACAAACTTGGTTAACCTCTACAAATTGGTGAGCCGCATTTAGAACACGCGCCTGTTTCTCTACAAAGTCTGCTGCATATTCTCCAATCATAAAGAACTTCATATTGGAATTACTATTGCAATTATTACCAATACATCGACAGTCAGTAAATTCATCTATAACATTGTTGCTTTGGAATTATTACTTTATATTTGCCTATTTAAACTCAAAGTGACCTTTGTTTTCGGTGAGTCTCATATTTATTTCTTGTTGTTATTTTCGACTTATTCATATCATATATTTCAATCCTCAGCTTATTATTATTGCTATTGTTATTATTTCTTCGTATCATGTCACTTGATAATTCACCAAGCCTTTCATCTAAGTCTATTTCCGTGGGTGCCATCTCTATACCTTTACCTGTCTTTAATCCCCGAAAGACCGAACTGTGGTTTGCACGCTTGGAAAGCTTTTTTGTTGCAAACAGAATCACAAATCAGAACACAAAATTTAGTTATGCAAACTCATTGCTGCCAGACGATGTTATAGAACAAGTGTCTGACGTCATTTTTAAACCGGATCCAGACTCACCATACGATTATCTAAAAAGAGAGGTCATTCGTGTTACATCACTCACCGACCAGCAAACAATTGATCAACTTTTAGCTAATGTAGAGCTAGGTGACAGTACACCATCTCAATTGAAACGCCACATGACAAATTTATTGGGGAATCGTACAGTAGATAAACGTCTATTGTATCAATTGTGGCTCAGACGTCTCCCACAAAACATCCAACAGATACTAGCGATCGGAGACGAGGATATAGATTTTGATAAGCTAGCAGATATAGCCGATAGAATTTACGAGCGAACTAGGACGCACTCCGTATCTCACATACAATCAAACTCATCTGACGAGATCGCCGAGTTGCGACGAACAGTCGAAGTCCTCGCTAATCAGATAGCTCAGCTCCAATTCTTGAATACCTCCCACAGCAAGCGGAAAGGAAGGTCCAGAAGCCGTAAAAGTCGTAGTCCAAGCACCACTCGACACAACATTTGTTGGTACCATAAAACGTACGGTAAGCAAGCTAAAAAATGTACTCCTCCCTGTAATTTCGCAAGCACACAACAAAGAGACCATCATGAACGTCGGTTAATGACGACTGCAGTCGCTGAACACAACTCTCAAAGCAGTCGCTTGTTATATGTTACAGACAAAAGGACTGGAACACAGTTCTTAGTCGACACTGGGGCAGAGGTTAGTGTAGTACCACCCACTACACTGGAGAAAAACACACCTGACCCCAAACTAAAACTACAAGCCGCAAACAGATCTGAGATCAAGACGTACGGCAAAAGGCAGTTACAATTAAATTTCGATCCTAAATCCAATTTTTCATGGAACTTCATCATAGCTGACGTCCTCATTCCTATAATCGGCATTGAGTTTTTACAATCCCATAAAATACTCGTAGATGTAAGAAATCGGAAACTTGTTCTTGCTAACCATAGCAGTGAAATTAGAGGGATTATTTCTAACGAGACGTCCATACATTGATTGATCAAACCTCATCGCGAGAATGACAAGTACGTTAGTTTACTTAATCAGTTTCCAGACTTATTACGACCGAATTTCAAACGGGATAAACTGACACATACCGTCGTACATCATATAAATACAGAGGGTCCACCAGTGTTCGCACGTCCAAGACGCCTTGACCCCTCTCGTTTGGCTCTAGCAAAGAACGAATTCAACAAAATGATAGAGTTGGGTATCATACGCCCCTCCGATAGTCCGTGGGCATCACCGCTCCATTTGGTACCCAAGAAAAACTCTTCCGAAGTTAGACCGTGCGGTGACTATAGAGCTCTCAACAGCCGTACTATACCAGACAGATATCCACTTCCACATTTGCATGACTTCACTCATAGTCTATCTGATGTGACGATTTTTTCAAAAGTTGATCTCGTCCGCGCCTACCATCACATTCCAATTCACCCGGACGACGTTCCCAAAACAGCCATTACTACCCCATTTGGATTATACGAATTCGTTCGCATGCCTTTCGGATTAAGGAATGCTGCACAAAGTTTCCAGCGTTTTATCGACCAAGTAGTACGTGGCTTACCTTTCGTATACGCTTACATAGATGACCTTCTTATCGCAAGCAAAAATGAAAATGAACATATAACTCATCTGAAAATGCTTTTTGAGAAACTAAACGAGTATGGGTTAACAGTCAACCCTGACAAATGTGAGTTCGGAAAACAATCCCTCACCTTTTTAGGTCACGTAATTGATAGTCAAGTCATCAAACCAGTTCCTGAGGAAACACAAGCCATCAAAAATTATCCTTTACCAGATTCATTCAAGAAACTACGACGTTTCCTTGGGATGATCAACTTTTACAGACGTTTTATTCCGAAATGTGCAGACATAGCAAAACCGCTAACTGATTTATTAAGGGGACGAGCTAAGTCATTAACAATGACACCGCAAGCAATTCAAGCATTCGAACAGTTAAAAAGCACCTTAAGCACCGAGGCATTACTAGTACGTCGAAAGGTTGATGCACCTTTAGCAGTAATGACCGATGCCTCTAATGTAGCAGTAAGCGCTGTGCTTCACCAACATGTCGATCAACAATGGCAACCCCTTGCATTTCTCTCAAAAAAGCTTAACGCAACGCAAACAAAATATAGCACATTCGGTAGAGAACTGTTAGCTGTCTACCTAGCCATCAAACACTTTCGGTATATGTTAGAAGGCAATTCTTTTACGATATATACGGATCATAAACCTCTAACTAAGTCCTTGATGCACAATCATGATAAATACAGTCCGCGCGAAATTCGTCAACTAGAATTCATTTCGCAATTTGCAGCTGATATACGATACATAAAAGGCAATGCAAATGAGGCAGCAGATGCACTATCGAGATTAAGTATCAATACCTTCTCGATCC